CGGAAAAAAAAAAAAAAAAAAGGAGGGAAATGTCACTAAGGATTTTAATTTTAATTTTGGTAAATTGTAATTTAATTTATTAGTATGATAATAATGTAAATAATTATATTATGAATGAATGTATATTAAGATGCGATGTGTTAAGATGGGTTGTGATTTATACCTAAAATAAAAGTATTCTATTTTATTTATTTAAAAGTCACGATCGATCGATTCATTAATAAAAATAAATTCTAGTTTTTAACTGTAAATAAAAACTCTTCCCTTTTGACATAAAATAATCCCAATTTAAATCAAAAATAATGACTGCACAGCAAAATAGTTTATTTTAGCAACAATTTGAGCTTGCGCATCGCTATTACTCGAAAAGCGTAAGTATAAACTTTTTATAACTTAGGTAAATAAATAAAAGCCTATTTGTTTTTATTTAAACACACTAATTATTGGTAAAAAATGAACCAAAATTCCTACTTAGCGGCCGTAGAAAAGCAGCTTTATAACAGTGGACAGGCGACCTTTGCGAGTAAACATGCAAACAACAAGAAAACATATAAACAACAAGTAAACATGAAAAAAAAACTGGCAGTCCGGGAGCGCCGACAGAAGTGAAAACTTGTTTTTTTGTTACAGGATTTCTTTTGTTTTTTTTTTCAGTTCGGAAAGTTCCGACATGAGTATATATACACGGTGATTTTTTAGGCGTTTTGGAAACGAAACATTTTAATTTGGAATCATCTATAGTACCAATAAAACTGATTAAATCAATTGTAATGTTGTCTAAAAAAAAGTTTCAGTTTTAATATTCATTTTTACTCGATCGACTTGGAAAGTAGTAATGGACTGATCATTCATTCATTATCTTATATGAATGAAACACGTCCATGGCCGTTTCGGCGGCCGCTGCGCACCGCCGACGTGCAGCAGCTGATAAAAGTATACCTATAGGCGCGAGCTAGCGCGTACTTACGTAGATAGACTCCAATTTGTCCTTCATACTTTACACGGGCTTAGGATCGTCGGAAATACCTATTTTATTTAAACTTCTTTTCGATTATTAACCACGATTGTTCTTTTCACAACAAATCAATTTATCAACGGACTGTAGGTATAAATATTTCAAGCGTATTTAAAAAATCGGAGCTATCTACAGAATAATTAACTTACATACCTATTTACACTATTTACACTTCTCTGTATTGAAGCAACTGCTCAAAATGGAGTCCGCTGCATTCAATACACAAACGTCCACGTTTAATGCAATTGTTTTTTAATTTTCTTAATGTGTCTCTATCACTTTTAACTTTATCAAAAGCGTCCACTATCGCAATGCGTAAATTATCACGGCTTTCATATTCCCGTGTATAAACAAGTATTTTTATTTCCGACCATAAGAAAAAATCCAGGTGCGTTAAGTCCGGGCTTCTAGGTGGCCAAGGCACTGGCCCTCCTCGACCTATCCACCGATCACTAAACTCATTGTCCAGGTATGCACGCACTACACTCCGGCGAATAATAATTTAAACGTCCTTGACCTTGCGCGTGAGTATAGTATTTCTATTCGTAGTATTTACCTACTTGCGATTGAAAAGCCCTACTACTGGTTCTCACCTTTTCTCTGTAATCGATATGAATATCGACTTTGATGATAAAAAATATATATATTTTATTAAATTAACGTTATATATAGCTTCTGTTACTGATAAATAACTCAAAATTTTCTTTTCCAAAACGCTTTCAAAATCACCGTGTATATCTATGTTGTACGTAATGTACAGAATATTTGTTTAAATTAAATATAGTTATATTATCAATGTATTTCAATCCAAACTAAACTCTCGTGTAAACGGGCCCAATATATGCAGATACTTATGTACAGAGGTGTCGGTGACGGGAACAGTGTCGCGAGTTCAATGTTTTTTTCCCCATCTCAAAATATACATTCATTTGTTTGTTGTTCAAAAATGTCCAACGGGCTTAAACAAGTTTTCATTTCAAAAATCTCTCAGATGTGAAACTGAAATTATTTTGCTTGATTTTATATTTAATATGTAATAATTAAATAACGTGAGGGAGTTGTTGAGTCAATTGCGCATGCCATGCCATGGCAGGTGTCGCCACGTCCGCGGCTGGTCAGACCTATTTTAAACGTTTCACACTAAAAAATATTACCTTATTTTTTGTGTTTGATAAAAGTACTGTAGATGGTTATTTAGTCATTAATTTTTGCGATATATTGCAAAAGCTAGCAGTTTATAGAAAGTTATTACATTTAAGCCATATAGCATTTTAATTCATTTAGATATAAAGTTACAACAAATAACACAGACACAATTTGGCAGAAGTGCTTAAGTCCTGACACTTTATGGACTTTAAAGAAGGGTTTGAAGGTGAAACAAATTTTTTTGTTAGTACAAGCGTTATTTGTAGAGACTCAAAGATTATTTCAGCATGAACCTTAATCATTGTATTTTTTTCTTTTTGTAAGACATCGGGTTTTAATAACAAAAATGGTAGAGTGGAATTTGTTCTTTAAAAAGGAATCCGGGGCTTAAGACTAAAAAAATGGTAACATTATCTCAAATAGAACACACCTTGTAATCAAAATAATCAATGTTTAGTACAAATCTACAGAGGCATTGCACCTATTATTTAAACAAATAATAAAAAACTTAAATCTTAAAGTTCTCTGTCTTAAAAATATATTCTAAATATTAAATGATTTGCAGAAATGCAAACTTACCGACTTAGGTTTTCATTTTATACTTAAATAGTAAGTAAAAATGAAAAAGTTCTGTTCCGTAAAGAATACATTTAAAAAAATAGTAACAAAAATGAGTCAGAAGTATGAAATGGTTTAAAACAGTTTCTATTTGCCTTAAAGTGGTAAATTGTAGCCTGAAGATTCTATTCTTTCTCATCATCATGTGCCTACCATTATCCCAATTTTATTTGGGGTCGGCGCAGTAAGTATGAGTCTCCCATTTTACTCTATCATGCGTCATCTCACTGTTTACTCTTTTCCTAGCCAATACTAGCATACGGCTACTATCCTCACACAGTCCATTCACATTTATTTATAAAAAAATATTTTCCTTTGGTAAACAATAATGTTGCAAACAAGCCATTTTGGATTTGCTAATATAAACGCTTTAATGCCCGTGGGTTGGGCTCTTCCTTTCAATATTCGTTCATTCGTCATGTTCTCCGTTTGTGTACTTCTACTATTTATCCTGTATCCTGAGAGCAAACTACACAGGACAACAACACTGCAAGGAGAAAGAAAACTTGACCAGAACCCTATACCAACCGGTCTGGCCAGCGTGGCATGGTAGGCCATTACCTCCTTTCTAAGGCGAGGCCTATGTCTAGCAGTTTAAAGGCAGTTGATGTGCCATGATGTAAAGTGCCTGTAGTATACGTCTTTGTAAATTGGGTGATCATTACCTCAATGGATTTTTTTGTTGCCTTTCCTGGGCATGGCAGCATCATGGAATCTTGTATAATTATAGGACGAACTCTCCATAATGATTGCGTTCCAGACGCAATCATTAATGAAAGTTCGCAGACGCAATGTTGGCGACACTAGTAAGTATCTTCAAAATTTAAATAAATAAAAAACTACTACTACTAAATAAAAAAGTAAAGACAGTAAGCTTCTATTCGGATTTTATCAGTATTAATTATGGATTTATTAGTGCCGAATGTACTCTTTCTAGTACAAATTGTAGATGATCCTTTTATTAGTAATAATCTAAACTTTGAAAAGAACAAATATAGTTGTGCCGTATTTTTCAGCAGTAATTATTCGGCTTCGGATAAAATTTTAATGTTTATATAGAGATCATAACTATATGATAAAATGAAATGAAAAATTAACAAAAATTATAGAGAAATAATTTGAAAAAGTAAGTAATTTAGTAAACAGTAGTTCGGTGACGCTCCATTTTTGAACTCCTACACTGCCCAAATGAATGAACAAGTGTTTCCTGATTTACTAATCCAATGGTAATACAATGGATGATGTATGACATTGATATATATATTTTTTTACAAATTGGTGCGAAATTCAAATCCAAAAACTAATTTGTGTTTTAAAAAGGACGTTCGGTCATTATACTTTTTTTTTAACGGGGTGGAAGATCCTCATGGATGTCCTTCGCCCAGTGGGGAATGGCGAAGGGGTCTGTCGGACTCTTACTGACTAAAAACCACCTCGGTGTTGAACACTGTGCGCTACCTCTTGGGCCTGTATCTGTTCGGACGACGAATCCCCCGAAATCGTCGCCCGCAGGTCACTTCCTAAGGTGGCCGGAGATCGACAAATGCCTTCCGGCGCCCGGTGCACCTTCTGCGGGTAGAGACAGCGATGTTGCGTTCTCTCTCCCGTCCTGACGCTTCCTTTGCGGACATCACATGTTTGCAGAAGGAAGGGAAGGTGCTCCATGCACTCTCGCTGCAGACCATGGATAAAACCGGTCATCATACTACAGTAACCTGATAAAAGTCGGGACTTAATGGCGTTGAGCAAAATGTTATTTTTAAAGGACATTAGGACTTAGGAGGATAATGTAAAATGAATACCAACGAAAAATTTATCGTTTTGTTAACGGGAAATAACGCACTCACGATATGTTTTATGTACCTTTGAAATTCGTGACGTTTCGACCAGATTGCGCTTGGTTGCTCTGTTCGTGGGTACAAGCTGACCAAACAAATATGTTTTCGTACCGTCTTTAACTAAAATACATTTTTGTTAACATCCGCAAATTGGAACATTTCTGTTAATTAGTAAAATAGCGCTAAACGATATTTTTAATTCGAATTCTGAACGAATCCTAGTGTTTGACAGTTGTTTTACGTGGCTGGCTCTGAATCTATATTATAATTGTCACTTTTGTTTGACTCCGACTATATTGTAAAATTTCTCTGTAACTTTATGTATTTTGGATAATAACGAATAATATACAATAATACTTTGTGTGTAAACATATAAGACCACGATGGGTCTTTGCAAATGTCCAAAGCGACGAGTTACAAATCAATTTTGTTTTGAACACAGAGTGAATGTTTGTGAATATTGTATGGTGACGAATCACCCTAAGGTTTGTATTTAAAGCGATAAATCAACGAAACATGAACTACTATTCTTAATTCGATAAATTACCTATATTTATAAACACTCGTTTTTTTTCAGTGTATAATACAATCATATCTGCAGTGGTTACAAGACAGTGATTACAACCCTATATGTGAGATATGCACCAAAAGTCTAAGCGAAGGTGAATGTATCCGCCTAACTTGTTATCGTGAGTGTCAACAACATTTACTACACTGCCAAGTCAATTAATTAAACATGTAAAGCATATAAAGAAGATAATTTTTGTTTACAGAGATATTCTTACATTCAAGGTGTAAATTATTAAAAGTTATGATTCTACTCTATACTTTTCGTAAATAAATATTGTCAAGAAAAAAATTCTAACATTACAGATGTATTTCACTGGACATGTGTGGAGTCACGATACCGAGCCTTGCCACGCACGACGGCACCAGCTGGTTACCAATGTCCATCATGTGCTACTCCAGTGTTTCCACCATCCAACCTAGTTTCCCCTGTGGCTGAAGAGCTCAGGGAAAAGTTGGCAGGTGTCAACTGGGCAAGAGCTGGATTAGGTCTACCTTTGGTGTGTATACCTACTACCTATTACCCTACTATTATTACCAAATGAAATTATCAGATTTTTATATTTGACTGTAAGCTAAATAGAAGTTTGTAAATCTGATTGTCACAGCTATCAGAGGACCAAGATATGAAAGGCGCTGCTGGAAGACGCAGTCAATCTCCTATAGATCATTCTTCATACTACACAAGTACAGTGGACAGCCAGCGAGGTACTCCAGTTGGTGCGAGTGATGATGAATCTACAAGCCGTTCTGTAAATGGCACACCTCATTCCATAGTACAAATTTCTGATGAGCCTGTCAATATTTATGACAACACTTCTATTAAGAGGACTGACAGTTTACAAGGTAATACTATTTAAATAATGTAATATATAATATTCTATCTCCACTTAAATAATGGCACACTTTGAAAAAGCTAAGCTAATAAAATTTATTACACTTGTTTCACATTTCTGTTTTGTGTTTAAGAAAATAACAAAATGGCTTTCAGTAAGTTAGAAGCTGGCTTCAAGCTAAATATGTAGCTCTAAGCAAGAGTAACTAAAGATAGAGGTGTGCCTAGTTTTTAATTAGTACAACTGACATATAAATATCAGTGTACACGGACCTCATTTTTGCCCTCCTACATTTTTTAATAATTTTAGGTGGTCAGGCTCCAAGGAAAAGTATGAAATCCAATGACCTACCAAAAATTGCAAGCAACTTCGATCATGACGAAAATAAATACAAACAGAAGTCTACATTTGCTTGGATCAGCAGATGGTGGAAGTAAGTAACAAATTACTGTTCAGAATGTCATGCATCTCACTAATGGCAAGTCAAGAATACACCTTGACTTGTCATTCTGAAAAAATTACATGTAGAGGGATGCAATTTTTTCAGATTAAGATCTTGCCTATTTCTACTATTAGTATATTATTCTTTTTATTAGTAAATACATTTCTAATTAAAAACCAATTTGGAAAATTTCTTATACCAATGATTACATTTTTATAAGCAGTGAATATAAATAAGAGTGATCTCATAATTTTATACTTATGCACAGGAATTCGCTCCCATCTTCTCGAGTGCGAAGAGCTGGAGGTATATACAGGCGTTACTGGATTATGCTGTTTGTTTTCATAGCAGTTGTTATAGTCTTACTACTGCTTAGTCACAGAGATGTTGATGAGGAAAATCCTTTTGGTTTCATTCAAGAAGATGGTAGGAGGGTTCTTCAGAAAAATTAGTTAATCATATTTATGCACTAAATCAAGCAATTTCAAAGTGATATATGTATAAACCTATTAGCATTGTATTATACTATTATTATTTCTTTTAAATAATGTATTAAATTATAATACCCTTAATTTAAAAAATAAGATGTTAAATAAAGTTTAGACACTGATTTCAATCATTTTATTAGTGATTAAACACTGAATACAAAGTAGTTACAAGATTAAAAAAGGCAGAGGCCTAAGCTTTCCTGGCAGTAGTTAATTCTAGTTACAGGTTTGCAATGGAGAGCTTACTTTTCCTTCCATTGCCTTCCCATCTTTCTTTCCCAAAGTGCCTAATTAGAAGCAAAAGGCTTGCCCTTTTTGTACGACTGGGACCATTCACCGCTCACTTAGCCCTTAGGGGTTACGCGCGTTACTATGTATATGTATTATATGTAAATACAAAAGTATAAAACGAAGCTCAATATAGTATGATTGGATGATTAAACTTTTTAAAGCTTACATAATTTTTGTGCAGGATTCAACTTGTTTGTTCAAGAACATCACTGAAAATATATCATTATAAAAGTTAGGGTAATATTCGCAAGCGCGGCGACAGTCTGGCATCCAATTTATCTCTAATAGGATGGGTTGAATGACCGTCTCATTTTTGGATTTGTGCCAACTCAACATAATGTCGGCTGCATATAATGCTCTTGATTGTGGATTCTTAGCAATGCCTCGAGGAGCATCAATGGCAGTTGCAGCAGTAAATAATTCCGATAACATCTTGAATATTGATTTTTCAACATCCTCCCAGTCATAATTGGCATACTGCCTAGACCACTCCTCTTTAAAATCTGCACATAACAACTTAAAAAGTGGTGCATCTTCATTATAATTCATAACAGTAAAATGTTTTTCATATTCATCAAAATTGTCTAAAGAAAATGGCTTATTTGCGAATCGGAGGAAAAAGTTATTATAAATAAAAACTTCCGCAGGGTGTACAGAGTTAAGCATTATAACATAACGAATATCAAACTTGACTTTACCCACATCAGGCCGCTCAAAGAGGACTGGATCATCTATATATTTCTGAGCTATCTTAGGACCTGTTAGCGGTAAACGGCACAAAAAGTCCAAGTTATTAGTAATGTGTGTGTCTAGTCCTCTTGCAAGGTTGAATGGCTTACAGATCCAATGATTGTCCAATCCAGCATTCTTCCTCTGCATATAATATGCTACTAATTTTGCCAATTCAGTCTTCATATTAAATGTAGTAGGTAACCATTTAGGACCTGTTTTGAGAAAGTCGCCATCATTATTATACTTATCTGATGCTCGTCTGGATACAATAGCCAAGAGATCTTTTACCGTAATTACGTATTCATATGGAAATTGGTTTATAAATTTATGTGGTGAGTTAACACTTAATGCTTCAAATTCTTTAAAGTGTGTGACATACCATAAAATGTCAGCTTCAGTTTCATTATTAACAATCTCAAAATCAGGTGCTGTTAAATATTCATTGATATACCTATATTCTGAGAAAACTTTTAGTTTTGAGACACTCATTTCCCTATCTTTTAACAATTCTAATTGAGGGAGTGTTTCTACTAAATGTCCCTCAAGGAAGTATTTAGAACTTGGTTCCTGTTGAGTATAGTCTTCACTAAAGTACTCATATTGTTTCCAAGGAATAAGCATAGCTTCTCTTTGGAGAGAATCTGGAAATTGACCTTCAACAAAGTTTCTTGTAACCATGTCTCCTTCTTCAACATCCTTAATTGGAAACAATAGAGTGTAAGTCAATTGTTCAGGCACATAGATAAAAGGCACGGCTCGGAAATTAGGAGTATCGGAATGTGTAATACCCGAGCCCAGCTCATCTAAAACATACCACACAGGCACTCGGTCTTCAATAGAAAACTCATCACCAGCAATTGCATAAGTTTGTGCATACTTCCACACACTCTCTGATACTTTATCGATTTTCTCTTCGACAGTTTCTGCCGATATCTGCATTAAACTGCACATTCTTTCTAGAAGTCCCGGCACATTTCGTAGGTTACTCTTAATATTATTTGCCTTAAATGTCCATGCATGGTCAATTAAATATATATGACTAGCATCCAAACAATCAATATCTCTGATTGCAATTACACTCCACAGTGGATCGTAAGGCGATTTATCTGCCTCTTCGTAGTCAATTTGAACTAGTTGAAAGGTTAATCCCGCATCAAACATTTGATCAGTGATTTTCTTACATATTGAGGGCCAAAAAAAATCAGGTACTCCAGATAACATTAACTGAGGCTTATGTAAAGCTAGAAAATTATTATAAGTTGATATCCCGTCCATACTTGAAACGTTTAACTCAAAAGAAGTCGAGAAGCACAATGAATCCAGATAGGAATAATTCTAAAATTTGCGATTACTGAGCTGTACCATCAGCCGGTAGCTGTCACTGTCAGTATAACATGTTGTAGTCTATGGTTACTGTCAAAAGCTTAGTTGAGACATAGACTAGTATAATGTAAACCTGTAGAAACCGTTTAATGTACTAGTCTTAAGAATCTTTTTTTTTATGAAACCAATTTTTCACGAATGATTTAATTCTGACTATATATCTAGGAAAAATATGCAGAAATTAGGGATGAAGTTTTAAGAATCTGGAAACAACAAAAAGTATCATCATCATCATCATCAACAGCCTATACTAGTCCACTGCTGGACATAGGCCTCTCCTTAGAAAGGAGGTTATACAAAAAGTATATATTGTCCCTATAGTATTGTCCACGACTGGTATTATTCTGAAACACATGCATCATAGTTTAAAACTCCTTGATCTGAAATCCAACACCTAGATGCTACTTCAACAGGAAACATCCAAATACTCCGAAATATTTTATTCCGAATTTCACAATACCTAACAATTATAACGTCTATTATTAAAATTCACGAAATTTATTTTACCGAAAGTCGTAAATGCGATGTTTGTTTTCCGATTTTTATACGTACGAAGAATCAAATGCTCGATGGGTTCTCGGTCCGAAATCCAAAAATTAAGATTCCGGTTCAGTCAGTATAATATTCAAAGCTATAAATAACATTTAATGAAATTTAAAAACGTCTACTTTTTTATTCATATTTGTGTATTAATTTTTCTGTTTTCTTCGTCTCCTAATATGTAACTGCGTCGGATACGGATTAGGTTCACGGGGAGGAAAATGTTCCGCCCGTCCGGGATTCGGAGGTAGGGGCGGCTGTTCTACGGATCCGTTCCAAGAACACCGCCCCTGGGCCAGACGGGGTACCGGCCCGAGTGCTGGCCCTGGCCCTCAACCACTTGGCAGACCGCCTCGGGGAGGTGTTCGACGCTAGCTTGGCGTCGGGACGCTTCCCTGAGTGCTGGAAGAGCGGGAAGCTGGTCCTATTGAGGAAGCCGGGACGGCCTGCCGATTCGGTCGCGGCCTATAGGCCCATCGTGCTGCTGGACGAGGCGGGCAAATTGTTTGAGAGGGTTCTTTCTGCCCGCATCGTCCGGCACCTTTGCGAGGTGGGCCCCGATCTGTCGGACGCCCAATTTGGTTTTCGGGCGGGGCGTTCGACAGTCGACGCTGTGTTGCGCCTGAGGGCCGTGACCGAAGAGGCTGTGAGCTGTGGCGGCGTGCTGTTGGCGGTGTCATTGGACATCGCCAACGCATTCAATAGTCTGCCATTCAGCTGCATCAGGGAAGCACTCCACTATCATGGGGTGCCAAAGTACCTGAGGCGGCTGGTGGCAGACTATTTAGAGGAGCGTACCGTCGTGTACGAGGACCGAGAAGGTAATCTGAGGTGTCGGCCCATGTCGTGCGGTGTTCCACAGGGGTCTGTTCTTGGACCCCTCTTGTGGAACATAGGGTACGACTGGGCCCTTCGCGCCGATTTCCCCCCCGGGCTGGGTGTAATCTGTTACGCAGACGATACCTTGGTGACAGCCCGGGGGGCAAACTTCCAAGAGGCGGCGCGCCTGGCCACAGGGGGAGTCTCCCTGGTGGTCGGGCGCATTGAGGCGCTGGGCTTACGGGTGGCCCTAGATAAGACGGAGGCCCTGCTATTCCATGGGCCCCGTCGTGGTCCACCCCCTGGCGCCTCCATCGTGGTCAACTCGGTCCTCGTACCGGTTCGGGCCCAGATGAAATATCTGGGCCTGATCCTCGACGGGAGGTGGCTCTTCGACGAGCACTTCCGACAGCTTGCTCCAAAGCTGGTCGGCGCTGCGTCTGCCCTAGGGCGACTCTTGCCCAATATGGGTGGACCCAGCGTCGCGACAAGACGGCTGTACACGGGGGTTGTCCGGTCAATGGCACTGTACGGTGCACCGGTGTGGGCGGCGGCTCTGACCGCCCAGAATAGGGTACGCCTCTGGCGCCCTCAGAGGGTAATGGCGGTCAGAGCCATACGCGGTTACCGCACCGTTTCTACGGAGGTGGCATGCGCGTTGGCCGGAACTCCCCCGTGGGATTTGGAGGCGGAAGTGCTCGCCGAAGTTTATCGGCGAGTGGCTGACTTCCGGGCGGAGAGCGGATTTCGCCCTCCGCCCGAGGATGTGCGCGAGTGGCGCGAAGCCGCTCGCCGAGCCACGATGGCTCGTTGGTCGCTCCGGCTGGAGACTCCACGCGCTGGCTTCGCCGCCGTGGAGGCTCTCCAGCCGGTCATCGCCGAGTGGGCAGGGCGGCAGCACGGGACCCTTTCCTTCCGGCTGACGCAGGTGCTTTCCGGGCATGGTTGCTTCGGAAAGTACCTGCACACGGTCGCTAGGAGGGAACTGAGTCCCGCCTGCCACCACTGCGACTGCAGTGAGGACTCGGCCCAGCACACGCTGGCGGTCTGCCCCGCATGGGCGGCGCAGCGCCGGGCCCTCACTGCAGTCATCGGAGTGGATCTCTCGCTACCGGCCGTAGTACGCTCCATGGCCGGTAGCGACAGTTGTTTTACCGCGGTCGCAACCTTCTGCGAGGTAGTAATCTCGCGGAAGGAGGCGGCGGAGAGGGCCCGGGAGGATGACCTCCACTCGGACCCGATCCGCCGCCGGCGAACCGGGCGGCGGAGGCCCGGCTATCACAGCCTCATGCCGCCCTGAGTGTGGCCGCGGGTGGACGGGGTGGGTTTCCCCTCCACCCGCATTAGTTGGCCAGCCGCGAGGGGCGGCGTCCGCGTGTGCCGGACGTCGCCTAAAGAGAGGAACATCCACATTGAGACGGAGCCCGCACCAGGAGCGGGCTGGCGCTAGGAGGGGTCCGGATGTCTTAACAGCAGCTGTTCCCGGATCCCTCCTGTTACAGGCGCAGAGTGGCACACCGTGTGGTTTTAGTCGGTCCGAGTCCGACACACCACCCCGCCGCAAACCCCGGAGGGGTGACGGTCCGAGGGGATTTCCACACGTAAAAAAAAAAAAAAAAAAAAAAAAAGGTTAGAATTGCGACCATTAAAGCGCAAAAGCGAGCGAACGTAGCGAGCGGGCCGCGGTTGCGACCGCCGTGCGCCAGATCCCCTCTACTGTTGGTGAATCATTTGGGTAAAGTTAGGTAAGCACTGACCAGCGAAAGAAATAGAAAGAATTCGATTGGTGGTTGGTTTGAATTATCACTTAGTCGGACTTTGTGATATTCGATCTATTGAAACTCGGTATTTCGAGCATTGTAGTTATAAAGGTTAGGAATATTGAAATTTTTGTATTATAAAAATAGGATAAATGATCAATGGTTGTTGTATTAGGAATTTTGAACCATTCGGAATTATGGAAATCGTTATTTTCAAATTTCGTGTTTGTGACTGACGGAACAAAGTTTTTCGTATTTGTGTAGTGTTCACTTCAAAAAGCTGCTATATTCATGACTAATGAGAATCGTAAGAAAATTTCTGCAAATAGACGAATAAATACACAATGCAGTAGATGAATAGACATAATTAACTACTCCCAAGACCCGTGGCATTTACTTAACTTAGTCCGTAAATGTCACTAAAATACTACTAGCGAAAGGTGAGAAAGAACAAATTTGACATACCTACTAATAAAAATAATATTTCGGACATCTGACATACGCATAATTAATGAATATTTATTGCAATCGTTTTAAGGATCCAATTATGAGCGATGGTTTCGCTTGCGTATTATATATACGCGCACTAGTCGCGGTGAGCACCCGCGATTTATTATAAAATAATATAGAGAATACTCGAAGCAAATATTACTATCGTAGGATATTCCTAGCCTACGCAGATGACTATTATTATTGTTAACTGTGCTACTTTCGTCTGATTAAGATACAGTACAGTCTTTGGATTCGCCTAATTTGTACAACAGAAAAACCAACCGCACGATCCGTCATTACATACGCGTGAAATTTCCGATGGTACCTACTACTTCTTACGATCCCGAAAGGAGCCTATTCAGGAGCGTTATCAATCAAAGTTACAGATTGAACCAAACGGAAGACAAACAAAAAAGTACATGTTTTGAAATCATTGTATTTTATCAAATGGATTTATGCTAACAACCTTTATCAGTTAACATTGATGTTTCTTAAAACTAATTAAATTGATAATAATAAAATCACATATATCTTTAAAATTTAATTAAACTATACAAAAGCAAACACTCGTATTACAGGCAGTTTCCTCAGAAGTTCATCGACACAACCAAATTACAATCGAAAAAATCAATCTTTCTCGTCACTTCTTATGTCGAGATACGGAAACATTTATAAACTTAACCATAGAGAAATCAACCTGAAGGTAAAGGAATTATTTTGTTTTTAAGACGAGTCTCTCACCAGTGCTTGTCTCAAAATTGTGTAGTGTTTTCATACAACTAAGAACCCGCTTTTTACACCAGTCGTTGAATTTAAGTAAAAACGTCGTCGCATGTAGGTGAAAATAAATTTGCACACAAAGCAACATAAACGAACTATAATATTTTAGACTAAAATTAAAATTTCATTTCAGATTCGTATGATCTTGAAATAAAAGTAAACACTTTTATTTCACACTTTCCTTGTTGTCAGCAAAAAAATGATTAAAAAAATTACGTATCTATAACACAATATAGTGGTGTGATATAAAGCAAATTTATAGATACTTTTATGATGTTTTGTGTATCTAAATAACACATGTGTATCTTTATTATGTAAATGTTACACTTAGAAAACTTATACGCTTTCTCCTCAAGATTTCGATTAATATTATTCTTCATATTTACAAAGTATGGACTGATAAATGGATCCTTAATAAGATTACAATAGTAATGCAGTCGTTTATAGGTGCTCCTGCCAATTACACAAAAACGGCAAAGGAGGGGTTATAGTAGCGTAGAAAGATTTCAAGTAACTCAGTAAATATCCTATAGTATTGGTGTAACCAACACCAAAAAAGTCTCTTCTTTCGGAGATAAATAGACACATTCGTGAGTTTCATTTAAATATTTTGCCTATGTCCGGCAGTGGACTATTATAGGCTGTTGATGATGATGATGATGATAAACCCTACAATATAATTATATATTGAATAGAAAACCTTATAGAAAACGAAGGTTAATTAAGTTTTTTAATCCCATTATGATTTGTAAGAGGCACAGAAGATTATAATTTTTTTGTCAGGCACAGACTTCTTAAATTAACAACGTTTTTTTTTATTTTACAAGTTTGCGATTGTGACGATGAGCAGCAGCCGTAGTCTAAAGACGCTAGCATCCTTGAAGACCTTGAGCGGATATAAACATACTCGCATATACAACATCTCACTCGTACATATATTTCAAGAAAATAAATCTAATAAAAACACTCGATACCCAGCAGTCACCGTTGCCGAGATCACTGTTTTAATGTTTAGTGACTACTCGTAAAGACAACAATTGATATGAGTTTCAATTTGAATCAGAATCCATGTGATTCCTGTAGTTCCGGCGGGCCTTTTTCACACGCTGTCGGAACTTGACGGCCTGGTAATCTGTGTCGTCGGACACGTCGTTGGCGCGCGGCTGCCTGCCCGGTGCGGTGGCCGCGCTCATGTCTGGCGCGGGCCACACGCTACTCTCTGTACTACAACTGCTCTCGAGTTCGCTCTCATTGGTTTCGTTCATCAGTCTAGCGACCGTTCTGTTGTACCCCAGTTTGGGTAGAGGCGGTTCGGCGGAGGTGCTCGCTCTATCCGCCGGCTGCTTGGGCGGTGGAGATTCGCTGGAGTCGGACCGGTGTAAGCTCAGTCGCCCGTTCCGTCGTACCCTCCTCAGATTCATTCGTAATCTGTTTTCTGACGGCGGTGGGGATGAATTGTTGCTCTCCGATTCTGGAGGCTCGACGCGTAAGGATTCTCCCAGCGAATCCCGAGAGCCGTTAATCGGTGTAGGTATTATGCTGACAAGATTCGGAGGAATGTTTTGGTGACCGTTCTGATTTCTGGGAGATATGGGTCGGCTGGTCACTGATTGGTCGTCATCAGAGTCTACCTCAGCTATCCGAAATAATACAGATGTATTTTGACCCCTGTATCCTGTATGGGAGTATTATTGAAAGGCATTAAAATATATAAGAATAAAAACTTACACAATGTACTTATATCCTTTAACTACAGATTTGTAAGTGTGATTGTATAAATACCTGTACTTGTGCTAGGTTGAGCTAAATTGTCATCAAAATTTGTAAAATTATTGTTATCACTACTGTCTTGATTTATGGCTGCTCCTGAAATAAACAGATAAATACATAAACATTAAAACCCGTTGGACATACGACGGTGAGCAATGCAACCATATAGAGAAGTTAAAAAAGAGGCTTGCAACCATTTTGAAGGTGTTCTTCTACGAAAACGGGGCAGACCGACGAAGCAAGAAGATAATTTATTCTACGAACTTCTCCGTAGATTCGTTTAGCCATTTGATACTGAGCTATTCGAATGAGTTTATTTTAAAATTGTGGGATAACACTGCGCTAAAGTTTAATAGAATTGTATATAACTGGAAATACTTTTTAGGAAATATCCGAAAAATATACCTAAGTTAAATTTATACCCCTATTAATTGTATATTTTGTTGGCTATATAATCATATACTCTAAGGCACGGTATAATAGATATACGAAAAAGTTCTATAATGAAGGGCAAGATGAATAAAAAATTAATATTTTGAACACTTACCATTACTCCTTAAATTAATTGTTTTCCTATAACTAGTGACTTTGCTTTTCCTTTTACCGGTCCTTGTAAGATTCATACGGCGTCGAAGCGGTCGGATTATCTGAACAAATGAACGATAAGTTATTGAGTTATACGAATAATATACGAATCGGTATGAATGCAATACAACAACAACAGCCTTTAACAGTCCACTGCTGGACATAGGCCTCTCCGAATGCAATACAATAACCCTTTAAGGATTAGTCTATTTTGGTAGGTTATTGAAATAATTAATTGACTGATTGTTTTTACGTCGGATATGATTAAAAGTCATTTATAAAAAGTTCGCTTATTTTCTCCAAAATGGTCGTACGCCCATAAGCCATAAGCGGAATACGCATAGATAGTTGTGCGACTCACCCTGCCCGAGCTTCTGAAGAGACAATGCGCGGGCTCGTCGGAGTCGGTCCGCTCGCTGGAGGGCGCCGAGAGCCGCGAGTGCGAGTGCGCGATCGCGTGCGCCAGCGGGTGCGCCGGCGCACGCACCGAGCGCGGCGCGCGGGGGGTGCGGGGCGCGCGCGGGGCGGGGCGGCGCGGCCCGCGCGTGCGCCGCGCCCCGCCCGCGTTGCTGCCGCTCACGCATTTGCCGCTCGACTTGCTCAGTGACGAGCGAGACTGTTTACTCCGCCTGAAAAATAGTCAGGATCCGCTATTCAAACAACATATGGGGAAAGATTTTGTATAGGTATTAATGATCGCTCGACGGTAGAAATTGAACCGAGCTTGGGTAATTCCTTTCCTAAATGCGAGTATGTTTGCTTGTTTCGTACTTTCTCGTATTCACTATACCATTGATCTTCATCAGCTTTACCCAAAAAAACGCATTTATAAAAACAAAGAGCTTAGGACAAATATTTAGAAAAAAGTACTTTAGAAGACGCAAGAAAAGTATGAACGACGTACCTCAGTGATCCTCTTTTCTGTGAGCGTGTGTTCTTCGAATACCGTGACGCAACGAGCCGTGCCAGTCTATTTGGACAACGTTGACTTCGGTTTCCGTTTGTATTTGCTGTAAATTATTCAAAACAATTACATTTTAAAATATGTATTATATTAAATAAAGAAAACGCAAAACTTATACTCAAAAAGGAATTAACCAATGAGAACCCTAGCTTCTACCTCTCTTATCCTTATTTCTTTGCACGAATAGTACAAGAGTCATCATAAAGAATCTCCAGTTGCCCTTGTCAAAATAAACAAATTACTAATGACAAGTTGTGGACTTTTGTTTTTTTACCAATATTTTAAATATAGAATATAAAACTCACGGCGTTTGGGCGGCAGTGGCAAGAAGTCTACGACAATTTGATCAGTATCAGACGAGTCCGAGTCGTTATCGAGCACAGACCCTCCGGAACTAGATCCGTCCAGCGAATCCGTTTCTTCCGCGAGACACTCCAACTCACGTTGTACTAACGAATCAAAGAACGCCATCATTCGAGGATCTTCACTTGTAGACTGTTCAGCGTAGTTGTGTGAAATGTACTGCAACAATTGCCGAACAATTTATACACAGAGCTTAGATTAGATTTAAGCAGTTGAGTGGTTTAAAGAGTTTAAGGAACCGGGGGATGTATATATATGTGTGTGTGTGTGTGTGTGTGTGTGTGTGTGTGTGTGTGTGTGTGTGTGTGTGTGTGTGTGTGTGTGTGTGTGTGTGTGTGTTGTGTGTGTGTGTGTGGTGTTTTTGTGTGGTGTGTGTGACTGTCGCATGAGCAGGCAGGACCCAAGTGTAAAAAGAAACTACTCACTTGACCACTGTGGTGCACCAGTGACACGTAATCTTCGTGGCTGTATATCTCGCGTGGATTGTCGGAACCCTGAGCTCCCTCTAACAACGTTCCACGCATTTGTGGGTACTCTACAGCTGACCACAACTGAAATGATGAATTAAAAGTAAATCTTGAAATAAATGTACAAATTTCAACGTGCTTTTGCATGTTCGTAACGAAATCACACGTCAGACGCCAACCTTGGACAAGATCCGTTCTTATAATAGTGCATTTCAAATGACATCTTTTGGGGCAAAACAAAATACAGAAAGTTCATTCATGCTAACTTTTATCGTGTAGGGTCAAGTGTATCACCTTATTGGCTCTTGGCTTTGCCAGAATGAGCCAAAATTTCTCAAATTTATTTTGTATCAAATAACAATGAACAATCCAACAGAAAGAATCAAAACTTTCCATAACTAAATATCAATCTTATATATTGACTTCAAGTTTTTTAGCACCAGGTAAATCCTTACGTTAGAAGCTTCAAAGCTGCATTAGAATCAATCCCATAGGGCCAAAGTAATAATTATAAAATAAATTAGTACAAAACGTCGTCAAAAGAAGTCGCGGGCACAGCTAGTAAAACTAGTTTTCTGTTAATTTTCCTTCTAACTCCTTTTGCTTTTTTTTAATTTTAGTAGCAAACACTACCCGTTTGCGAGTTTGCCCCTCCAAAAAAAAACTCTAGTTTACTCTACTCTAGTAAACACACAGGTAGGGTTTACTAGAGTAGAGTACTCTACTTTTTACTCTACTAGAGAAGAGTAAAATAAATTTACAAGTTGTATTTTCAGAGCAGGTTTGAACCGAGTCATTTTAGTCGTATCTAAACCCCTTAAAGTATAAAAGTACACGATTACATACAAAGGATAAAAAAGACAAATTTAGAAGTTAATCGAATAATTGTATTAAAGACATACCTTTATTATTTTCTCGACGCCTGAAGAAGCAATAAGACAATAATGTGGGTTATAGCGCACTTGATTCACGATGGATCGATGCCCGTATAAGACCATATGGGGAGACTCCATTATTACATCTACAATATAAATATAGGATTATTGAGTTACATTCAGTTAATTAATGAGCAGAAATATATTTTAAAGAAATATTTATTCCCCGTTTTTACAACATATAAGCTATATAAAATATATCCTCGAAGAATGGGCTATCAAACACTAAAACATTTTTAATTTGAACTAGTAGTTCCTGAGATTAGAGCGTTCGACCAAACAAACACTAGAATTAGTAATAGTAATAAGTTGGTATAGATGTTTCAAAAATATTGAAAGCGCTATGGCTAATCTGATATAAATATTAATAAGTCTCTTTACAATGTCAATTCTACTCGAGTAAGAGCAATGCGTATACACATTCAAATTGATTTATTCATAGCATGATCTTTGCTAATATAATATTATATAATAAAGTATTACGTTGTGCAAATATATATTTTATTGCTAAATTAATTTATTAAATCAATCCATTGTGTATTATCAATCAAATATATATTTTTTATTTATTTATTATGTATTTTTTTTAAAGACAACTCCCGCATTAGGAATATACGAGTATATCCTGTGTCGCGGTGGACTTTTCAAACATACATGAAACGGACACAATGAACGCAGACTCAGAACAACAATTTGTGGATCACACAAAGTGTCGTCCCATGTGGGGTTTGAACCCACAACACTCGGCACAGTGGGAAGCGGCGTGGCGACTGCTTAAACCACTACGCCATCCGTGCAGTCAAAATATATTATATAACTTTTGCTTTTAAAGCAATGACTGCATGATAAATCTAGAATTTTAAGGGCTAAGGTTCTAGAGACCGTTTATTTTAATAAAAAGGATTTAAATTTATAAAACAAAAGGTAATACAAAATATAAAACAGTTGCAATACATACCACTTCCATCGCCAAGTTCTGGTATCTTCCACATGTACAAATTGAAATCATCCGATCCAGATAATACAAACTCGTCGCCTTCGCCAGCGAAAGAACAGCTCTTCATGGTGCAGGAGTTGTAGTAATCTTGGTGGTAGAACTCAACCACTGGGTCTGGAGAATGGATCGTGTATAGAATGGGGGCGAGGCGACGGCGCAAAGCCAGAACTTGGGTACCGGTTGAATTGAAGCGAACGCTCATACTGTTCTGGGATGTGCCGCTGTAGGCGGTGTAGCGCAAGGCTGGCCTGTAAAATGATAATTCAGCAGCTGCTATTATGTAATATTCGTAAAACTTCTGACTTGATAAACATTACCATATAAAATATGGTTATTTCTTTTGTTTAATGACCTTGTCAGCAAATTGTAAAGAATTCATACCATGATAAGACAAAATTACACATTAAAAATATGTTTTTTTTAATGCATCCTGTTCATAATGTTGGTCTGGATGGATTTGACCATATACAGTATCGGCGTTGAAAAATAAAATTCTAAATTGATTTCTTCTAGGATTAGACATTTAGTTGACGAAAACTTTAAACATGTTAATTATAGGAATGGATTTTCACTGTCTTCTTGGCGCACCTGAGGTTTGACCAGGCAAACTTGCAGAAAATTATATTGTGCGATACAGGGTAGTAGTTACTAAGTAGTTCGGTTTGTCTACGCAAGATGGCACTAAATTAAATATCTAATCCATGTGTGGAAATTGCCAATGCATTGCTTTGTTCAAATTGGACAGATTTCAATGACTATTTATATTATAGGAGTAAAGAATCTGTTTATTTGTATCAATAGGCGTACAACTGAAAATCATTGTGAAAATCAATAGGCATTGTAAGAAGTTTTGAGCTATATGCAGACAATAATGAAATTTTGCATTGTCAGATATAAATAATGGTATTAACTTTTAATATATTTTTTTAAATATACTATAGAAGAAATAGTACCTACAAGATTATGATAATATGGTTAAACCGATACTGTAGTGTTTAAAGAATAATAGAGAGTCCATATTCATATTTCAAGACCTAATTACCAACTACTACTTCTTAATTACAAACTGTAATGTAAATTTCCAAATTGTAAATTTTTACAAATGTACCGTGTAGAAGTCTCCCTTCCATCAATAATTAAGTATTGTAATTAATAAGTAGTAGTAATAGTAAAGTATTGTAATTTACAATAGTGCCAGTAGCTGGACCGGCAAAGACGCGGGTTATTTGCGTCAGTAGCTTGCACGGGTTACTTGCACGTTTGGTTGATATAATGAGCGCAAATAATCCGTGCGGGCTACCTGCACAAGTAACCCGCGCGAGTCGCAAGACCCGCATAGCCTTTTACGCGAAGATATCCTGCGCAAGTGCCTCAACGTACTTGCATCATGTAGAAGCACCCTAATTGGCTTGCCTCATGTCATATATATATGCCACTCGTATTGTCAAGCTATTATGAAGATAGTTATTATCGATCACGTTCCCTCTTTTTTTCCTTTTCAATGAAACCGTTTGCATAAATCCATTAGGCTCTTAGGCTAAATAAGGAATCGGATGGTGTAAATAAAATATTAAAGCGATTATGTTTTAATATGAGTTCTAAATTTGAATAAAATCACTTACACTTTAGGGTTCCGTAAATCCCAAAGAGCAACTCCGTCACGAGCATTAGCAGAGACCAGTACATCCACTTGTGTTGGGTGGAACATGACGCCGTGAAATGGTTTTCTGCTGCGTGATATCACTAAAGACTCTGTGTAAGAAATACATTAACAGATGTTAAATTATATATTTTGCAATTCAAAAGAAAAATAGGTTTGTATTTTTAGAACATTTAATATTTACAAAATACCACACAAGACAACAAGAAGTTAGGTTGGATTCAAAATTCTTTTAAGAGACATCTATAATTAATACATTACTTATTCGATACAGATATTTGCATGCTAGCTAACAAAGAAATGTTACTGATACTAAGTCCGTATTATTGGAAAACTAAATCATTTATTAGAATATTGCAGTGCCTGCCTACGGTAATTACAGAAAATACTGAAAACAATAAAAAGAACTTGACACGGCTCACACACGACCATCCGATTTCAAACTTACCAGAGCCTGTGTATGGTTATATGTCTAATCTAGCGACACGCCCCGGCTTCGCACGGATGCAATGTATGACATCACGTTACAATAAAGAGTATTTACTGTGAGTTTGAAAACACACTACTAAAAATAATGAACTTTCGTATAAATTTCCAACCCCATTGTGCACCTTTAAGGGTGGCATTTTTAAAAATCCTTTCTTAGTGCACACCTACGTCACCTAAAAAACATTTGTGCAAAATTTCATGCTTCTAGACCAAGCGTGTCCGTATGATGACGGATTAAGAATACAGAGTGTCACCACCCCTATTCATCCCGTAGTACAACAACACTGCAAAGAGAAGGAAAACTTTAACTAACTCTATTTCAACTCGTCTGGCCAGCGTGGGATAAAACCAAAACCTCCTTTCTAAGGAGAGGCCTATGTCCAGCAGTGAACTGCTAAAGGCTGTTGATGATGATGAGACTCAGCAGTTTCAGCTGTGCTGTGCTGATCGATCAGTTAGTGACTCGGTATGTCAGTTTCTTCATTTATGGATATGCACATATTAAAGGCCAATTACACTCGGACACAAAACAAATAATCGTACTCATTACACAATTATTTGCCCTAAGTGGGAATCGAACCCATTATTAGAAAATCGGGAACTAAATAAACTACACTGTAGCTATTGATGTTGCATTTTTTATAATAATTGAACCAGTCAAAACCAATAGTTCATAACAGCGTTAATACAGGTTCCGTTAGTGTGTTCCAAATTACGGTACGCTTTGTATATGATAGTATTTTATTACTCGAAGAATTAGACTATTCCTAATAAGGACATGATTAAAAAGCATTTTATTTTTAATCGATATAGTGAATTATCGACATTCGACTTTATTTAGAATTAGTTATGAGCTTTCTGCGCAACTTGAGCCAATTACCGCAATTACTTAATCTTTATGACATAATAAAGATACTTGTGAAATATCACTTTGTGAAATATTTATCTTTTGCCACGTAATCTAGTTTTTATTATTAGTGATCTATTTTATATCTTGTTTTGTGTTTCAGAAAGTAGTGGCAATTTCACACATCCATTTTCATGGCCACCCCTATTGTAGGTATATGTGGTGACTGTAACAAATTAGTATCCAATAGTTTCAGTTATTATTTTACATATAGATTATGAGGAAAATTATTCAATACTTTAAATATATAGTTTGCCTGTATCTATTAAAGGAATTAACGGAAATTTCTGTTGACTTGTTTATTACTTGGGCCCTATTTTTTTTTTAACTTCCAGTTTCGTTGTATTGGCGGGTAAGTTTCGTCGCCATGCTTTTGTTACTGGTATCCATTGCAACAACGTCACGCCAAAAACTAATACTAACAGTAGAAAATTACAATTCATTTGTTACAAATATTTAATAGATAACAGTCCTACTCTTTACGACTTTCATGAAATAATGTAGATTAAAATGCTCTGTAAGTATTCGATGTTGAATAAACATCTGTGTTGATGAATCAATGTATGTAAAAACATCGTTCGACGCTTAGTTTCGATATATTAGATGTGATATAAAATATTATTATATAAATGCACGTTCTCTTAAAGGTGTGGATGTATTTTATATTAAAAAAAAATCTCTTTTCAACATACCGTGGACAGATTGTCTGGTGTCGAACAATAGCAAACGGCCATCATTTCCTGCGGTAGTGATGACGCGCTCGTTGAACGGGTCGATGCTTAGACTGCACACGGCCCGCTGGTGCTGCAGCACTTCAAGTGGACACTTGCTCTCCAAGTCGTGAACTATCACCTGGTTTTAGATACCTGGTGTTTTAATGTTTCTAAAAAACTTTGTAGGGCTATTCATCTCTTTAAGATCTTATTCATTTACTCCGCATTAGTCTTTGGTAGTATTATTAATTTATGTCATAATCGAAAATAGGAAAATATTGAACTCGGATTTCAATTATACATTTACTGTAGGTAATTTCATAGACGGATAACATATCGACGATTCCTACGTATATAATCTGGCAAACTTGTACAAAATCCATATTTATTTTATAATTAGATTCTGAAAATCGGGGTCTAACTTCTCGAGGTAAGTTTTCTCCAAGATCGTCAGAATAGGAGCTCATTCAGAGAGAGATAAAGCGTGTGTATGTATGTACGTATAATGCGCGGGCTATCAGACAGAATAACAGAATATCGATAACCCTATATTTTGTTTATTGAATTAGAATTTGAATATTATATCTTCCTTCTTCTTTAGAGTTGGTGTAAGAAGGGCCATCGGACTGTCTATAAGAAAATTATAGATATATTACACAAACTTTTTTGTCTTTTTTTCACGAAAACGTCTTTTTACATTGTATAATAACAATTAATTAACGTGATTGCCTTGCCACCCTGTTTATTATAAAAAAAAGGGCGAGCCTTACTGTAGTCGCATATGACGTGTAGGAATTTACATCTAGCGCAGCGCGTCCTCATTGGACAAACTAATAGCGCGCGCTTCCCCGGGATGGAAATATAAATATGTAAATAAAGGTTGCACATTTCCATCCCTTTTTATTAAATCCCTCCTACAGATTGTAGGAAAGCGAAAGAAAACATGTTACACATCAAAAACCTACGCTTGCTAAACTTAAACTTACCATAACATAATTCATGTACCAGTAAGTTTTTGATGACTTACCATGACTATATAAAATCAATATGGCAAAAGTATTTTCGAACGAGCTGGATTGTAACAGCAATTAAGTAGGTTAATGTTAAAAGTTATAACTCAGTATGTGTGCCCTCGATTGTGATTTATCATTGTCTAATATTTTGAATTTCAAAATGTAAATTTTACGCGCATAATGTTAAGAGATTTACAGTATTTTATTGCGTATATTACAAGAAAGTATAAGATCATATTATACTTTCTTGTAATATACGCTTCTGTCCTTTTATGTTACATCTTTAAAAAGGGTAAAGTTATTTCAAGTGAACTTTCGAAACGCTAATAATTTTGTAAGAAACAACATATGGCAGTTGACAGATTTGCCCAAATGTAAGCTTTTCTTAAAAGACAAACTTCCTTATTGTTTGTTGTTGTTGTTTCTTTAGTTTGTATGGAGCGAAGAAATAGCTAATCGCGAGATTTAATTATAACACTCGTGCGTTCTTTAAGTGTACTCGTATTTGTTTTTCAATAAAAGTGAGTTTGAAACAGACCAGGCACACCTAGCAATTGCTGTCTATGGTTAAAGCAGAAATACCACAACTTAAGAATATATTTTCATAGGTTTCGTGCAATTCGTTGATAATTTTATTTGGTTATCTATCACCATGTATAAAATTCATGGTAGGGGCTTTAAACTTATTTTAATTAATCAATTACGTACTTACAATATCATCATTTCCTCCCGAATAAATCCTCTGGTTGTCACTAGTTATACCAAGGCAGAAAATGTTGGACTGGTGTACAGACTTCATAGTTTCGGGCTTACCATGGTCTAATATGGCTTGCCCAAACTGCCACAACATCACCCTGCGGTCATCTCCACCTAGAAAAAATTATTATCTGGAATGAAGTTGCATTTATGGACTGCACGGATGGCGTAGTGGTTTAAGCGGTCGCCATGTTACTACTACGCTGAATGTTGTGGGTCCGATCCCTACATGGGACGACACTTTGTGTGATCCACAAATTGTTGTTCTGAGTCTGAGTGTCCTTTGTGTCCGTTTCATGTATGTTTGTAAAGTTCCCCGCGACACAGAATTTGTTCCTAATGCGGGAGTTGTCTTTTTTAATAGAATAGAATAGATTTATCACTAGCTGTACTGGCGGCTAAACTACAGAACTTTACATGTTATACTTCTTAAAATGGAAAGAAAATCCTTTCAAATTCCACGTGATGATCGGTCACTAATAAACTATTTGTCACTGAACCCCTTAAACGTGTGTTTAAGTTTGTTTCTAGATAGTTTCAATTCACAATTAAACCCGGTTGTGTGTGTTATGTACATTATATATACAAGCGATGTGTTATGTGATACATAACACATCACTCAGAATTTTGTTCAAAAAAAACAGCTCTCTAATAACCTCTTCTATTTATTTTTCCATAATTATTTCCAAATAGTTGTACCCTACCCTATAGCACTGAGCAGCCGACTAAGACTCCGCCCAGGTGTCCCTCAAGGCTGGGTGCTATCACCCATACTATTTTTTCTGCATATCAATGACATGTTGCAAAGTAGTAGCATCAATTGCTATGCAGATGATAGCACGGGAGATGCCCTTTACACCGGCCGCCCCAATATTTCTCGGGAAAACGTCATCGAGAGTCGAAACAAGCTTGTGTCTGAAAATTGAAACTTCCTTAGCGGAGGTATCAGATTGAGGCGGACTAAATCTAGTCAAATTCAACCCAAAAAAGACACAGGTCTGTGCGTTCACCGCAAAAAAAGATATCATTTGTCTATCACCTCAGTTTGAGAGCACCTCCCTAAGTGCTTCAGCCAGCATCGGAACCCAAGGCATCGACATATCGAGCGAAATTCAGTTTCGGGGTCACTTAGAGGGTAAGGTTAAATTTGCCTCGAAGAATCTCGGTGTGCTGAACAGATCGAGGCAGTATTTCACTCCGGCCCACCGCCTTCAGCTCTATAAGGCGCAAGTCCGGCCGCATATGGAATACTGTTCTGATCTCTATGGCGATCGATCCCTTGGCGTTACGAAGAGATGATGCTTCACTCTTTATTCTCTATCGCATATATCATGGAGAGTGCTCCGAGGAATTGTTCGGACTAATACCAGCCGCAACTTTCCGCATTCGTTAAACACGGCAAAATTTTTAATCCTCAGTACTTGGATAGTTGGCGCTCCACTACTGTGCGTTTTTCGAGAGACTTTTTGCTCCGCACAACCAATCTGTGGAACGGGTTATCGTCTGTGGTATTTCTGGACCCAAGACGATAACCCGGATGGACCTCTGGTGGCAGATCAGAGGCACTGTGGTAGGGGATAGGGTGCCGGTCTGATCGCAGTAAGATGCGATCGTGCCACAACGCCGTTATTGAAGCAATTAACGAGGGGAGGGTGTAGCTTCCTCCGGGATAGGGCCTGGTTAGGCGTGGTGTCGATTGGGGAAGTGTTCACACTCCTTTATAGTGTCTGGAAACTACTAGCAACAACGAATGGTTAGTGGTAAGAACATAATATATCAAGCATGACATGACCAAACAGCAGCAACAGAGGCCATTTATTCATTACTTCACTTTTGTTAATTAATGTTTTTTTACTGGATTCTATTAATTTAACATAGAGTTTATGCAATTAGGTTGAATATCCAGCAGAAATGTGTGTAATCATGGTTTTTATCAACTAGTGTTATACTGTACATTACATTGTGTACATTGGCAAACCAGTCATACAACACTAAACTAGTATCAATCTCCAAAGCGCCATGTGGGAGAGATTAGTCTCAATAGTATCAACTATCTATCAGTAACTAATGGGACCATTCATAAACATCACCAAAAAGAAGAAATAATAAAATAAAGAAAAAAATGAGATTAAAAACATGAATTTAGCTCATGAGATTGTCAACATGCAGTATGTAACAATGTTGCAATGTAACACATTGCAACATTGTTAAAAAAAAAACCTTCTATGAGGATTTCACAATTGCTGAGTTAATAGTTATTTTAACCCACAGGTTTATTGCTCAGGCAATGCTCATAGGGAATACTGTTTAAATTTAAAAATATGTGTAAAAGGTAAATTTCTGTTTAAATAAATACAGAGAATAAAAAGAGAATGTGGCGAATACACACATTGCTATGGAGACCCAGCTTTATAACATGGGTAAATATAGATGATATAGTTTTTATACATAGAAACAAATATAAGTATATATCATGTTAAATTAATTTACTTTTATTTCGATAACATATAACGATAACGTAACTTCCCATATATTCAAAATTCCGGCTTATCGCCTTCACAGCTGTTGAAAAAAGCAATAGTGGTAGTGTAGATTCGTGAGTTAGAATTACTAAATAGGCGCAGTTAAAGCTTACAACTACATATTGCCATTTAAAATTAAGCCATGACACAATTCCTTTTAGTTAAAAATTAAATTTATTGAGCATCCATTTATTTTTTTAACAATAATATTAAGAGGTAATCAGTGTTGTTAAAATATAATCCTATATAAATAACATACGTAGGTATAGGTATAGTGCAAGCAAAAGGTACAGTGCAAGAAAATATAACAATAATAAATGTTAAAAAATAATAAATACCTGATACAAGTAATTCGCCATTACTAGAAAACTCAATGGCATTTACACATCCAAAATGGCACACTAAATCACGACGATACAAATTTTTTGCCACATTTAACCGCGTTTTAAATAAGTCCGATTTAAAATCAGGTAATAATCCATATTCTCTCTTATTTAGATAAGTCAAAGGGCTCGCTACATTCGCCATGTTTAGATCATAACCACCATTTTGACGAGTGAAACAAAACTACTTCTGACTTGTCGATCAGCTGTGTATTATTTTTAAAAACAAACGTACGTTCCGTTCTTAGAACCTGACTCTTAGCTGAAAGGCAAAACCATGAAAAATAAAAATACAGATATCTAGTTGTGTGACGAAAGTTTATAAAAACTAGGCAAGCTATGGTAATGATTAAATACTCGATGTATAAGTTATAATAACGGTTGACAAAATAGGTTTCATCAAGAATCTTTTTACATATAACAGACCGTAATCCATGTGCTCTGTTTTGACAGGAAAAATGTAATGACAATGACAGGTAAGAAGTGTTCCAGAACAGATAAAAACTATAGTTTCTAACATAATCCATTTTCCTACACTCTCTGACACAAGCTGAACATAGACAATGAATGCTCAAAGTGTTAAGATGTCACTGTCACTGAACATTTTGAAATCTTTATTGAATTCATTCATCAACTGACTGTTATCATTATACTTAGGTTTAACACGTGAATTCTAGTTACATATAAAATAATATAAATACATTACAAGATAATATTGACAGAAAGTAATAAGATGGTGGTAGCGAAGAAAATGTCGAAACCAGTATTAAAAGTGTCAAGTAAGTGCTCTTACAATAATATTGTCCGAAACATAAAGTTAGTTGGTTAAGCGGCCCGTGCTTCAGCACGGGGCTTCAGCGAAGCCTTCGTTTGCCCTGTGCACTGACTGGCCGCCGTGATGCCGCGCACTTGCAAAGCCAACAAACGTTCAATGCTGCAGTATTTATCAAAGTCCTGCTGGCCATCATACACTACATGGCCAGTTTCGGTATTGAAATATATATATTTCACTGCAGTGCACTGTTTCTAGTTATTGAGGGTGGCCTGTACATATATTTATGAATGTTGAATACTTTGTATGTTGTAGTGGATTCAGAATCCGAGGAAGAATCCTCCAGCACAGAGGGGCCCTCAGAGTCGGAGAATGAAGCTGAAAATTCAAATAACGCAGAGGCTGAAGTTGAATTCACAAATTCAGATATTGGTGAAAATGCTGATGCAGAAAGTGATGATTCTGATGGTGAAGATAATAGCAATGAGGATGTCCTTATATCTAATGAAGGCTGGGCAGATTCCATAGCTAAAATTTTAGGATCAAATAAGCCTAAGAACAAAAAAACATTAGTGTTATCAAGAGCAAAAAAACATTCAGTTATGACAAAAGTTGTAAAAGATGCAAAACCTGAATTTGAAGTCATAGGTGACAATGAGAAGGAAGAAAAAATTGCAGTTAAGAAAGAAGAGTCAATAGTCTCTGAACCACCACCTAAAAAAACAGTAAGTTTGTAGTAAACTATTTCACAAAATGGTTAAAATTGAGAATAAGAAATTAATGAATGAGGGTTTTCTGAAATATTCTACGTGAGATGGCAGCACTGTAGCGTCAGGTCTAACCACCTGTCAAAACTCGAATACGATTTGTATTTTTTGATCATTTTTTTGGTTTATTCATTCTTAAAAACGTTACAAAAGGAATATTTTTTTCTAAAATGCCACAGTGTTGTGCAGTGCCTATGTGTGCAAATAAAACAGGAGGGCATAAGTTCCCTGCAAAAGATACAAGCCGATTAAAACAAAGTTTGGCAACATTTCTCTGGCCGTAATCCATTATAAAATCAATATCACTTCCAAGTACATAGAATTTCACTAAAAAATATACGTTCGGTAAGAATCTGTGCTATCTGACAGCTGTTTGAACCTGAAGCATATGAAGCGCCTGGTGGCAGAAAAAGTATTGAAAACCCTCACTTAATGATTTATTCAAATTTACCCTCAAAAATGAAATGCTCTTTGAGTGAAAAACCAGCTTTCAACCCATCATGGACATCGTAAAATATCAACATGGTGTAATTCATGTTATGGTATTGCATAACATAATATCCATACATAAATTTCGCAATTTGGTCTTCCTGTGCTTGCCACATTTTGTAACACAAATTTTGCAATATTAATATTTTATAGTGAGTGTGTTGTGAGCTGTTTTTTCACTCAATGATGATGTTTTAGTCTTTCATCTTATACCTTTAAATGAGCAATTAGATTAGACCAAATATGTATGTATCTGAATCTTAGAAATGGCTTCAACAATTTTAACGAAATTTAGTGTGCAGGGAGTTTCAGGAGCTATTAATTGATCTAGCTAGGTTTTATTTTTAGAAAATTTACCAAAAAAATACAGAGCAAAGCTTGGTCATCCAGGTACTGGATAATTATTGGCCCTAAAGAATATTGTTTTGAGAATTTTACTATTGACATTTTGCACTTCTAACAAAATATCTTTAGGCAAAATTTGGAGACAGCTATACTAGCGATAATAAAAATAATGAAGTAGGGTCAGAATATAATTTCTTTATAACTGCTGTTCTCAAATTTTTTGCAGTTCAAGTTTTAAAATGGTGAAGTGACACACCATTTCATTCATCATCAACAGCCTTTACTAGTCCACTGTTGGACATAGGCCTCTCCTTAGAAAGGAGGTTTTGGCCTACTATTTCATATACCATTTCATTGAATGTAATTAATTTATGAAGATCATGTGATGTTAAAAATTTAATTTTTTTAGAAACATAGTAAACCTTCGATTAGAATAAAACCGAATGTACTAGAAAAAGATAGAGAAAGATTACTATCCAAAATTGCTACCAAAGGTGTAGTACAGCTATTCAATGCTGTCAGAAATCAACAGAAAACTATACAAAGTGAAATGGACAGAAATGATTTGCCTGAAAGTAAGAAAGAAAAAATTTTAAAGAAATTTGACAAAAGAGCCTTTTTGGATACATTGATGGGACAGAGCAAGTCAATAGTTGTTGATGAAGAAACAAGGGTAACAAAGAATGAAGTAAAAGATGAAGATAAACTTAAATGGGGTGCGCTAAGGTAAGCTTCTTCTGTTCTGGATCCTTTTAAATCTCAGGCTTAATTTTTTTTTAATGGCAAACGAGCAGACGGGTCACCTGATGGAAAGCGACTACTGCCACCCATGAACGCTAACAACTCAGGAGTCACCAGCACGTTACCGGCCTTAGAGGAAGGTACGCTCTTTTCTTGAAGGCCATATCGGTCCAGAAAAACCGAGGCAAAAAGTGTCTCGAAAAGCGCACAATTTTCATCCCCACACCTTGGATAATTGGCACTCCACGCCCATTATCCAAGTGTTTTGGATGAAAATTTTGCCGTGTGGAATGATGACAGAAAGTTGCGGACCGTATTAGTCCTAACAATTTCTCAGATTACAATTCAATTTAGTTGATAACAGTAGAGTATGACTTATATTTATGGTTTCTGGTGGACAACAAGAAACACTTAGTTTCACATTGAACACCTGTGCGCAACCTGAACATAATGGTCTATTTCTAATCCAATCCAATCCAACCTAAAGTAAAAAAGTGTTTCTTAAAGTTTTATGAGATGGTTGGGTGTGTTATTTTACTTGTTACCTTGCATTACTAACTAAATACAATGTTTTAGTTAATAATTTAATATACCTTATTTAATTTACAGGGATGACTTCATGATGGGTGCTAAAATGAAAGACTGGGATAAAGAGTCTGTAGATGAATGAGAGTATCAATTTAATAAATAATATAAATTTTATAATGTCTATTTTAATTTATTTATTCTGCTAAGAATATTGAGATGAGTACATAACGAATTCATTCTAAATATTTAATAAATAATAATATAATACAAACAAATAATTATTTACATTTATCTTCATTTTATTCTTATCCTTTTCACAAATATTATTCTTTATTACTTAATTGCTATGATTTGAAAGTATCAAAACATTTTTTATTAGTGTTGTTTTTAACGTGATAAAACTATTTACTTTATAATTAAGGTATAAGCGTCATTGCCGACAGAATGCTGTGTGATTTCCTTGGGGAGTGTGGAATATATTTTCACAGGTAAATTCCATACCATAGTCTCTATAGGAACATTTAGTGGGGCATTCCAATCCTTATCTTCTGGGTTTGGTAATAATTTTTCATTTGTCGTCACAAATTCAAAGTGAAGGCGCCAACTTAAAGATACTGCAAGAGGATAATATACATTAAATGCTGTTATAAATGTGTGTCTCATATTTAATAACACCTATTGCAACTCAAATTTATGAGATTATTTAGCAAGGCAAGATCTATTATCATAGATCGATATTAATAATAGGGAGATAAAATAGTACTGTACTGTTTCAAGTAATAGTAAGTAACTCAGACCTAAAAAAAAAGCTTCAAATTGTATCACAGAGTCATAATATTTCATACGTAGCAGCAAGATATATCATTTGCATATGACATATCATTTTCAAAAATTAAACTTAAGTATGTAAAACTGTAGGCATACAATAGCATGATAATAATTTACCGTCATCAACATCAAATGCAGGTGTAATATGCAAAGGTATGGGCAGTATTAGTTGTGATTGTGTCAGTCCCAAAGTGACTTCATGATATCTGGCCACTGTCATGGATCTACTGCTTGTGTCTTTATTGTTGTACTTAGATGGAGTCTTCGACTTTACCACTTCTTCTGGTTGTAATGATACTGATACCTGTGAATTAATATAAAAAAAAGATATATTTAATAGACACAATAAGCAATTTTGCATTGCCTGGTGCCAATTAGTTGATGCAAAACAATGTTGTACTTGAATTATATTTACATCATCATCATTTCATCAACAGCCTGTACTAGTCCACTGCTGGACATGACCTCTCAATTATATTTTAATGGTACTTAAATAAAAATGTTGATGTTGAATGATTATTGATGTTGTTGAATGAAGATTGATGTTGTTGAATGATGATTGATGTTGTTGGATGATGAATGATGTTGATGATGCAAACTAATCAACAATTACTGCTGTTATAATTATTTACAGACATTACTAAATCAAGATTACTTGAATACATTTTCAATTATAGTAACTTATAACATATAATGGCAATTTTGCTAAAGGTGCTATAAATTAATATGGATGTACAATGAATAATTTGTTAAAATACTCAAGTCGGAGCAAACTGCTGTAATTAAACATGAATATGAATATATTGCCACTTTTTGTTCACGTCAGCTACCTATCTCTATATACAAAATTTACAATAAAATCAATTACACTGTAGGGTTGCAATATCTATCCCAGTTTGAATTAAAAAACAAACTGACAAAATGACTGCTAGCCTTAGCCTATGACGAAACAGAAAATCTCTTGACAACATTACATTAAACTGATACTCAGACAGCAACTCACATTCACACACACTCGTACATACATCGCACTGATATTCTTACAATCCATGCTCTTATATCTAAGCCATAATCATGTTATTACTAAAAACTGTAACAGTAAAGTAGTCCATCAAGTCCAAGATTGACAATATTGTCAATAGCGGCCCTAGCAGAAAACTGATGTCCAAAACACAGGTCTGTACCTAGTTTGGATGCCAGGGTTCAAAACTTATGTACCCACAAGAAAATTGTAACTTTAATGATAATGTACTTCTGCAATTCTTTCTTGCGAAATCAATGATTTATTTATTTTTATTTTATTTAATATCTCTTTGCCATGAGGGCTATAAGCATAAGTATAAATAATTATTTTTTGCGTATGTATATAATATTATAAAGATTTAAATAATTTTGTTTTGTCAAATGCTCTCACCTGCATACATGTAACAGTCCCAACTGAGAAATCAAATGTACCCACAATGTCTTCTCCGAGTTTGTAAGCAGATTTAAACAAACAAAATCTACCAACTTTCCCTCTCGTATTTGTTATCATATATGAGTTTGGACTTCTCCTAGCCGTGAGGTTCTGAAATTTAGAGTGAACTTATCATTAATATTTTTTTCAGGCTGATGTGTCATGATTTTCTGTATTTATTTTACATTTACAAATAAAACATAAAATTATGATCTGACATATACATATTACAATACATACATTATGTAAGAAATCTATGTCAGAACCATCTGAACTCGAGTGTACCTAACATATGTTTGTAAAGCATAAGCCACACTGTACAAGCTAAAGTATAAACACTTCAAGAGACATAAAGTGTATTATTATTATTTTTACAATTTTATTAAATTACCTGTAATACTTGCAATGCCATAGTTAATGGAGTTTCAACCTTTCTCTCCTCTGAGAATGGGTTTGTTGGCTGTAATTCCTCAGTTGTTTCATTGCCACACAATACAGCTAGATCTTGCATGTTCATTATAGGACTGATAGGAAGCACTCTGAATGGTATCCTTACCATTTTAATGTGTGACCCAACTTTTTGTGTAGCTATGGTAATCTTATAGGAATACTTTACTGAAGTTCCTCTATAAGAGGGTGGTGCTTCAATAGGTAGGGATTCTCTGTACCAAACTTAAAAATTAAAAAGTATAAATTTAGTTTTTAATATACTTTTGTGACATGACAATTAAACATAAATAAATTATAATACTTACAAGTTTTAGTCTCTCCTAGAGGTATAGTCAAATCGCAGAACAATATTTTGGGTTTTGTGTAGAATATAACATCTCCAATATCACTTGAAGTGACTTCTAGGGAAGTTGTTTTGCCAATTGTGGGTGTTTTGTCACCCGTGTTCTTTGATGTTGAATGAAAACAATGGATTTGTGCAGAAGCCCATGCTAAGTTTTCCAGAGCATCACTAAAAACAGCACATTACGTGTAAAATAGGTCTAAATTTGCCAACTGTTTATAACTTTTAACCAAATGAAAGCACTAATAAGATAAAGTTACCAATGGCTTTGTGAATTCCTGTGTTCTGGCTGTGTAGTGTAGCAAAAGGATATACAACATTCTAGGGCTTCGCCAGCCAAATACACTGTACCAGTAGTTAATTTCGCTGAAAGTTCAATCATTGTGTCAGTCAACAACACACTTGACAGTTTAACACTGACACCAGACAATATTGAAATATTTTTAAGTATGCTCCAGTGCTGCCAGCTAGTGCCAACACTTAAAGCTCATCAATTTTTTTTTAATAACTTGTTAAAGGCGGAAATAAGGTTGTCTTATTTATTTATTTTGAACTTAATGCACATGTTATACAAAGGCGGACTTAATGCCATTAGGCATAGTCTCCTAGTCAACCTTCAGGTGATGTAGAAATTTGAAGCGGTAGGTGCAAAGTAAAATACTAAATTTAAAAATTAAAGTCCAGAGACATACACAATATATAAACACACATACAAACATAAACCTACGTTAATTTAATTAAATATAAAAATACTCAGTCGGGGACTACCGTTGTGTCTGTTCTGCCAATTCACTCCGAAGAAGATCGCGCAAATTTCTCTTGAATGCAAGGCGGTTTGTGGACATCCTGATTTCGGCAGGGAGAACATTCCAGAGAAGAACTTACTGGACATAGAAGGAGGAGTTGATTAAGTTGGAGGTGTGAGGGGGCATAGAAGAAGCATATTGTTGGTTAATCGAAGTTGTCTTCATAGTTAACAATTTAAGTAACAGGAAATTTCACACCTTTTAGCAGTAGAAAAAATGCAATGCAATTTGGAAGATTCTAGGTTTTCTGATTTTAATTTAACTTAAGAAAAAACAATGTACTTACTTCTGCCTTAAAGTCTGGCTACGCACTTATGACTTCTGAATTGAATCTTAAACTAAATTACATCAGGTGACCAGCCTGCTTGTTTGAAACCCTCCATCAAAAAAAAAAACTAGTTTCACTATAACCAAGGGATTTCTTGTTTTGATGAGAGATATTCTAATTAAGAAGTTTTTATTTATTAAAATAAACATAGTGCAATACTGTATATATTTTGATAACATCAACATTTAATAAATCTAGAGTAAACTAAGTTGGCATTTAAGTAACAGGTTTTGTAGCTTGAAGTCCAAGTTAACAGAAATTAACTAAGGCAATTAGTTTCGAGGTATCTAGCGATATTTTCGAAAACATGACATTCATGGCCAATCATATTATTAGCGATATTGATCGGCCTGAATCTGAATATGTTGCGAATAAATGCTGTCCGAAAGCTTTGTTAGATTTTGTGTGAGAAATTTAAACTTCACATGTTGGCAACACTGAGAAATATAACGAATACTAAATAATATAAGGTTTTGTGTATCAGCATACCATTAGCCTTTTATTTCCAGGATTATATCCCATTTCAATTGTACTATTACAACTGATGTTTTAAATACTAGTATACCAATATAATTTACAATCTGTCCCTATTTTATATTAAGTTATGTAAAACCTTCATTCATTTATGTTTGCAACTGAAAGACTGTATCTATGGTCATGAATACAAATTAAAAAAGTAACGAATTTACGTTTAACAAATTCAAAAGTTACTGAAACTGAATTTTGTGCCAGCAAATGAGAAAACAAACAAAATGTTAATATCAGATGGAATAAATCATGGTAAACTACAATCAATAATCGTAGGGGAACTGAAGAAAGCTGGTTTAAAGCATCGCCTCAAAAAAATAATTTTGAAAAGTATAAAAGTAAGTACCTAGTGATCTTAGATTTCCTGCCATGTAAATATTAAAACTGTGGTCTTTGACATTATCTTATTCATTTCAAGGATCACAAAACAGTATTTGGAGCCCCTCTTGTGAAAGTTCCATCCTGTAGTGTAATATGTTGTGGCAGTACCTTAAGTATTCCTGTGATTGTTGCCGAAATGTCTTCAGTGCTTCGGTCCAACGCCCATGTTGAAGGATTGTTTCGTAAAGCTGGCTCACAGAACCGACAGAAAGATATTAAGGTATTAAAATGAGAATACGTAGAGCATACAAACACAATTTCTATTAATTTTTCTAATATTTTATGTAAACATTTGATTTGCAATAAATTTTGCAATACTTGTTGGCATGTCAGTTAAATTAGATTGGTTTTTCGATGTTTAGTCTCTGAAAGTTCTTAGACCTTGCTTTAAGATAATAGACTAATGTTTACTAGTTGGAAATTTGATTTATCTATTTGAACTCTAGTCTTACCAATAAAAACTGATCAAATAAATGGTAGCCCATGAACTAAGTATAATATAAATTCTCACAAGGTCTATTAAATATAATTTCAATCAACAAATATAAATAAAACACCATTACACAAACAAAACTTACAGTGCCAACAAGTAATAAAATAATTTACCTATTTAAAAAATTGTATTTCCTATTTCAACATTTGATTTGCTTGTAATTTTTGTCATTTTTTATGAATTAATTGCAGAGATTATTAGATGCTGGTGGTTGTGTATCAGAAGGTCACCATCCCATAGATGTTGCAAGTGTATTAAAATTGTATCTGAGATGTCTACCAGAGCCTTTGATCAGTGCTGAAGTTCAAGATTTATTGTTACGCTGTAGACTAACTGCTGGAGATGATGCATTAAAACCTATTTTACATACTTTGTTGTTACTACCAGTATTACATGTTCACCTTCTGCATTATATCATGGAGGTGAGATATCTACTACTTGATTCAGCTAATTTGCTGTTCAGCAATTATTTTAAAACAATATTTGAAAAGAGAATTTTACAGTTTCAAAATTCCATAAACAACTTTTGTTTTATAAATTGCCCAATAAGTTCAAAAAAAAATATATTTGTGAAATGGTTGTATCCTAAAGGACAGGATACAAGACTGATTGTTGTGAGAACCTTGGGAAAGACCTATGTCCAGCAGTGGACTTCTTTTACACCAGTAACCATACCACTTTTACTGGTGTAAAAGAAGTCCACTGCTGGACATAGGTCTTTCCCAAGGTTCTCACAACAATCAGTCTTGTATCCACCACCAGGTGATGATGATTGTATTCATAATACTATTTACCATCTTAGCATTTGTTATGAACTTTGGTTGTTATACGATCAGCAGCAAATTGGTATTCTAACTCAATTATGTTTATTACAGCTATTAAACTACATAGCATCAAAACATAAAGACAACCTGATGGACATATCCAACTTAGCAATTGTAATGGCACCCAGTGTTATGCCACTGCCAGCAGCAGCATCTACACAGAGACTTGAACATCATGTTGCTCTGGTTAAGGTAAAAAAACATTATTTTCTACATAGGTAACTTACAAGTTCAAGTTTTTAAAAAGGATGCAGGGGATGGATTGCATGAAAGCTAGAACAGCAGAGAGCCAACATGAGACAGTATCTGGCTATGACATATTATGGCAATACTTACCTATATTAGCCCCCTAATTCTGATTCATCATCAGCATCAGCCTGCCAGTCCATTGCTGGACATAGGCCTCTCTTTAGAAAGGAGGTTTTGGCCTACTCTTGCCAGACAGGTTTGTATAGGGTTTGTTTCGAGTTTCTTCCCCTTTGCAGTGCTGTGGGTGGTGACAGTCTGTATTCTTAATCCATCACCACACCAACACGCAATTTCAATTGCTGGATGATGATCTATCTAACATTGTCCTTACATTTAATAAAGTTAAATGTAAGGACATAGATGAGCAATGCTATGGTTCTGTGCCATGCAATTGCTTATTAGATTTGGCAATATGCCTTTTAGTTTGCGGCTCCGCCCGAGTGTATGACGGTTATCATAACTTAAGGAGTCTTATGTCGTTCCTCAGGAATCAAAGTATCTCCATGCCAAAGGGTCTAGCAGGATAAGGTAAGGTCAGCGGCCCCAGAAAGATATTTTGAAACTAACTCTAATGAGTTCAACATCGGCGAGGTGTAAAACCACTATTAACTGAAATTCAGCCTGCTATGTCGAGCGAGTGATTAGTTTTTACATTTTTTTTTTTTTTTTTTTTTTTTTTTTTTTTTAAAGACAACTCCCGCATTAGGAATATATCCTGTGTCGCGGGGGACTTTACAAACATACATGTAACGGACACAAAGAACACCCAGACTCAGAACAACAAATTGTGGATCACACAAAGTGTCGTCCCATGTGGGGTTTGAACCCACAACACTTGGCGTAGTTGGAAGCGGCGTGGCGACCGTTTAAACCACTACGCCATCCGTGCAGTCGACATCTGACATATTTCGTGTTACTACTACTGCTACTCACTAGACACGATAAAAAGGTTTACTATAAGAAAAATTAAAAATTAAAATAGTCCGAAACAATATTCCTCACACGATTATTGAAGTCGAGCCACTATAATGATCGGGATAGAAGAATAATAGGTAAACAAAACACAACACAATGCATACAAGCAAATAACTTGAAAGCGACAAGTTTCGTCTTGTTCTTTAAAAATGTCGTAGTTCAACCAAGAATTTTCATCTTTTTATGTCGAAATCAACGTTATACCTATATTTTCAACTACTATCAAATATGTTTTTAAGTAATAAGCATGTTATTATCGTGTCTAGAATAATGAAAAAGTTTAATCAAAAGACAAATATGAATTCATTAGTACCTACGGTCATAAGGAGTTTTAATTTTTTTTGGAAGTGTAGCACCCATTTTTTATTTATGCACTTTTTGGTACTAATACTAGACATAGTAAGCTACATTATATATTTTTTCTGTAATGTACAATCACAGAAAAAATATATAATGTAGCTGAATCTGCGTGAATTATGAATAAAATCTATTTTTTTTTTTTTATAGTAAATACAACTGAAAAATTCTATAAAAAATATATAATGTAGCTGAATCTGCTTGAATTATGAATAAAATCTAGTTTTTTTTTTTATAGTAAATACAACTGAAAAATTTTATAATAAATATATAACGTAGACTAATATTTTGTCTTACGACCAGTTTTTGTTTCATTAGTGCAGCTGTAATAGTTTTCGAAAAAAATAATTTTTAAAAATACCCGCTCTAGCGTCTTTTTGATCAATTATCTCCAGAACGCAGAGACATAACAGGCTGAATTTCAGTTAATAGTGGTTTTACACCTCGCCGATGTTGCCTAATGAGTTAGTTTCAAAATATCTTTCTGGGGCCGCTGACCCCTACCTTATCCTGCTAGACCCTTTCATTAAAATTGACCTAACAGCCTAACAGATAGTCAAAGTTACCTTTACTGACTCTCGAAGTTTCAAAAGAAGAAGGTTCTCAATTCAGTTGAATTTTTTAAATATTTGTTACCTCACAAATTTCACAACCTGATTTTTTAGAGTTCCGTACCTTAAAAGGTACAAAAGGAACCCTTATAAGATCACTTTTTTGTCCGTCTGTCCGTGTGTCACCACCGATTTTCTCAGGAACGGGTAGACCGAGCAAGTTGGAATTTATACCAGATACTAAGGTCCATGGTCCCTATTAGGTGTATTAAACTCAAGGTCCTGAGTCAACACGATAAAAAGATATGGGCGAATTTCGTTTTTCGCGAAAACATGTAAGTACCAAAATTTACCTTAATTTTCAATTTTCTTTATTTTTCAGAATTGACAATTTTGGTTAAAAGCAAGGTCTAACCAAAATTGATAATTCAGACAGCACAAGTCAAGAGAAAATTCCAAAAAATAAAAAAAAATTGAAAATTACGGTTAATTTTGGTACTTACATGTTTTTGCGAAAATCTACGTAAAAGCTGGGTAGCAATATTAGTAGGGATGTTTGTCTGTTTCCCGACAATCCAAATACCTGAAATTGGTTTTGTTTGAGTAATTTTATGGTTTTGTGAACAGATGTTCATCGAAAACGCAAAACACATTGGTTTACTGACGGAAGAGCTCATGGTAAAACTAGATGATGATTCTGATGTCAATAGAGCCAGACGAAAAAAACGACGAAGCGGATCCCTTAATCGTAAGTTTATTATCTGTTTATGTCTGTGTTACGAGTGTGTCATAGCAAAAAACAACTTAAACTTGAAAACAACTTAATCAAAACATAATCTTGAACTTCCGATAATTCCGATCCCATTTGTGTTTAATTTGTGAAAAAGTCTTTACCTTCTCCGTATTAAGAAGTGTACTATCTGCTACTACTAATTTCAAGTTCTTAACTTTTATGATTTGACGACTCGTGATTTACTAGTGAGTTATACTTTTAGAAATATATTACACCTTGAATTCTTTGTTAGTTTCTAAATTGCAATTCAATCTATGTGAAAGTTTAATTTGTTCTTACTTAAACATAAGGTAAATTTAATTAGGAACAAATTAAATTTTCCATTTTTCCATGTCCTCTTTATTCCTTTCCCTCTATTTTAATATAAATTAAGCTTAAAAGGTCTACGATAAAAAAAACCTAATATTATTCATTGTAGGGGTTCTCAACGGTCTTCGCAAAATGGTATCAGGCAGTGTTAACACGCCTGCAACAGTCAATGAGAATGGTAAAACTCCAATTCTGAGCAAATCTGCTGCAAAACGGAAGTTCGACACCTACGAAGGTTTTTCTGCGAAAACAAGGTCAGTTCTGTTGTATTTATAAGTTACTCATTTTAAAAATAATATATTTTTTTCTGCTGTTGTCATTGTAACTTTCATGTTTTTTATACAGAAAAGAAATCACGAAAGGACTTCCACAGAAGGAGTTATCGTTTACACCAATGAAAATGTAAGTATAAAGTCAACTTAAACATGTTTGGTTTAAAATATAATGGAAAAGAATTGTAAAACCGAAATTCAACATAATTATGTTATTACAGAGGTCTTGAACGCAAAAGATTAAGGCTCAGTTTGATGGATGCAAGAAGTACTCCTATAATCAATACAGACTACAGTTCCCACAAAAACTCTGAAACAAGTACTAGCAGTGACGATTTGTTAACTTCCTCTGAACATTTGTTCAGTGCGCATGATACAATTGACTTGTCTAACGATATGAAACAATCTGATAAAGATTACGTCAGAATCTCTAAACAGGAGTATGAAGAGATCAAAAGCAGAGTATCAGCAATAGAGAACAGACTGTCTAGAGAGTTTACCGACGTCATACCGAGGGTGCAACCACTGCAACAAGTACAAGATGTATACGAACAAACATTAGAGGAAGTAGCTATGTTGAACTGTCCTACCTCCGATCACCTAGCTCGACGTTTGAGCAAAGAACTGAAGATACGGCCGAACGAAGAAGCAAAAATCATCCGCTCACCGAGCGCTAGAAAAATTGGCTCCATAAGACGACGATCTAAAGAAAACATAACTAAAATAGTAAGACATAAATCTTGGAATGTATCGTCTAAGTCACAATCTAGTCAAAATACAGATAGGTTTTATCCATACATGGGAATGAATCGCAGAGAAAGAACCAGCACTGCCAAACCTAACTCAGAAGTACAGAAGCTGCAAGCGTCTGTAGGACCTGAATGGGACACCTCTGCCTCTGAAACCTCTACCAACAATATATCAGACTCGAGTCATAAATATCAATTACGCAAAAGAATGAGTTTTATACCGGACCACAGTACAGAAAAACCTATCAGCAGAATTCCGGCGCGTCGGTCTCTGAATATCACCATCAACAATAGTTGGGACAATACAGCCTCGGAAAATTCGATGAACCACACATTAAATTCTACAGGGAAATCCAATAACACAGAAAGTGCCAGTTGCTACCAAAACATACGTAATGGGAGCACAAATATTCGAAAACCGAGTCCCCAAAAATGGCGAAGCGCTGCAGCTTTCTTCATGAACAAAACAGGAGAAGTTGAAAGTACTAGTCAAACTGGAAGACCCTCAGTAAACAAATTGCGTCGTCAAAACGCTGGCGCCGTTCTTGCTAAAGCGAAATTATTTGAATCTAGTTCGGATAAATCTTCTGATAGAAACGATAAAATCAGTCACACGGGTTTTGCAAGAAGACCCAGAATAAGCAATCAGCAAAATAAACCGCAAAAGAATGTATCGCACGCGAAACCTAAAGTCCATGCAAATGACATCGTATCACACAATATCCCGGTCAGGGTTGCCAGGAATGTTGATGTCGCGTCAAACGTACCTTCAAAATCGTATCACTTGAGTACTCCGAGCAGAGTTGATGTTGAATCATGGCGAAATATGAGGAAAACAACGCCACCCATAAAAAACGTTGTTTCGCCGCAAAATGTTATTAAAACACCACAAATACCAGTATTGAAAAAGTCCCTGTGTACTCCTAAGACTTCTCGGTTGCCATCTTTAAACACTGATCTCAGAAAAGCTAACACGCCTTTGAAAGCTGTTCACATATCTCCGAGGAGACGATCTCCACGGTTAAAACGTGGTAAACTAACTTCAAATGATTAGAATTTATGTATTGTAGGTACCAATGAGTAATTAATTTTGTTATATCATTAAGGATAACAAAGTGTAACAAGTGGCCATGTGTAAATATGAATCTAATTCTATTAGTCATGATTATATAATAATTATCACATTTGTGTTATTACTTTATGCTCCACAAATCAGATTATGACCAGTACCGCAAAAACGGTATAAGTCGCTTAGTATACAGTGTATATAGTTTTGAAAATTGGAGAGAACGCTCTTCGGTTCGTCTATGTATCTTATATATTATTTGCCCCAGGATCAATACAGACATTGTCTAAACACCCCCACAATCCATCTTAACTAAGAAGTAGCGATAGATGTTTCATACTTTTCAAGCTACATACAATAGATAGCTTTTTTAGACTTCGTTTCAGTCACGTAGTTGGTCATTTACCGTAGTTTCGACTATTCAAAATTCACTGTTATGTAAATAATCGTAAGAATATACGAAAAATCGAATTTATTAATAACGAGCCGTTACAATCCAGGTGTCTTTTAGTATTTAATAAAACTTAAATTTCAGCTGACAGCCGGTTATCCGTTGTGTGTGCAATCCTACAAAATTACTAATTACTTTACATTTTAGAAAACCACCTAAATATGCGTCACGGCCGCTTTCGCATCCGAACTCAGTCGGGTTATGTACGGTCGCGGTCATAAGTCCAGTAGCACTTTTACAAAGTTATAGCATAACTAGTTGGAATTGTAACCTTCTATTACCGTATATCACACACATTACATACACGCTACGTGCGTATGATTATAGAAACTAATTTCAACGCAATCAATAACTGTCCGTCAAAAATGCATTTCTTGTCATTAACGGAATTAACTGCATTTTATGCTTGTTAGTGAATTTGATACAAAAAAAAATAGAAGTTTTTAAAAGGAAATATTAAAAACACAATGATTGTGATTAAGACTCCGGTGATAATACAGACTTCAAGTAAAAAAAATGGCAATTTTAATATTATTAATGAATAATTAAGGTAGAACAATACACAGTGATTTCGATTTTTATCAACCACCAACAGGCAGGCAGTTGTCAGTCATTACTTTGTGTGACCGAAATTGAATATTACTGACAGACGGTGCGGCGTGCGACCTTGTCCGCTCGCCTCGCATTTTCCGCCACGGGCGACGATTCTGTAACCCCAGCGCTGAGCATTTCCATACATAGCATTCGTACACCACCCGCGGCGGATACGTTAAGTTTATGTAGGATGATATCCACTAAACGGTTCGCATCGGATCGGAACGGATGTTACATTCTTTGAACGATATTATAACGTGTACAGAGTATTTAAGTCTATATTACAAAGCGATACGTGACCGTAACCGACAGTATGCTATGCTACGAGGGCGGGTCAATAAGTCCGTGACTTTTGGAATAAAACACAGATTTTTTGATAAATAAATCATTTTATTTTTCAACGTAGTCTCCCTTGAGCTCTATACACTTTGTCCAACGCTTCTCCAATTTTTTTATCCCTTCCAAAAAATATGATTTGTCGAGGTTCTCAAAATAGGCCTTTGTTTGCGAGATGACTTCATCATTGGAGTCAAATCTTTTTCCACCAAGCCATTTCTTCAGGTTTGGGAACAAGAAGTAGTCACTCGGAGCCAAATCTGGAGAATAGGGCGGATGAGGGAGCAATTCATAGCCCAATTCATGGATTTTTGCCATGGCAACTGCACATGTGTGCACCCTTGCATTGTCTTGGTGGAAAAGAACTTTTTTCTTGGCCAAATGAGGTCGGTTTTTTTTCAAATCGTCATTGAATCGGTGCAATAAGTTGGCATAATATGGGGAATATTGGATTGTTCTTCCCTTTTGAAGGTAGTCAATGTGTTATTTATCCCGCGTGCATCCCAGAAGACAGTCGCCATAACTTTATTGGCTGACAAACCCACCTTGGCCTTCTTTGGCGCCGATTCACCCTTAGAAACCCACTGTTTTGACTGTTGTTTGGTCTCTGGTGTGTTGTGATGGATCCATGTTTCGTCTACGGTTACAAAACGGCGCAAAAACTCCTCCATATTGCGATTAAACAACGCCAAACCTTCCTGTGAAGTTGTTACACGATTGCGTTTGTGGTCGACTGTGAGCAATCGCGGCACCCATCTTGCGGAAAGCTTTCTCATGCCCAAGTGATCATTCAAAATTGAAACCACTGAGCCATGCGAGATCCCTACGGCTTCCACAATCTCTTGCACTTTCAATCTTCGGTCGGCCAACACCATATCGTGAATTTTTTCGATTGTTTCGGGTGAAGAGACCTCAACTGGGCGTCCAGGACGTTGGGCATCTTCAGTGCTTGTATAACAACGAAATTCAGTAAACCACTTTTTTACCATTGAAATCGATGGTGCAGAGTCCCCATAGTATTTATCAAGCTTAGCCTTGGTCTCGGTAATGGTTTTTTTTCGCAAAAAATAATGTTTAAAAAGCACACGAAATTCACTTTTTTCCCATTTTTCCTCAAATTACTGGGTAGTCTGATAAAGATAGCTGTCAAACACAAACTAACTGACGCAGCAAGTTCAAATTTTGATAGGAGTCAACTGACAGATGCCTGTTGACAGGAGTAGTTTTGCTTTTTCAGTAAAGAGGTCAGAAATTCAAAAAGTCACGGACTTATTGACCCGCCCTCGTATGACGCGCGATTAGCTCCTTTCGCTTGTCGTCGTATGCTATCGGATTCTTTCGGCTGGCGTCGCATGCGCATTTTTATCACAAATCATCAATCCAGATTCTTCTTTCCCTCTTCTGTGTTTTATGACTTTTTTCTTATGCAATACCTAACAATACAATAACTTAAAAACAATAATTTCAAAAAATTTGAACTCGGTCAACACGGTAAGAATTTAATTATTAATTAATAGTATAGTGAACCAATAATAAGAAGCTGATAGAAGATAAAGTAAGATTATTCTAATATATTACCTATGCACTTACTAGACATGAGAAATAGTTATAAAAATATAACATTTTCACAGTAAAGTTAGATTTTTTGTCGCTGTTATTATCGGCTTTTTTGCATTCACTTTTCTTAATAAAACGGGCTACTATTGCTGTTGAGGAAGACTGATTCCGTCCTGCGTTTTCTGCTTAGACGAGTTTTTTCTAAATTCTCACATTTTCAAATACCCTACATATTTACCTACTTATAAATCTATGCCTAATATTCACATCTATAAGTCATTATTTCTTGAAGTTTTTCATAAAAAACTTCAACCAATTTAAACCTATCCGTTGTGTACGCAACTTTACAAAATTACTATATACTATACTGTAAATTTAAGAATGTTACCTAAATGTACTGCACCGTCGCTTTTTAGTAGCCATCCGAACTCGGTCGGGTTATGTACCAATTGCGGCGATTGTCAGTATTTTAATTGTATTTCGTCAATTATTGTGTAAGGAAATGAAATTTTACGTGTGCATAGTTGAATTAATGCACTAATTATAACGCATTTCCTTTAGATTCTAAAGGAAATGCGTTATAATTAGTGCATGAATTCAACTAAGATTCTAAAGTTTAGAATCTCGTGCAATAAGACTGCATATAAAACAGTGGTCCAGTCATGGTAAATTATCCCATAGCGCATTAATTACTAAGAGTACATCAATGATACTTGGTAAGACGTTGTAGATGCTTACAAGGTATCTATAAACGTTATAAGCTAGATCCTAGTGCATAAGCACCAAGTACTAGGACCTGATTTATATTTAAATCTTCTGAATGGTATGGTTTTCTTTAAATCCGTTTTTACAAATAGTATAAACAAGTTATGATAAAATCTAGTTCTCTAGAAAAGCGTTTTATATGAAATCTAGCAAATGGCCAAACGTTGTCGCAGCGGAAACCTGAATATCTTCGCAGTTTATTGACGCACAAATTTCATTAAACATATACAATTACCTTATGTACGTCATACACTAATTTTTGATACCATTTTTTTTCTTCTACGTTCACAGGATAAAAAAAAGCCCTGCTGGGACAACGTTGTCCTAGCGCTACTTTTTTTATTCAGTTTTTCGTGAACTCCGCAATGGTTGGATGCACAAATTTTTACTTACCATACACAATTACACGACGTCATACACTATAAATATCTGTTAAAGTCAAACAATGAAATTCGAACTCTTTCCGCTGGGGCAACGCACACGTCGAAGCGGCAACTGGAATATCTTCGCAGTTTATTGGGTGTGGTTACCCCAGCAAAATAATGTCGAAAATGGTAATTTAAACATTATAGATAATTAGTTGGCCCCTTCTGTAATTGTTAGGCACATTTTTAAATTTATTTCACTTAATCTTTTTGTTATTTAAAAAAAAACATTTTCTTTTTTAATTGGAATATTTAAATAAATATTAGCTAAATAATTAGTTATCTGGACTAGGGAAATGTTACAACTTATTTGGTATTTGTAGTTTCTTCGGCTGCGAAGTTATTCGAGATCCTTGCTGGCGTAACGTTTGTGGGTTTGCTGGATCTCTGAAACGGGTACGCGGATTGTAACCATGTTTTGTACATAACTTCTTAAGGATTAGTTTAAACTTGTTTAACAATAAAAAAAAACAAAAATAATAGACCGTTTAAAAATTATTTAATTAAGTATGAAAACACTTCAATACGTCCTAAAACTTTGAATAAGACCTCTAAAGACTTACTTTATACGTTATTCTATTGCTTGTAACTGCCTTCAAATTTATATGAATTTTCGTTAGTATACTGTTAGTGACTAAAAAGTTATGATGAAATGTAGCTCTCCACGTTCACGATCACAATGTGTGCGGCCTTTTTTGGCCACCGATAAACCTGTGTGTGGATATATAAACTGAATGTTGTACCAATAATTAGTTATCTAGTTCAGTTGTCTACCTGTAAAATTTCAGCGTCGTACATATAATAATTTACGAGATAATTAAATAAAAGTCATTAGAAGTTGCAAGACCGTGGTTACGAAAAACCGATCACCCAGTACATTGTGCTGTGCACGTGGGCCAACACTTTTTTGTTTAGATACCTACTTTTGTTTTTTTTTATGTAACGACTTTTGTATTGTTTTTCTGTACTTGTGCTGCAAAGGCCTTGCTTCTAATTAATCTTTACAACGTGGGAAGTAGGTTCCATTTAAGTTTTGAACAATCTTTCCAATTGTAATATAAATATACACATTTATTAAGGGACTACTTTGTTTTACTAGTAAAGGACGATATAGGAAATGAAGGAACTGATTAAAATGCTCGTTTTGTCGTTCGTTTTGAAGTCATTCAAATTATGAATTCTGGTAATTTGATATTTATATTGGGATTTCGAATTGGGGATAAGGACATTCTTAAGTAGTGCCATATTTGCTTATTTGAACAACTTTGGCTTGAGGTGATTTCAAACAAGCATTTACAGGCCTAGTATATTCTCATATTTTGTTGGATAGCATTTTGATAATATAAATAAAAATCCAATTATATTATATGATGTATATCACGGATTTTACAGTGGTATTTTCGTGTATAAACAAAATATCCAGATTTCAATTTAATAAATTAAGAACTTACAATTCAATAAATAACAATTTTCACATTCAAATATATAAAAGCATGGGCGCCACAATAATTTTCTTGTTATTATATTTGACAATAAAAATTGATTAAACGATTTCGAATTTGTTTAGACAATAATAAAACAAAAGTCATATCTTTCTGTATGTGGGGTTCAACTAAAATATTTTTACTTATACATTTAGCGATGATCACAGATTTGAGGATTATAAAAAAAGCAGATTCAGAACAGACCGTGCTATGGGGAGACGATTTAATAATTCGAAACTTGCAATAGTGATTACTGAGTAATTTAGGTTTCATTATAGCTTAACGGCTAACTTATCACTATCAGCACTCGGCCGCTCACGCACGGCTCATCCAGTTCCTAACATTGCTTCTCGATCGATATCAATACCAAATTTAAATTAACAATATAATAAAATATCAATTGTACCTAAGATCTTTTCCAATTAAAAATGCACATTCGTTCTTAAATTGCATCTTAATATACACTAACGGGCCGCAGAGGCGGCTAATGATATCTCCTGACTATCTACTGGCTCACAGGCAATCGTGCTCTTCACTCCGACCGCCGCCAGCGCCTGCGGCGGCCTCTCCGTCTAACCATAAACGTACGTAATTCCATAATTAAACATACATGTTGTGATCAATAATAAAAATATAATGATACAAATACATTAATTACTACATTTTCGATTATTGTGTGACATAAATATTTACAAAGCGCATTAGGAGCGCCAAATTAGTTAGGCGAGGCAGACTCCTAAACGAGAGATTAATAAATGCGCCGCGCCTAGTCCACTACGACCGTCAGACACGACACAACAGGACTGACGCTCCCGCACCCGGCTCGACGCTCCACGAACTAAATGTACCATAACTCGTACAAGTATCTTTATTAACTAAAACATCTGACCAATTAACTTTATTGTCAGGAGAGCTAAGGAATAAATGCCCCAAAATAAAAGAAATCGTATAGTCAAAGTGTTAAAATTATATGGATTCATTATATTACAAAGTTATCCTGACTGTCACAGTCGCTGGATCGAAAACTAATTACAAAACTAAACTTTTTTTTATTGTAGAAACAAAAACTAATTTACTTCCCCATGATTATGAAACTAGTAGATACTATAATATATAAGCTACTACCAGTACATCTTATAAAACGAATAACATTATTCTAAATATCAAAGTGATCTCTCGATATTATGGTTTACGATTACAATTTGGGAATGCATGATACTACTCGACAAAATACAATAATTATTAAGTACCGATGATTAAAAAAACTCCCTACATATACAGATAGCGTAACAATGTTCGAAATATAATTAGTTTCGTCAACTATAAAGTACAAAGATGCAAATACGTCATAACAGTCGGTTACACGCGTGCGAACGGGAGGCGACTCCCTAACGACGATATACAATACCAAGTTTTAGATAATAAAAATAATTGAACTAAGGCGCGAGTCGCCCGGCGCGGGCGAGAGGGACGGGCGAGTCGCGCGGCTAAACTACAAGATAACGTTGGCGGCGAATAACACCTAAAATAAATACAAAGAAATCCGACGAATACTGTCATGCGGGGGGCGGGGCGGCGCTCAGTTCACCATGAGCGTGTGCGACTCCATGGGCGCCGCCGAGTCGTACAGCGTGTCCGTGTCCTGCGTGGGCTCGCCCTGCAGCTGGCACTGGTTCGACAGCGTTCCCGCGCCGCAGTCGCAGAAGAATCTGGAACACACCACCACATTCGAGCATTCCCCACCGGAAAGACAATTCTACAAATAAAAATCATACTACAAGATTTATACCTGTCATGGCGAATGAATTCTACGTCGTGTCCCGAATGGCACGTTTTGATGCAATTGACACAGATTGCATTACGGTCGGTGGTGTTGCACGTCTGGCATCTGAAAATGTACAAAAAAAATGAGAAAAGTACTAGCAAAAAGCTAAATTTGAAGATCTGTACAGCATATTTACTTACCTATAAAAATCATGCATCGGGAACGACGTATAAGATGAGATTTTATACAGACACTGCCCTCCGCCGACAGCCTTCTCTACTGCGTCTTGATTGCTAAATATTTTATTACCCCGTACAAGAGGCGAAACACCAGAAGCTAGGCATAATCCTGTTGACAAATATCCTAATAAGAATCCTGAGCAGAACACTACCGACGTGAACCGACTCCTAACACAAGTTAGCTTAGCTGAAGGGGTGAACAGGAATTCTAGTAATTTTGGTTGCTAGTATCTCCTTCTTAAAAATATATATATATATTTGATAATTAAAAGAGAAAGGGATTTGTTTCATTATCAATTTTTTACGAGATAATCAACTTACCAAAGTTAGGGTAAGATATTTCAGTGATGCATAATAAGTTACCTCCAAATCTGTTGTTAAATATCTGGTTATGTTCGAGCGTAGCCGTGGCGTTGTTAGTGATCTCGACCCCAGCCGCGAGCCCGTCAAAGATCCTGTTGCGGCGCAGTACGGGGTGGCTCTGCGTCGAAATTAACACTCCTGCCTGCGCGTTACGAAATATGTCGTTCTCCTCGAGCACTCCCTGCCGAACATCGAAAGCGTGTCACCATTGAGAAATATGAAGTTAACAAGTTCGTATAATATAAGGGTAATTTACTGATAAGGATTTTTATTAAAGTAAATCAAATTTTACACAAACCAGTAATTAATATTGTGTTAGTGGTGTGTCTATAATCCATTCGCGTTAAGAAAATAGAGACGCATTGGGGATAATTATATATATAATGTATTCAGAATGGAGTAAAAATTTACACAATTTCTTTACCATGAAGGAATGTTACTACGTCAAATAAATTTTGACCAAACAATATAAATAAAACCACCACACGACTATGCCTTATGCATACATTAAAATTATAATAATTATTCACTGTGCGAAGTTGGGAATAAAAAAGTAAAGTAATATAGTAAGTATGTAAAAAAGTAATCCTACCTTTCCTCCGTTAAAAATACAAATGCCCCCATCACGTCCATCAAATATTTTGTTTCTCTTGAGTGTTGGGTTGGAATCAGTCTTTATCCATACTCCGGCCATGGCGTTATCAAATATCTCGTTCTGTTCTAAAAGCCCGAGGCCACCGTTGTAAACGAGTACGCCACCATTCTGACCGCCCCATATTTTATTACCCCTGATCACGGGGTTGCTACCGGTTCGTATCTGAACGCCAGAGTATAAGTGGTTAAATATATCGTTGTCTTCTAATTTTCCATGGCCATTATCGTAAAAATACACTCCAACCTGTAATATGAATGAAATATAATATGTAGTAATTTGCTGATCACACATACCTTATTTTTTCCTTAATACTTGTGTATAAAACAGTATTGCAAACTAAAGGCAATCAATTAAAAAAACTATTCATAGACCTTATGAAAATAAAAACTTTTTTTGTAAAACCAAATAACTTTAACTCTAGGATCATTTTATATTCGCAAATTTTCAGGTAATTTGGGCTGACATTTTTAAATTTAAACAAAAATAATTCTCATTTAAACATTTATGGGTGACTGATCAGACCAGTTTTTCTTTCAACAGTTATTTCGAAATCGGCGCGAAAAAAAAACTGCGATGACGCAGCCATTGCTTAGCTAACCCTTTTTGTCCCATCTTACTCTATTCGTCCATCTTCTTATTTAGTTTTATGGCTATAAGTATAGAGGTTGTTTTCTATGGATAATGCTGTGCTTGCCATATTGATTCACTCTTTGAACTTTGAAAATTGGTGCAAAATTGAGCAAAATTTATTTTCTAACTTTTTACTAATTAAACCAAATTCCAATGCCTGACAAACCCCACTGGGCCAGAATCCTCACTAATTTACTTGTTTGTTTTTTACTCTTTCACACCTTGACTAATCCTTCGATAATTATGTGATTTATTATGCATACACTTCATCAGGTGTACAGGAAAGAAAATAAGGTGTATTTCATTTAAGAAAAAAAGCTCTGTTCTTGAAAAATAAATAAACGGCAAGCAGGGTCGCAGTTAGAATCTTAAACATTTAGTAAAATAGTATTTATAACATACTTGTTTCCCCGAATGTATGCGATTGCGTCGCAACACAGGAGTGGAGCCAGTAGTGATCCAGACGCCGGCGAGTGTATTGGCGTATACCTCATTCTCTTCGATGAGTCCCTGGCCCTTCTCATGTACATAGATTCCTCCATGTTGTCCATGGTGAATTTTGTTATGCCTTACTATTGGATCACTGTTTGTTCTTATCTGAAGAATAATTAAATAAGTTTGGTGAATTGAGAGCAAAACTCCGACTTGTGCCACTGAGTCTCTACCCAGTTAAACCACAATATATAACTTGTTACTTGGATATATTCCTTGATTTCTGTGAAGTAGTAGGTAGGTAGGTGGTGTATTGAAATGTACAGTTTTAATTTTTTTGTTATGTTATATAATTACATTGACAAGCTTAATTCAGACCTTAATGTAATTGATATGTTTACAGCTTGGAAGACAGAAACAGAATCATCTGAAGATAGTGGTGCAAATAATATATAACCAGTTGCTTAGCAGGACAAAGAAGCTTACCTGAATGCCAGCTAAAGCATTCCCATAAATATTATTGTGCTCAATAAGGCCGCGTCCCTCGCCAAATATGTACACGCCTCCTTGATGCCCATTGTATATTTCATTACGTCTAATCGTGGGGTTACTGTTGGACGTTATCCACACTCCAGCAAAGTTGTTAGAATGTATTTTATTATCTATAAACTGGCCTAGGCCAGACTCGTGGACGTATATGCCTCCTGTCTGACCATGGTGAATCTCACAATGTACTACGGTGGGATTGGCGCCAGCTTTTACTTCAAAGCCAGCAATTCTGTTGTTGTGAATATCATTTGCTTCAAAATAGCCCTGTGGAGTGACCAAAGGAGGACTTTATAAAACTTAAAATTGTATTTGTTGGAATAACTTAAATATTCTCTACACAAGCAGTGTGGTTTAGTAGTTTATGGCAATACATAGTGCATTGGACTGTATATTAAAATTAATAAAATTGTTTTTTTTTCCTCATTTCTTGTTGAGTTTCTCTCTATTATTTTTGAATTTAGATAAGCTTTTTTAAATATCTAGATAAGAGTTTCTCACAGTTCAGTATAAGATCAACTGAACTTAGTCACATTATGTTTTTCTAAGTAAGTAAATGTAATTACTCACTAAGCCATTTTCAAATGTAAATATGCCGACATCTCTGCCATGATGTATGTGGTTGCGGCGCATGATAGGGTTGGCAAAGTTCTTGACCCAGATGCCGGCGAGCGCGTTGCGCGAGATCTCATTGTCCTGGTAGGCGCCCTGCGCATAGTCTGTGACGTACAGCCCTACGTTCTCGCAGTCGCTGATATCGCAATGCTTGATCACGGGGTTCGCGCCCGCACCACTCACGCACACGGCTGCACCCACTGTTATACACATCTTTTAAATATCGTTTTTTCCTACATATCCACTGTTTTACAATTTTGAAATGCACAGTCTAAGAAAAAACTGAATTGAATTGTAATTATTGTATTTCAGTAAGCCAGGATACCAAACAAAACTATTTGCAACTTTTTAATGTGTTTAAGTTAATTAGATACTCACCAACACTAGCACTACGTATGATACAATGATCGACGGTGGGAGAGCAGTTGTCCGACACCTCCAGACAATAATGTTTGTGGTGCTGCATAGTGCTGGTGGCGTCGGGCGAGAACTTGAGCGTGATGTGACCGGCGTAGGCTCGGTTGGCGCCCTCCGCAAACGTTAGCGTAGACTCCGCTTCTCGCTCCAACACTACTGATTCGGCTACATTGCCTGGAGCACAACCTAAAGAAAAACAATGTTTGGTTGTAGTGTTTATATTATAGATATTTTTCTTACTATAACCTGTTTTCTGATTAAGAACTGAGCCTTCTTGTATTTTACAGAGATGACAATGAATGATGACTTAGTATTTTGAGACATTTCGTTTAAAATTTAAAATATTACTTATGTTTTCTGATAGTAAAAGTGTTGTGTATGAAAATATTGTGTTCGATTTATTGATCGCTTAAAACAGCACTTTCAATAAACATTTCAGTAATAATTGAGTAAATAATTAATAATCTTTCGGATTTATAGAACTAAGTCGTAACAGCAATGATAAATTGTTATCAACACATGACAATTGTGATACAGTAATGTAAACAAAGTTTTGTTTTGTTTTGATATAAACAGTTAGACTTGGCATTTTTTTTTAAAGAAATCTAAATAATAATAAACAGAAGTAAATTGTTTTAGGAATGGTCAAAAATGGGTCACTGGGTTGTTTATAAACAGATATATCACGTAACATATTTACACTGTATTGAACCAACATATTTTTGTCGGAATGTTTCTTTTCATTATTATAGTACTACTAGCGATGTGATCATTTATCACGATTCATTTAATAATGTGCAGAATACGTGCCATATTCCTGTCACAAGTATGGTATCTTAATGCCGTCGGTATATACCAATATACCCACCAAAATGCAGTCTTAACTATTAAACTAGTAGGTTAGGTGATAACGCGCGGCGAGTAGACCCACGAACACAATTATGTAGCCTCACCGATGAGCTGCACGTCAGTGTCGATAGCTAGACACTCCTCCTGGTAGAGGCCGGCGTGGACGAAGACGAGCGCGGGCGCGTGCGGCGCGGCGCGGCGGCACGAGCACGCCGCCGTGCCGCAGGCGCAGGCGGGCGCGGCGCCGCACGGGCCGCCGCTCGCGCTCAGCGCCGCGCCGCCCGTCGCCGCGCCGCATGCCGAGTGCGCACCGCTCCCGCCCCCCACGCCGCCGCTGCGCTCCTCCACGTACTCGAGAGCCGCCTAACCGAAGAACAATGTGTATGTTACGATTATATGATCTATGCCTATATTTACTTTTTAATCTTTTTACCCGTATACCGTAATTTTTACTTAACCAGTTGCAATCGATTATTTTATAGCGATGTTACCTGATACACTACGTCATTAGTTTTCATTGACACGTGGAAAACTGAATCACTATAAGTAGAACTGTCGTAAAATATTAAAGTAAAACTTTATAAAAATATGACTTGCATTCGTTGCCAGCGAAAACTTACCCTAATTGTATTAAAATGTTTGATTCGAGAATCCTTCTTTGGGCGGTAATTAGGTCGCACGTGTATTCCGTAGTACAGCTGCCTGAAGCTTTCCTTCCAAGGGTTGTCTGCGTCGCACTCATCGGGAGCTACGAATTCAAACTGACAGGGCGCCGGATGCAACAGTGGCATGTCGTATTCGAATACCGACTGATATAAACTTTTCCTGAAAAATACGTTTTTAAAATAATATTACATGTTAAAGAAACAACTCATATAACCCCGACAGTTTAACGCTAATATTTTTGAGTTTAATATTGAAAGAGTATATTCGGTATATATAGTGATAGAAGTATGATCTTACCATAGCTCAGTATCATTAGCAATCGTATTAAATCGCTTGCAGACTTGTGCGACGCGACAGAGATCTCGTTCGGTTAGGTGTGATAAAATACACAACAAAACTTCATCAGGCAGCTCATACTGTAGGTACTGTGACACATTGCACACATCCACACCCTGAGATAAAGACCTATATGGACAAAACATATATTATCTTTCAATGCTGTGAAGAAACTGTTATTATTTCATATTGGAGATTGTACTAAGAAGATATACTTAGAAGAATGAAGCCTGTTATTGCAATTCATATGCATAAAATAAATTTGCAAAGATTTTTTGCCTTATTAATTAATTTTGCTTCTTTAACTTTGGTTTACACTCTTGATAGAGGATTAAACTGTCTTTTATCTGCACCATCCTATAAAGACTATAAAAGATACATAATCAAAGTTTGTATTATCAGATTGCTCAGCTTTAAGAATCGTTTCTTTTTCTTGATCAGTTCATACCCAAAAATATGATAATTATTAAAAAAAAGGTTACATGTGCCTTTTCATGTTAATATAATTAAATGTCTTAAAGATGTATGTAATAGTTACCACATGATCTTTAATTGTCCCTAGAAAACTGGTCACATATCAATGTTTGAAAACAAATACCAGACTTTGTGCTTTGTGTTAACCCCCCAACTAAACCTAAATGTTTGTTAGTAATGGGTCCATGTTAATAATGTATTTACTAGAAAAGTGTAGTCCATCCAACCTTTGGTTTACTGTCATGAAAATGTAATTGAAAAAATCTAAAACCTTGCCACATTAAAAGCAAGTTCTTAAAAAAATTGCATTCAAAGTTACTTGTATCAGCAAATTACTTTAGGAGATATGTGTATTGTGACAAAAATGAAATGACTACTGTAATGAGTAATAATATATTAATAATATTATTACATTAGACTGACATAATCTCTCAATATATGGGGCCACCATATGTATGTGGTCTACGAAGAAATTTGAGTAGATCTAATATACTACAATTTTTGGGATAAATTATTCTTTCTTTCTTTTTATATAGATTTAGACATGCATGGATATGCAACAAACTGACATATAGATATACACATTAAACTTATAACACCCTTCCACTTTGTAGGTTAAAAATAAAACATCTTGAATGATTACTCATGTGGATGAGTACTAATACAGAGGAGTACTGTGGAGTACTCCTCTGTATTATAATTTTTCTTTAATTCGCAATATACTTGAAAATAAGTAAAGTAGCAACTAAATATTTACAAAAATATTAACTGAACAGATGATTGCTACCTTTTTTTCAGTGTCAGCCATAGTAATAATAAAAACTATTGTGTATAATTTGTGTTTTAAATAGAGCATATGTTTTTATTTTGTGCAAGTTTAATGTGCCAAAAAGCTAGATAATTTTCTGCTCATCAAATAAAGTATTCTCCTTTCATCTATACTAATATCATAAAATGGTAAAGTTTGTGAGTGGGGTCATCTCCTGCACTATTTTGCAAATTCTTTCACTGTTAGAAAGGTAGTCTATAGCACTTATAATAATAATATATATCCTAGAGTGCTATAGACATACACGCGAGTGGAACCGCAGGCAAAAGCTAATTTAGTATTAAAAAGCCAATGGTAATAACTTACGTTCTAGGCCTCTTCCTAGCTGGTAGAGAGCAAGCCCCTGAAGGTCCAGGCTCGTGGTAAGCGGGCGGCGACTTACGGCGCAGATCATATGGGCTGTGGTGGCCTGCTGTAGTGGCGGGCGCGGCCGCGGGTACCGGTGGAGAGCCGCCGCCACCACCGCTGCCGCTCGCCCCAGCGCAAGCCGCAGTCGCCGCCATCGCACTCCCCGTCACGTTGTTGTTAGGAATTGGGACTGATTCACATGGCTCACCTGAAATACCAACAGTGATCTGATTAGCAAACACCATCAGATGATTGGATGGTGGAATAACTTACTGGTAGATTAGGTACTGCAAAAACCCTCTTGGTAGAAGGTTGCACTGTGAAAATGGGAGTCGGATGGGTATATTTGTTCTAAATAGAAAGCTGTATTACAACTAGCATTTCACAACATATTAACAAAATTTACAAAGAATAAAACTGCATAAGGAATATATGCACTTTATACTAAATTTTTTTTAAACTAATTGTACACTGTTTCATTAATAAAACTTTTTTTACTATAAATGTTCTAAGCTTATGTAGACAATGTGTGTAAGTAATTACAAAATAGAAATATTAACATCCACAAACTATGTATTTTTTTTTTACAGTGAAATAAATATCAATTTCATTTTATTTCATAAGTAATTAAAACACAAACTTTAAAAGAACAAAATAATTGTAATTAACTCATAGTGAGTTGATCAGGTAGATGAGATTTTGTACCTTGTAATTATTAAAAATATATTCATGAATATTAATAATTAGTTTAGTTTTGAGTGAATCACTATAATGAATGAACAACCTTATATTACTGGTTTTTACAATATAATACAAAGATTTTAAATTATGTTGGTATTTGTTGGTTCAACTCTTTGAACATATGCTTAAAACTGAAAAAAATTGAATAATTAATTGTGCAGTAAAATAATTTAACAATTATGTTTCTCTGATGATCTACATTTTTTAATTAATATTATGTTTCTCTTAATATATTTGCATCACATTAGCTTAGCAAAAACTATTGTCAAAATTACTTTTATCACTATTTGAGCCTAGATTTACAATATCAAAAAAATATCTTTGACAGTTTATTATAACTAAATTTATATATTATAATATACTTTACTCTTTTTTCCTCAGATTCATGACAGAATAAACTAATATAGATGTTTTAGCTTTCAGGATATTCTTATATCTATCTCTATATCTCTAACAATATTTGTAACTTGATTCCTAGCTAATTTCCCTATTAATTATTAGCATATACACTTTTATAAGCATAATATTCATACAATTTGGCTTTCATTGGCTATTTCTTAATTTTTATTTGTGTTCATTTGTGCCAAAATCATACTATTATTATAAATGTAACATTTGGATGATGGATGTTTGTTAATAATTCATGCTAGAAACAATAAGAGGAACTGAATAACATTGGCCAGACAGAATTATAGTCTGGAATAGAAAATAGCTACCATTTATCATGGCTAAATCAATAGCCAAAATAACAAAAATTGTTAGGCAGCAAACAAAATAAATATTTTTATTTATTTGTTCTCATTTAAAATAATTTATATTTGAATAGACATTAAATTCTGTTTTTACAAATTAAGTCAAGTAAACATAATGAAAGGTTAATTTTAAATCTGTAAGTGATGTCTAAATGTGTACAAACACAGCCAAAATAGTATTTTTTTTTTATGGCATTCATTTTATTATAATTTATTAAGATGTTTAAAAAATATATGTTTTCCACCTCTTTTATTCTTATTGATGTAGCTGTTATATATATTATTACTGGAATAAAATAATTTAATTTTTTTAATGGTATACAAGCAAACGAGGGCAAACAAGCAGAAGAGTCACCTGAAGGTCAATTCTCATCATAAAAGTTCAGTCACAATTCAGTTCCAATCAACTTTCGATCTCACAACTGTCATATATGTATTTTCGTATTAAAATAGTAAAGTATTACTAAGATTAGCAGATTACCAGATCAATTTTAGGTTACAATACATATATAATCTCGATGTATAATCACATTACAGTCAACCTTGTATGTTTAATTATTTACTATGAAAATACCTTTTATGACAGTTTGTGAGATCGAAAGTTAATCAGAACTGAATCGAGACCAAAATTTTATTACAAGAAATGCCTTCTAATTGTAAGTGACCACCGCTGCCTATAGATACCTGAAACTCAAGATGCTGGTTTGCTAACCTATGTTTTTCTCATAGACCTGTCTTTCAACAGTTATATTAATGTATATAGACCGCCTATGTACATGTTTGATGAGAAAATTAAGTAACAATTTTATTCCCTCTCAATGTTTTGTTTTATGTTGTTGGCCAGTACTCATATACCATGACATTTCAACTTCTATACTGGACTCCTGTAGTTTTGTAGATACTGTCTCTTAATTTTAAAATGTAGAAAAAAAAGATTGTAAATGTTAGCTTTAGGCAATTACGTGTTAAAGTAAACCAACATTTAAACATAAAGGAGCTACTCAAAATTTGAGATTCCTCTATTCATCATTAACAACATTTCATAGTCCACTGCTGGACATAGGCCTCTCCTTCAAGAAGAGGTTTTGGCATACTATACCACCCTGGCCAGACAGGTTGGTATAGGGTTTTTTTTTTCAAGTTTTCCTTCTCTTTGCAGTGTTGTTGGCCTGCATGGTTTGCTACATTTTTTGAAAAATGTGTATATAGGATGCTGAAACTACTGCTAATGGGGTTAAATAGGTTATCTTTAGCTAGAATAGTTTACATTGAATGGGAATTCTCATATAATATTGGACTTCAATCATCACTTCTATAGAACTGATTGTTTTACACCATTGACATGTTGAGATAATAAACATGTATAAATATGATAAATAATGAATATTGTATGTATAACACCATAATATGATGTCCTAATTACTATTCATTAATCAAGCTTCATGGCAATATGTAAAACAGTCCTTTTACACGCTTCCTCATATCTTTATGGCAAAGATTAGAATTATAATACAAAACAACAACACTATCAGCTGTTTATAATTCTAGTGAAAAAACATGCTTTTTTCTATGTATCATATTTTTGTTTTAGCAAAAAACTTGTGACTATTTCATTGTCATCAGCTGAAGAAAATAAAGATAGAGTCATATCAATAACAGCAAGTAAGCTAAACTGGCAAAAGAGGACATATTTCTGATAATTAATGACTAATTAGCTAATTAAAACATTAAACTCTCAATCTAGTTTTGTTGTGCAGTATTACGAAATATATTTCTACATAATATTATATCTGTAGTGTAGCCTCAGTGGTTTGTAAAAATTAAAAAAAAGATAAACATGTAGATATGTAATAATAAGTTAATGTGTGTTTAACTAAAAAAGAAACGTTTCGTAACTGAACACAAATACACATCGGCTATTCGGGCTTGTATCAGAACAGCTGTTTCGTCATTCAGTGTAAAATAAGTTTTCATCTAGCAAATCAATACACATATTGCGCAAAATGTCACTGAAATGCGCTATCCGAGACAGACACAAATCGTAAGATGTAACGAAATAAGAATTTACATGTCAATCATCCTTCCAGGTACAATGATCGACGAATTCAAAATTCAATAGCAGGCATATATTTTCTAACAAAATGAGTATGTCAAATCCAAATTTCCAATGCTGCTGTTACTTATAATTAAAATGTTTCTCCGCTTGGATTTGTAAGCAAATTGAACTTATATGATCAAAGAAATATTGTTAGCCAAGCATTTCTAAAGATCGGGGCGACTTCAGCCGACCCGGATTACTTACTGGATTGAGTCCTGGAAGGTAGTGGTATTCGGTGTCCGCCTTTTCTCCGCGATCTACGGACGTAAGAACGCGAAGAGGAAAACGAGGCACTAGGCATTATTTCTTTTAACACTTATTTTCACTAGAATTCAGCCCTAAACAAAGGAGACACCCGCACCAACACCGTCGGCCATTTTCTGTTTAGATTAGATTGGGCAGGCAAAACGGGAAACCAAGATTATACCGCATTGGTTATTGCAAGAGGAGTTCTAGGTTTATTTAAATATCACACTAATCACTTACACTAAATTTATGATATTAAACCGATATTAATCATTATCTGAATAAATTATGATGAAAATTCACACTACCCTTTGGAACGACGGGCGACTCTCAGCAAAATATGGCGGATTTTAGATTAACATGGCGACGGCGATCACAGCGCCATCTATTACAGTTTTATTTATATTTCTTAATACGTATTAGTTAAGAATCTTCCTTTTTGTATTTCCAAAAGATGCGGGTAAAACAATGTATGTGTCAAACTCATGGCACAATCCAGAGGCTAGGGCCATCAGGGAATCGTTGAGAGAATGGAGAATTATATAGTCATGAGCGTGGTAACAGGGGACTACTTTGTTTTTCTTTTTTGTTTTGGTGAGATTGCGAGAGATCCCTACAAAATTGTTTCCTCGCCATTACTTCGTGAGACTACCAACATAAAAACATTGGACTATCCACGACGTAACAGCAGCTGCTTCAGCTACCAATAAATCTTACTAAACTCTTTGGCATCTTATTTTTGCTGAGATTTAAACAGTCTGCCCCTAATTTCACGGAGAAAAATACCTAGTCCAGGATTGCAGTAATATCAACAATTACGTGTTTAAGAAATCAAGAATGTACCATCTTATCCTTATACGTTACTTTCCAATAGGTGAGGTGGAAAACAAACGTGTATTCCAACTAGAAATCTTTTAACAAGATAAAGAAAGAAAAGTTGTCTTCAGAGTTTAAAATATGTATATCACTCTATTATCGTGATCAAAATTACCAACACTAACCATGCTAGTTCATTCTGAGTCAGGCGCTATGTGTTCTGTGGTCAGATTACTAAAAGCTTGGAGTAAAACGGATATTCTTTACTCTTGCAAGATGTCAAGAGAGGCTTTATTATAAAAACTGATCTACCTTGATGGCTGGTGATGTTTGGTTACGCCTTCCGTTACTAAACGTGTATAGCCCTCACTTAGAAAGTGTATGCTGAATATTCTGCTATATTTGTAAGACATCCAATCACATTCTTTTATTCCCAAACGAACCACGGTTACCCATTTTTCACGCTAGCTTTTATTTGCTTGGAATCTGTGGTAATGAAATACATAATACTTTTGCATAATATCATCCTTAATATTCAAAACAAATAAGTTTTATGTGAGCAGTAATGAGACGGATACTGCATAGAAAAAATAATCTCACATGTTGCATAACACTTTCCAGAGTCGTTAAGTACGGCATAACAAAATGTTTATTTACTTCACGACACTTTTTAAATATTCACTTTGTATCGGTACTATTGAAAAGAGCTGGCGATAAGTTATTAAACAGTTTAGGGACCATATAGTTACGATTTCTTTCTCCATTATAATAATTATAACATGTGGGTACATGTATCATATTACTATTGTTTCGTCTCGGACGTGTTTTATATAGCTTGAAATTATCGCTACCCGTACTGTTTCGTTGCTATCTATAACAATATTTATTTATTTTACAACTTTATGCATTTGTGTACATCGGCGGACTAAGACTAAGTTCAATAGATTTTTTTCATGGCTAAATATCAGAAAACAGTTTAGTGTACTCTAATAGAGGTTTTGCAATAAGGCCCAAAGGTAGCTAAGAGAGAGAAAATATAGGAAACTGCTCTAGTCGTATTGTGTTAAAATGTTTTTTGTGTAGTGTATTCAAGTCCTGTAAAATAATATATATGAATTCTGGAGAACTCTTTACTAGTATTACAAAGCTGAAGAGATTGTTTCTTTGAACGCGCTAATCTCGGGAACTACTGGTTCGATTTTTTTAAATTATTTTAGTCTTGAATGTCTCATTTATCGAGGAAGGCTATAGGGTACATAACATTACGACCAATAGGAGCCAAGAATCAATGAAAAATATTACAAAAACGGGGAAAAATTGCTTTTGAGAGACGCAGACGGGCATCGGGTGGGTGAGCTAGTCATACATAAGACTGCCTTTAAGTGTCTGCTGGTTAGTAAGGTCACTAAGGCTGATGTGCCTACAGTTAGATAATATCCCAATTATTACTACCGGGAGTCATTGTTATAATTTGTCATCTGAGTCGTGTAAAAAAGACATTGAACTGTTTTGGGTAATTTAACCTAATGATCACACAGAATCTTTTAGTAGTTCTAGAAACTATAGTGCGGAATTGATGTGTAGTTTATTGTACAAAAATAAAAATAAAAAGTTTTTGTATCCATTTCATGGGATAGGTACTCAATTAATAAAAGAAAAACAGAAACGGAAAATACTAAGTTTTTTTTATTTAGAGTGCAGCGTTTAAACTTTTGTTTGTTTGTGAAAACTGTACAGAGCAAGCAGAATCAATTTCTGTAACTTATGATTTACGGACGTACCCGATAGTTTGTTTTGCCTGGTAAATTAATCGAAAGTCCGAGATCGCGATACCTACCACTTTTATATCAATAGTAGTGAAGTTACTGCTGTCACTTATAGTGTCACTAGTGTCATTAAGATCATGTCATTAAAATGTATTTGAAAGGATAGTTGTTTAAATAATTCTCTGTTTTTGTTAGCTTATTTATATAACTTGGGAAATTCTGCTAATATTGTGTTGAAATCTTTTTTCACGATGTCGACATCGGAGTATATGAATGAATTCAAATGTAGCTTTTCCGTGGTGGCTTGCATTTTTCTAACATTTTCATATGTTTCAAGTTTATATGTATGGAGGTCTAAATTAAGCAGGTAAAGTGTGTTGCATATTTTATTTATCCATGTCTTGTTGTTATTTAAATTTATATAATTGTAATTTTATTCCAGAGACCACCCGTCTACGATAAAAAGAAGATTCTTTAGTGTTTCTGTAATGATGCTTCTAGCACCATTCTTTGTTCAGATTTTCTTTACCAAAGAGACTTTAAATAAAGGGGACTTGTTTACACAAATGGGATTGCGTTGGTCTGGGATTATACTGGCCGTAATTGTACCGTTATTTTTAACTGCTGTACTTTTTTTGGGACCACTGATTATGCAATTTTATTCAGGCGTATGGAAAATCTATACAGGTATAACAGGAGGTATATAGTTTATTTAGTTTTTTTTTTCGTTGTTTTATATTTATTTAGTCTTTTATTTTTATGTTTATTTGATACTTAATGCACAAATTAAATTGTACAATAACGAATGGTGCAGAGATAAGTCACTAGGTGCACATGATTTAAGTGGCGCAAAAAGAACTAACAAGTTAGTGAGAAACAAGGGACATTGATAAATAAACTTACACATATAGATATAAATAAAGTCTCACATCTATATGCATGTGTATGAAAATACATAAATGACATAAGTTATTAATTTTGTAATGAATCTGCCAGCATATTCAAAATATAATCCTCAACTTTTGTCCTAAACAAAAGGCTTTTAGTCATAGTCACTACTTTAAGTCCTAACTCAACATCAGTGATACAAAAAAAGAATAATATAATTGTACTATAAGTCTTACATATGTGTTAATTCTTGTTATTTCATACATTAATGTTGTTATGTGTTTTACATGATTGCCTTGTGATTTCTATAACAATTTCAACAATCATAATAATAACCTCACACATTTCACACATGGCTGTGTGGACCCAAAATAGGCAGAGCCTGTACTATGGTAACCAGACTGCTGATAAAAAAAACTTATATATTTCTATCATAATTATTATACATACATATTATAGATAAATTACAGCTAGACACAGAACAAACAATCATGATCATCACACAATTATTTGTCCTGGATGGGAATCGAACCTACAACCTCTGGCTTAACAGTCAGGATCACTAACCACTAGACCAATAGGCCTGTCATATCTTTCTTTTGTCCGTCAATTCTTTTTTAATAAATTATTTGTTATTAAATTTTTCTTACTACAAATTAAAGGCCCTATAAAAATTTGACAAAAAATTGAGACAATGGGATACAAATTATTACACCACCATGATTTATGTGCACTGAAGTATCACCAATATTTTTTTTAAATGTTAGTTATTTGTCTGTTATGGGTTGCTTATACTTCAGTTTTCGTCCTATTCATCTTTATAGAACCAGTCTATTGGTTTGCGAGTTGGCAAGATTTGGTGTGGGTGAGGAATCATGTCATGGCACCACTTAGTGAAGAATGGGTGTTTAGAGCTTGTATGACTCCACTGTTGCTACAATGTCTTGAACCCATGACAGCTGTGTTTGTTGGACCTGTCCTTTTTGGAATAGGTAATTATCTTCTGTCTTCACTATTTCTGGCTATGTCTTTTTTGTTGCATTTGTATATGTCAAGACAAGGTTTGTGTGATAGAAAATGTTTGACAAACTCTAAATTAAAGTGAAGCTTTTTCTATGTTATCCAAAACATGCCATCAATAGTGGTATTTTATATCATGCTAATCCCATAACTTCCTCTGTAGAACTGTGTTTGTGCTTTTTATCAGAAAGAACAGACAGAACTTCTGAGGGGGAGAATTGAAATAATTTGATGGCTGTAATTCAAGCAAGAAATTTGTTGAGTTATACCTCTCTGTAGAAGTTAATAACACCTTACCCATTAACATTACGCTGTTAAGACTTGGCAGTGATTAAAAATAAAAATATTTTACATATTATTTTAAATTAAACATTTATTTTCTAAAAAAAACGACAATATTTTATTGAAGGGACCTTCAATAACTATAAATATTAATAATGTCTATTGTGTGTACTATGTAATGGTATGTTATATTATTATTATCATTTCAGCCCACTTCCATCATATGTTGGAGCAAATTAAAGCAGGCTTTGCATTTAAGACAGCTTTATTGGTATCCAGTAAGTATGCCATATTCCATGCTACATTTGATATAAAAAAAATATATTTAGGCGTAGGTCATACCCATGGAGTCAATCGCATATTATAAGTATGGATATCTCATCTCTAGGGGATAGTAATTATTTTTTTAATAAAAAAAATGCCCTTTTAAAAAGCAATCTTATCCATTTCGTAAGCATTTAACATTAAATTGCAATCAACAGTGTCTGCACAAGTACTGATTTAAAATTAGACTATAAGTCTGATTAATTTTCGAAGGGTCCAATGGTATACCATGTCTATTTGCAACGGAATGCCGTGACGCGCTCTTCTTACCACGCTCGATAATATCATCATCATCATCAGCCTATCGCAGTCCACTGCTGGACATAGGCCTATCTCATTGCACGCCACTTAGATCGATTTTGGGCTTCTCGCATCCAGCTCCTGCATGCCATCTTGCGCAAATCGTCACTCAAATTGATGTAAACATCTTCTCGAACAGTCTTCAAAATTTAAAAGCAAAGTTATTGCATCATATAGAATTTCTTAGACCATCTTAAATGCATCACTGTGTTTTGTAATTTCGATCATGTTCTGTATGTTTTGAATATGTATATGAATGTGTATAATCTTAGATGAAACTGTCCCTTACCATGCCGTGGCAACTTGTAAGTAAGACAACACTCAGAGTAGAGTAGAGTATGTTTTGTAACTTGTCCTAAATAATTTAATTTAATTTTGAGTCAGCACTTGTTGTAATGCTTTGCCATTATTTTATTTGCTTTCATTTTTAGTAAAATGTTATAAAAAATGAAAGAAAACAAGTATCAGATCTGTATTCTTATTTGTTAAAACAATCAAATACCTATGATATAAAATACAAATTGAAATAAACTTATTTATTTATTAAAAATAAAAATTGAAATAAATTAAACTATTAGCTATCTGTTTTCTCTTCCAGCGTTCCAGTTCACATACACCAGTATGTTTGGTGCTTATTCTGCATATCTGTTTCTTAGGACAGGTACGTACTAACGACCACAGAGGTCAGCCTAATAATATTACTCTATTTAAGAGTGTTAATATTTTGAAATGAGCAAATATTTTGTCATTTTATTTGAGTTAACTCATCATCATTTTGACCACACATCTTGTAGCGATTCTGTCTTTCGTTAATATAAACTTCAAAATGTAGTAAAGGGTCATTCGACACATTTCTAGTAAATAGTTGGTTAGTACTGTCTGTTTACTCTTGTCCTTTGTATTACATCAATCGACGAGTTAGCCGCTAGCGAGAGAGTTTTCGAGCTGTTTGATTCATTTTTTAAATCATTTTCTATTACCAAAAAGCAAAAAAAAAAGAAAGAAATACCATAATCATTGATATCAAATTTTTATATTGTTTACGCGCAAGTAGCTATAACTGTAATAATAACTGTATATACACAGTATCAAGTGCCGTGGGTCAAACAAGATCATACTAAAAGCGGTAAATATTATTTAGTCCACTCGGAGACAGGAGATTGCAAAGAACGAAGGCTGGCTGTCGAACTTTTGGTTAATTATTGATTGAAACCAAACTTTCAATGCAGTGATGTTAATCTCTGTAACAATATATTTAAAAGGGTGTCTCGCTCTTCTCGGGAAGTTGCATTCTATCTGACGTAAGATGATTTACTTGACAAATTATATTTAAAATAGTACCTAAACTTTTTTACAGGTCATTTTGTCGCACCGCTGGTTGTCCACATGTTCTGCAATCATATGGGTTTCCCAAACTTCGGCGAGATTCGTGAATTCCCGCCGTTGCAACGTTTAGTTATTGCTATGAGCTTTTTATTGGGGCTTGGTCTGTGGTGTCTTCTCCTGGTACCTTTAACTAATCCAGAACTTTACAACAATAGGTTACACTGGGAAACTTGAATGAACCTAACCTATCTAATTTGTGACTACCATCTCTCAACCGAAAGGTTCTATGTGAAACAGCAATCTGTCGAGCTTTTTGTATTCTGCTGTTACATATTTTCGTATAAGGATGTTACTGTTTGTTGTTTTGTAATATTGAATTTAAAAAAAACTTCAAATACTTTTTAAAATGTCTCAGTACCATAATATTTTACATTAATTATTTTACTTAACCAAAGCTGAATCTAATAATGATTACATATTAAGCGCCTGAAAACTTCGTCCTGAACAATGAATAGAAAGATATACAAATATGGATGCCAGTAACAATTTTTGAATATTTTTATAAATTTTGGTGTCTGCCTCGACTTTAAGGTCAACACACAGAAATCAGAGTTCTTGCAACATTGTAGAAAGGTGCGAAGAGAATTGCTATGCCTCACAGCTGCTGTTAATTCGTACTTTAAGAACTTCTCTTGCTGTGTTTCCACCCGATGCAGGCGTACAACTGACTTAAAAACTAATAGTAATAATTTAAACTTTAATTATATAACTTACTTGATTTTACTTACACATAAAATTGACGTCACCAACTTTCTACAGACAGTGTAAAACTGTAGAACAAAACTTTGATTTAAAATAGGTACCCATTAATGTTATAGCAAGTAAGTATTATTACTAGTCCACATGTACTTTTCGTCTATTTTTCGTAAAGTTCTAGACAGTTCGTAACTAGGTTCTCATCGTTCTATTCCAAACAAAATTGGTTTTAAATCTTGGGTTGAATGTCTTTATTGACAGCCTTTTGAGTACATTGGGGCGGGTTGCCGACATTCAGAACTCATTATGGCTGCCTCCTTGAAAATGAAGGGGTTTCCTGTGAACTTTATGTGTGCATGTATGTATAAACTTTATTTGGCAAATTTCGTAATTGGACAAAAAGACGATTTAACGATCTACCGATTTGACCAATGTAGTGTAACTCGTATTAAAAAAGTCATATAAGTTAGAATAACACACTGAAATGCTAACAACTTTACTACCGATTAAATACAGAAAACTATGGTAAGGTAGATACATAACCTACCTTACCATAGTTTTAATAGAACAAATACCACATAAATTGCCAAGGATTTCATAGTTTGTTTTTGTATTATTTTGCCATGTTTGGACAAGTCGTCGCTGATAACAGTTTAGGGAACGTATCCATATTATATGACCCGTTTCTTTTTTCAATTTTTTACGCTTCTCTCTCCCTTTGGTGACCACCCATTGTACCTATATGAGAGGGGGGGGGGGGGAGGGCGTCGTTGCATGTGTAAATATGCAACGACGCACCCCCCTGTAGTTTTCACGTAGTCAAGTATTTTTTTTGCAAATTGCCGCTTTCTACTACGCTACGTGTTGTGGGATCGATCCCTACGTGAGACAACACTTTGTGAGAATCACAAATTATTGTTCCGATTCTGGGTGTTCTTTGTTTTCGTTTCATGTATGTTTGTTAAGTCCCCCGCTATATATAATAACTGCCGCACTAGGATATATTCCTAGTGCGGGAGTTTTATTTGTCTTTTTTTTATAATTAACAGCGCTTGCCATATATATATATGTTGATTAAGTGAAGAAAACCTAAGTCCCGCGCTTGGTTACAGAGCCTCACCTCTGTGACCAAGTGCGGGACTTAGGTTTAGGTTTTTAGGACTTAGGTATTTTGAAAACCCCCTGAATGGGTCACGTAGTATCGGTACGTTCCCTTATCTAATTACATATAAGTAACATTAATTATAAGCCATACACTGTGTAAGTAGTAAAATGATTAATGATTGTATTAAATAATTGACAGTTAACATACCTCAGTATACCGCTACTTTCCAAAAAAAATTAAATAAAAATTTACAATTAGCATAATCACTATTTTTAATAAAAGTAAAGCGTCCGATAAATTTGATATTTTTGTTACGTTTGTGCCATAGTCTTTATATTTTGTATATAACATAATTTGTCGTTCGGATCGCACGCATGGTAATAGCAGGATTATTCTGTACTAGTCAATTAATGTATTGTTATTTTTAATATTATTTTGAATGACTTGTATGTGTTATGGAATGACTGTGTTACTTGATATGAAATAAAACTTTTTAATAAATATCTTTTTTTTATTGCTATAACCATACTTAAGTGATAAATGTAACAAAGAGGCCTGACGAATTTAAAAGTAGTACTTTGTAGAAGCGCTCTTCGCAACAAAATAATGATCACAGTTTCTAAACTGCCAGTATAAAATTTCAAAGTAAAATTGAAATCATTATTAACCAACTTCAAAAAGGAGGAGGTTAGCAATTCGGTTCTTTTTTTGTTTGAAAAGGGTTTATTTCGAAATAGTCCCATTTAAATTTAACAAATAACTGATGATAAGTTTCGGATAGATAGTTTTCGATATAACAGACAACGGAACTCTTAAAAAAATGACAGTAAATCAACCACGATTGCTGCTAGGTTTTCAGTCCTCTTTGTTAGTATTGTTTGAAGTCGGTTCAACTTTTAATAAGGATTTTCTTGTTTGTCTTACAAGTACCTACTACCGACGTACGTTTATAGTGTGCACGAGAACGCTGGTACCCTAACTAAAAACAAGTTGAATCTGACAGAGTTTATCGTAAATACTGTTAATATTGTGTTTGTAACGATGTTTACGTATATTTGTGCCATATTGAGAAATAAATCACATCATTATACAGTGTCACTCCCTTTACTGTGCTTATGTTTTAAAGTTAATTACAATAAATGGGTGTATTTATTCTTTCCATCCGTAGTTTTACTCATTCATCATGTGTAATTAACGTAAAAATACTATAATATATAATCAAGCTCTCCTCACAATGACAAGAACTTAAATATTTATAGTTTATATCAAAACATTATGTTTGTATAATTTTGTCTTAATAAGAAATATAAAACTCGCATTAGTCGATGGAATAGTTGGTTGTTAGTAATAGAAATAAAAATTTAGATTAAGTGTAAATAATAATTTTATTTACTTCTTATATACATAATTTTGTTTTATCTAGAAACAACTCTAATTTCCATTTATTATATATAAAGCATACACTCATATTAAGATTCACAAATATAAAACTTAAGTCGAGACAAATATCTACTTCACTTCTTATTATGTACGACGCATTAAGAAAATATATATTAAATCTCTGATTTTTAACTATTAGCCGAGCCAATAATCTGTCTACAAGCACTATTTCTATATTTGATATGACAAACTACTAGCCACTTATTTCTATATATATATAACATTACTAGAAAATAGAACCTTATTTGAAGACAATCATGATCTTTTTTTTAAAAAGAGAATCAAATTTTATACATTTCATAAAATTTCTAATCAATAGATAGTTTAACGTGAAATAACGAGTGCGAGAATTATTCAAAACTCATAAATTATGATCATAACAGAAATAGATTAGAGACTTGTGTCTAGACATATATTAACATCCAAGAATGCATTTCATATAAATATTTCACATCGTGAAACAACGAAAAAAGAACAATGAAAATCATTATACCTATCCATTTCCATTCTAAAAACATCTCTAACACTAAATTATCATCATAATAATATGTATATATATTAATATTTCAAAAATAAATAATTACAGAAGACAATTTTAATTGTGATTGAGCTAGTGAATAATATCAGTCTTTGCACTTGTTAGAAAGGGTGAATCTAGCAGTAGGTACGGGGGGACAAGCTTGGGAATAAACAACCTTTAAAACTAATTATAGTAAATAATACTCAGGGCTCATTGTTACGAATACTTCGTAAATTTTATATAAATATATAGGTACATATATCGGCTTCCCTCAAGTTTGAGAGAAATATTTAATAAAATAGATAGACCAATGTATACCGATTATCTTGCATCTGTGTTTAAGCTGTTAAGTGCATTCTAGGCTTGGGATACTATAAACCCCTTTAATCCAATCCAAATTTAAATACGAAATGCAAAATACCTATTTCCAATTATGTATAATTAATGCTTGTGTTCAAAATATATTTTATGTATGTATATATTATAAACATTTTATATTTCTAAAATGAAAAATAGTTTTGTAATTTTTAATTTCATATATTTATGTAACAAAACCAACGTAAGACATTCCGTAATAAACAGATAATAATAAGTGAATTGATTTCCTCCTTGTATTAAATCTGTTAAATATGTTTTATTCAATTTTTCTTAATTGTGGGAAGTGTTTCCAAGTCCATCACAGTATAGGAATCGTCATTGATTAATTTACAATCTGAGTCTTTACAGAAACATTACATATAAAATAAATTTAATGATTAAACATTTTTTTTTAAACCAACACGAATAGCAATAACCTCTTTAAAACGCATAAAGGAATATGCCATATAATAAGCTAGTTGGAAAATAAGTATTTTGCATTTTGTATTTAAATAGCTTTATAAATTACTTCTGTCTTGATCGCGATTGGGTTTGAAACATTTGTTATGTTTGTTTAAAATTGTTTTGAAGGATTTTTATTTCTTTCATGTAGTATTATTTTAAATTGATGTTGTAAAGAATCGGTACAAATCTCAAAATAAAGCTTTCTTTTACGTATACGTGGTTTTCACCGTTGAGTAATATTTTTTTAAATCGTACACAGGTATCCTCATGTGGATTTAGGTCGCGAATAAAAGTAGAATTTTGCAATTCTGCGTACTTTATGTTGCAATATGTTGACATTTTAATTAAAGCTACCATGTATTGAAAAGAATTATGAAAATCTGTAATCGGATAGTTGTATTTATCTTATTTGCAATTTGTTAACATTTTTAAGAAATTAAATGTAAACAAATTATTATAATAAATGAATAATCCGAGCATGTACATAAGGCAAACGTTGGCAATATTTGTATGAGACTTGTTTTAATGTCATTGTGACATCGCATTTAAAAATAGCCGCCAGAATTATTTATATCGGTTACGTTACATACTATAACATGATGAAACTTTTATATACAGTTGGAAGTAAATAGTTTTGAGTCAATTTTTATTGCCCCTTTGCAGGCAGACGATTTAGTTCACTCCTAAGTGAGTGAAGAAACCTCTGAACGTATTGACAGAGGCATGGTTAGTTCACTGGCTTGCGAGAATATCGACGTAATTCTAAACTCGGAAAATTTAATAAATATTGCAAACGATCATAATTCTTTTATATTTTGTCCTAAAGAGTCATCCACCGCTCTTATCTGAAAACTTTATTTAGAAAAAGATACAGTAACTTATTATTTGAAAGAAGACATTGTAGCGTAAACACCTCTGTCTATTTTTCTTGCAAACCAGTGAATCGGTATTTAACAGTGTTAGGCAGTTGTTGTAAATGACTGAAATATATGCAGACATCAAAATGCCTTCCTAAAAAGTTTAATATAATACAAATTATACAATTGGATAATTTCATAATGCATTAAGATTTCATTAAAGATTATGACACCAAAATTGTTTTGAAAACATTTAACATGTATACAAGAAAATATTTAGTTCATCATTATTAATCTATCTCTATTTATATAAGTAATACATGAGATTTATAAAACATCATACAGCAAAAAAATGCTTCAAATTCATGAGATTCAGATTGCATATACCTTCAAATGCGAATCTCGATAATTTGAAAATTTACTTTTTTGCAACATACTGTATTTGAACACAGGCGGACTTCTACGGTTTTATACAGCCAGTTTCATATAACCGAGGTTAGGACAAGTATGCCACTGTATAAACGATGTGACTCTTAGGCAAGAATGTTTTTCTCTAGTCAAGCGTTGACGAGTAAAGAGTAGAACCTGAGCATAGCGCCGCAGAGGTAGGAGGCCCTGTTTCATGGCGCCTGTATGGGGCGGTTGGGCGACTGCGAGAGAGGCACGGGCGCCGCGTCCAGGTCGCACGCCGACAGCAGCCGCACCAGCTCGTCCGGGCTCGGCCCGCCGTCCGGGGTGGGGGACTCGTCGCCCTCGCCTACGGATTTACACAAACAGGGTTACACTTGTGTCACCGCGCATCACTATGCTCAGTATTGCTATTAGTTTGGGCTATAAATAGTAAACAAATTGATTTAAATTAGAATAGATTAGAATCCTTAGCTTAATAGTAGGCTACGTACATATTGGTGCTAATTCTGTTGGGCCTGTCAAACAACGTTTCCTATTCTGAAAACGTAGTATTTGACAGGACTAAATTAATTTTTAATTATTTTTAGTTTAATTTAGAGATAGATTTAGTTTAGTTTAGATTTCAAACAACAGAATTAGCACCATTATTGATAAATTACACCTTGGCATAGAACAAATGACAGTACTTATCAAACAATATCTGACAATATATCTTGGATGGGAATCAAACCCCAACTTGGCTTAGCAATCAGGATCTCTAACGCGCGCGCGACGCGACTAGACCAACAGACAATTTAAAATATAATAATTATTTAACTGAATTTATTTAGTCTTATTTTCTTAGTTTTTTTAAGCTAAAGGAATTAAGAGAGATAAAAATGATTCGACTTTTCTCCGTAAGGATAAAATCCGTACAAGTGCAAGTCGGACTCGCCCACTGAGGGTTCCTTACAAATTAATTATATTAATGTGTTTCAAGTGCAATTGTACCTCGATGATTACAAAGTACGTAATCATCAAGGTACAATTAAGACTAGTTTTTGTTATGATTTAATCACGAATGTATAGTTTTTAGTTATTTTCCCGTACTTGTAAGATAACACGATGTTACTTGCCAAATTTCATAGTTCTAGGTCAACGGGAAGCACCCTATAAATTTTGATTCCCTTGAGAATGTCGAAATATGCGTTTTTTTGCGGCGTAAACGACCGTATATATTTTTTACGTTAACTTAGAAGTTTGATTTTTTCACAGCTTCAAGGGACTATACTCCTTAATATATACTTAAAATTTCAACTCGAAACTTCCACGCGTTCCCGAGATAAGGGGTATTAACAGACAGACGGACAACAAAGTGATCCTATAAGGGTTCCGTTTTTTCCTTTTAGGTATGGAAACCTAAAATACTACTCTTCTTGTTCAAACTTTTTTAGCTACATACTGTATAATATTTTGTTCAAAATGCGCTACGAACAAAAGCTCAATACAGTTGACACAATTTACCTCCGCCATTCCCAGCCACACTGCCAGGTTGGTTAAGCTTGACAGCTCGGTCTATCGGTCCGGTGATGTCCCACATCTGCGTGGCGCCGGAGCGGTGCCCGCACAACAACAAACGCCGAGGCCTCAGAGCCCCTTCACACTCCGCTAACACGAAGCATGATACCGCTGAACCGTCCACTGAACGGATCGTGCACACCCTGTACAATGACGAATTAATATCTACTGGTTACTTTAGGAATTTGATTCACCCTTATACCAATTTTAAAGTGATTAAATACGAAAACGTTCGCTATTTATAATTCCTTTAGAACTAAAATGCATTATTGGAAAATTATCCAAGTTAATAGAGTTGAAACTTATATTAATTGCCTGATGAAATATAAATAAATATGATGGTGGAAAGTGGTACCTTTTTCCATTTGACGCCAGCCGTACGTACAATGTATCTGTGTCAGGTACAACTTTTTGTATAAAAATTTGCTCCTCATCTTGTTCACCATAAGGACCTGAAATAATTGTTATAATTATTTTATTAGTCAGGTTGTATTATTTTTAAATTACTGACCTATAAGTGGCAGTCTCATGTCCAAAACAACCAACGATATAATTAAAAAATCTCTAATAAAAATGCCCGAATAAAACTTAAGTAATACCGATATGGTAATGGTTCTTTCCTCATGAATCTATAATTCTTTCATGAATCTATAATTTAAAAAATCTTGAAGCATAATCAAGATTTTTTAAATTATAGATTTATGTATAGATTGAACGCCAAAGAATGAAAACCACTTTTTTATAAGCTTGGAAATTAAGTAACTTCTACTTACTACAAGTTCAACATTTCTGTATTCAAATTTAAGAATTCGAAATTATAGTTTTATCGCGTATGAATAGCTGAGGACCGCGCGCTCATTGGTTAAATCATATTTGAATTGTCCAAGGAGTGCGGGGATCGTCGTGATGTTGCACGTATTCGTCCCTTTCACGAAACCACTCTCACAGGTTGCAGGAAAGCGAAGTCGTTACACATTAAATACATATATTCAGAAATCTTAATTAGTTAAACTGACCACAGTCATTATGAGGCTGAGCGGTGGGAGCTTCTAGTGCGAGCACTTTGAAGGCAGCCTTGGGCGTAGTGCCGGGCTGTGTAGAGATCATGCCGCGAAACCGCGTCACGCGCCAACTACGCACATGGTTGTATTCACTGCACACCGATATTAGGTAGTTTTCTGACAGGGATACCTGTTGAGATAAAAGAAAATACTTCAAACAACTTCAAAAGTAAGATGTTTCCATCCTCCTCCGAGACTGAAGGGCCACCCCAAACTAGATTGGGGCCGCCCTTCAGTTTAGTACCACACGGCTAAACTTCAATTTTTGCTTGGAGTGACTACCATCAGTCTCCACAACCCAAGTACTAGGCGATGTTCTTAATTGGATGGATTTTTATATAAGAATTTAGATGTAAGCATCTAATTCTGACCGTGTTAATCAATTTTCAATGTTTTATTTGCCTTACAACTTCCTAAGTAGTCTATATTTATGTTACTTGTATGTTTCCAACTTTAGCATACATAATAAAATTTAAATAATTAACTTTAAGTAATAAAATTTAGTTTGCCTTTATAAATCTGGCGTCTGCAATAAATGATTTAGAATTTCCAAATCAAGATTTTTATGCCTTCATCGAGTCTGCGTACCTACCTTAGTGATAGGACTTTGATGAACAGTGAATGTCTGGAATAGCTGCGGCCCGTGTCCAACAGTTTCTGGATGCTGAACGATAACTCGCACTGAGCCACATCTAGTGCCATAGGCTATTTCGATCCAGTTGCCGCATAGATCTGGGCATAATGGATTAAAAGAATAATTAGTATATTTTATCTACTAAATTATCATGTACACTTATAACATGTTTGCCTAGCAAGTCTGTAGTTTGTAAACATTTTGTATGAGAAGGCTGTTTTTTGTCCAACCTTTGGGTGGAGTTTTATTAATAAACAAATTTAAGTTCCTGTGCTACATTTCTATGCATAAATATTCTACACAGGTACTGTTTTATTGATAATAGAACAACAACATATTGGAATTGTTTATCTGGAAAGACTGAGTTAAATGGATGTGAAACCACTTGGACGTGGGACCAAATTTCAGGCATAGTACTGATTGTTAGAGGAATCAATTACTTGTGATATTCAGACAATTGTTTGTGTGTTGTTGTGTAAGTTTTTGAAAATATTCTTGAAAAGCAATGTACGAAATTACATACTTGCTCGAGTAAAAAATATTTTATACAATATGGAACAATCAAATGAAAATATGGACTGGGAGTTAGAGACAAGTTACAAACTTGTATTTTTTCCTTTTTGCTAACTCCCTATCGGCTTTTTATTAGATTCCATCTACCCTAACTGTCAACTGTCAATCAACTACTCATGAAGGTTTAACTCAACTACGGCAGCAGATTACTTACTAGTTTTTGGTGTGAGATATACCGATATAGCGGTAATTGGTTCCTGATTTGGATCCTTATAAAGTTGTGTCACTAAGAGATCATTATCCTTCATACGTAGAGGGAACTTCTGCATATCTGTAATTGAACACAAATTTTCATAAACCAAAAGGAGACTTGTAAAAGTAACAGGACAGAAGTTAGGATTACAAAATGTGTTGCCAATGACAATAAGTAGCAAATTATTACTACTATTAATTGTTACCGGCAACACATTTTTCTCTCTTTTCACTCTCTTACTTTCAAACAGAGCCTGTACTATGGTAACCAGACTGTTGCATTTATATATACTTAGATATTACTAAATATGTATTTGTCTGTGCTGTTTGCTATTCTTCGCACTTGGTGACTAGCTATATCGCAGAATTAGAGTGAGTTAACATTCAATCTTCTTCTTCGACTGATATTATATTCAAGAAGTTTCTGAGACATCGCACATATGACGACTGACTCTACACGTCTCTACTGACTATACACTTCTAGAACATAATTTTACATTATTCCTGTAACTTTTTATGTAGTGTCTCGAGTTTCAACTTTAGGCAACGATAACATTAGAATACATATCTTAAAATCTTTCAAACGGTGATATAACAGTAGACATACCAATATAATTAATAGCTCCAGTAGCTGTTCCCAGTAATAGGAAGGAGCCAGCGGTATCGTAAGTGGTGAGATGCGCCACGTCCTGCGTTTGCCAGTGCTGAGTGCTCGTGTGCCACACGCCCGCTTTACTTCGACTCCCGGCCCCGCTCAGAGCTACTAACTGTGGTCCGACGAAAAGCAAATGTTCTACCCGAACCCCTAAATTAAAAGTACCTGCAAAGTACAACAATTGTGTAGATATGACGTGCATAAGTATATTATTATCCATGTTTATTCAAGAATATTACTACCGAATCATATTTCTAGATCACCTGAAGGGGGAGAATGCTCCGTGGCATTTGTACCACATGTGCATTAAAGTTTTAAATAAATGAATATTTATCATTTAATATTACTGTATAGAAAACAAGATGCAAATAGTATTCTTTTTATGACCTACAAGGGATTTAAACTTTCCTAGAACCATACAAATAATTTATAGAAAGACTTTTGCATTAAAACTAGTAAAACAAGGTCTCTTTTATAAGGATACTTGATTGTCCGATAGTTGGGCTTTTAGTCGGTGTCTGCATGTTAGTGTCCGACCGAACATTAGGTCACGGTTTCGGTCACCTTTAGCTTCGTCTACTTTCTCTTTACAAAATGTAACGAAAATCAATTTTTTTAAATCATCTAGTTATATGAATACAGCCAACACAACTTTCGAAAAATTTTGATTTCCGCTAAAGGTTTCGGCGATGGACTATTAATCAGATTCCGGCCAAGATCGACTTTTGGTCCGAATCGATTAATTTATTGATAGGTTTGGTTAACATTTTGAAAAAGAGATTAAAGTAAAATTATGACACGTTTAAAATTACAGTTTTTATCATTTATTCTTTGTCATATTTACTTACCTATCAAAGTTCTTCTAACGGGTTCGCTATGCGTAGAAAATGCCCATAATCTAACATAAGATCCGCTTGCAATCCCGAGCATGACGTCGCTGCCTGAACTAGTATTACCACTTGACGTGCCACCCCCACCGCTCGTCTTAGCATTCAAAGCTATTCGTTCTATGACCGTCTCTTGTACAGGGGATTGAAATACTACATACCAACCACAAGAGTCTGTTAACCTGTAAACAAAAACTTGTATCTAATAACATTGTGATATTTTATCTGAAGAACCAAATAAAAGAGACTGAAAAGAGCGTCTGTAGTCATGAAGTAGTTTTGGACACGTTATCAAAGAAACGTAAAAAATAATATCTGTGTCTTATTATTTGGTGAGTAATGTGTGGTTATCTCACACATCTTCAGGGAAAATAAAAAAAAATAGTGTCAAAAATACAAATGTCCTCGCGGTATTTTCTTTCATCTAATAAAAATATTTGTTAAATGCCGAATGCATTGCATGACGTCAGCCTGCGTATTTATTTCTGTAAGTAAATTTTTTCAGATTTTTTTACAAGTCGGACTTTACAGCTAGAAGGCGCCCCATTTCTTAAGACTCACTCTGTAAAAAGCGGTGAAGCAAACCACAGAGGTGTCCTTTTTTTTTAAGTCCGTGAACAATATTACAGAAAATTATGCGAGTGCAGTATATGGTCTGGGTTGGCCTTTTGAGAAAGGACCATGGTTTTGAGTCGGCCTGTTCGATATTAGTCAAGATCAAGGTCTTAAAGCGCGACTCCGCCAGCAGAACGCAAATGGTAGGCCGTGGAAACACTCAAACCCACCAAAAAGTTACTAAATATGAGCTAATGGTTATACTACTCTACTATAACTGGTTTTTATAATTAACATATAAAAATAAGTAACAGAGTATACATACCTATACCCGGTGACAAAATGTGTATAAGCGACTGCTACCCAATTGTGATGAGCTTTGATAATTTGAACTTTCATGCTATCCGCCCAGGAGCTCACTGAAAATTAATATGATAGTTTTATTTATTTAACGCTTTACAAAAATACAAAAAAAAGTAAAACAGGTAGTCTTAATATTAATGATTAGGTGCATCAAACTTACATACAGGGCTTGACCAAGAAAGCGAAAGCGAAAAAATGGGGGCAGAACGAGATAATATATATACCTATAGTTTTATTCATATTTTTATCTATTTTCCGGCATTCTCGTGGCAAACTCAATCAATTCATAATGATGTAAAAAAAATCCGTAAGTAATTATATTATATTACAGTCATTAATTCATGTTAGCCAAACCATAAAATTGGCATTTTCGTAATGTATACAAGCATTTTCGTGTTTTGTTACAAATCCTGACTTAGATGGACCGCATAGGTCAAATGTCAAAATTATAATATTAATTTAGGCTCTAGAATATAAAACTTATAGGAATTTACACATTTTTCTCTAAGTTGTCATCTGGTAGTGCTTTTAAAATAGATACTTACTGTCTGGCGGTCGATGTCCTTTGTGACTGTCTGCGTTGCCTAATGAAGCTGCCCTCGAGTGACCCCTACCGCATCGGCTGCAAATATATCGCCAATTAAGTGATAAGAGAGTTGATTGTCAGCGACATTGATTGAGCTTCATAAAGATGAAATGAAATAATCAAGAACCTTTGCTATTTAATACTTCACTCAACGTAAACGGACCTATGACCAACAGTGGTTAGTGATCCAGACTGTTAAGCTGGAGGTCGTGGGTTCGAATGATTTGTTCTGGGTGGGTCCATTAGTTCTGGGTGTGGGTGTAATTTTCCTGTAATATGTATACCTACAATTTTATCAGCGTGCGGTCAGCAGTCTGGTGACCATAGAACAGGCTCTGCCTAGTTTAGGATCAGCCTGCCGTGTGTGAGATAAAATACTCATAGTTATTTTCTGATACCAGTGAGGTAAAAAACAAGCACACCGCCTAATTATGTCTTGAGACTTAATGTTGATTCCCAACTGCTCAACTAATATCAAATTGAAACAAAAAACGCTTATACTTCCTTTGATCGTGTTAAAAAACCGACACTAGTCCCGATCGACGACAAGCTCATGCAAGCAAAGCTAAACACCCCGTTTACATGTGATTGTTCACATTTGTCGAGGCTTGCCAAGCGTGTAAACGGCCTACATACGGGCCTATGAATGCTTACAATTCGATGATTTATATTCGCAGGTACGGTTGTGGGTGTTTATTACGTTTTTGTCTACCCTTTCCAAGATAATGGCATGTATGTATTAAACTATAGATATTAATATTAAAATGTACCTGAGCTGATCTTGTGAGGGTATCCTTCCAACTGTGCGTAAATCTAGTGAAGAGTTTCTCGAATGTGTTCTGTTTACTGCCACCTCGGTGCTTGAAGACGTTGAGTTTTTACGTGAACAACTGTTTCCACTCCTCCCAGTAGTAGAAGTGTTTACTAGAAATCAACATTCATTAGAATTAGAGATATTTCACTAAAATTGTTGAACTTTGCATGTTTCATAGACCAGAATAAGTTTGACTGTCTATAGACTTTATTATTAGAATTCAACATATTAATACCAGACATAGGTAGACTTTTTTAATTGTTCTTACATAGAATTGTCTTCACATATTATTATACAGATTTAGACCTAGGATTTAAGACACTACATTCAAAATGTAATGATTTAAGAATAAATCTTTACAAGACTTTAAAGTTGAATTAAACTAGACATAAAAATTCATATATTGATAAAGCTAATATTGCGTATCAATGAAACTATGGGTACTTAATACCAAGTTTTTTGAAAATAATAAAAAAATTGCTTGGTGTTCGTAATCCAAATACTTAACTTTTTTTTAAATATTACTGTGTCTAATGTGCCTAGGTACATTATGATGAATTGTAATAAACTTAATTCCTTACCCTTAAAGATGATACTTTTTCATTAAAATAAATTCTTAAGTTCAATGCTTCATAAGCTGCAAGTGACAATACCTACAGTGTTTGATTTATTCATTAGACACAAAAGAAATGATAACTAAATTCTAAACTTAAAGTGAATTTAATATTCCAACACTACCCAAGTAGACACTTGGCATTCCTGTGTCTGTTTGTAATGTGAAAATAAATTATAAATTATTGGCCCAATACCTATGCCTAAAAACCAGTTTAATTTTTTTTGTCTGTCTGTCTCTTTGTTTGTTCTGGGTAATCTTCTAAATGGCTGCACTGATTTTGATAATATTTTACGACCGGGTAGCTGTTTATATAAGGAGCAACCTAAGGCTATTTTTCCTCGCAGCTAAAGCTATACGCTATAAAATTCTGATCGGTCCAGGAATCGAACGCATTAAGGCAGCCATTTCAAATTCCATGCAAAAGAAGTCATAGGTATCAGCTAGTGTAAAATAAAATAGTTACATTTTAAACATAAAAGTACTCACATGGTGGTGGCAAATAGCCATAAAACAGAACATCACCACAACTTGAATGATTCATCTCATCACATAGTGCTAGTCTTCTACTCAAGGGAGTTATGCCAAAGTAATCACATTCATGTCTTAGTGCTCTTATATTTACATTGTTGAGATCAATATCTCGAGTTCTTAGAAAATTTAAAATTAGGCCAAACAGGTTTGGATCTCTGTCAATAAATATTGCCCCTGTCTCATCTCGCACAGTTGGTATCCGGCCACTGAGAAGTGCTGTGAAAAATGTTTCTGGAACCCATGTCAATGTCTGCCATGATGTTGAGAATCTAAAAGTATAAATGTATTTGTTTATTTCATTTTTAGATTAGTGCTATTGTGTCGACAGCCCTAAACTATTATGTTATGTTAGCATTTTCTGTACTAAGCCAGGCGGACGGCAGAGACGCGACAGGCAGTCAGCTACGAGCCTCGGTAGCGATCACGCACATATACGCGCACCCGACTCCCCCCCGCCTGGTTAACCCTTTTGTGTATCTTATGTATGTGTCGTGTGGTATAATAAACTTTAGTTAACTACCTAAACCGAGTAATCATTCCATCTCTAAACAACACCTCAGTTAGGTAGTTAAAGTGGTCAAATAGGTAGTTAAAGTGGTGACCCCGACGCACATCACATAGGTAGTCAAATAGGTAGTTAAACCAGTATCACAAATAGTTTAATTGCTATCCGAAGGTTTACTACTAGGTACATTTATGCAACATAGAAAATAGTATATTTTTACAACTGAAAACCAAGGTAATAACTCAAACCGAATTGAAAATTAAATACCCGCACCATTACTTCTAAGTCCAAAATTATTTGATATCAATTTGGTCACGAGAAATTGAGACAATAATAAAAAGCCGTGTAAAAAATATTTCACACACTTTCCATTTCATTTCACACTCACCTTGTGCCACCCACGTTCAAATTCACAATTTCTTGGTAATTGGACATTTGCAATATGTATAGTGGAATATCATTAGAAATTAATTTAACAGAAGTATGTATAAGATTTTATTTCATTAAAATTTATTTACGTACGACGAGACGGGTGGCAAAATGTCAACGTCAACAAACAGCTGTAAAAAAAATATAAATATACTATAAGGTGTTGCTAGTAAATAGAAAGCACAGAACACTAAAAATAGAAAGCATTTTAACTTAAATCAATAACTATTGCTAGTATTACTAATAACTATTATAGAGATAGCCTGTGGGTCGAAATTCAAATGTTAAGTTTTCAACTTGAACTGACACTATGTTAACTTGTCGTATATGATTGAGCTTTTGTAGTAATTTTCCCATAGTTAAAATTAAAATAATTTTCTGATCCAAAACTTTCACTAAATCATAATATTTGCTGCTAAAAAAATAAGAAAATCTTTTAGAAAACATGCGAAAAAATTGTTTTTAACCGTTTTGTCTTGTCTTTTTATATTTATTAATAACCATGTCCACTGAAAAGATAACCAATTAAACTTGGAAGACTACTTATTCAACAAACTATTTTAACTTGGCAAGCAGATCTGTAAGAGAGACGTGTCCGCACGTCAGTCATCCAAAAAGTCAATTTTCTTCTAAATCGAATTGTTGGGACTGATGTATGAAAATAGTGTTATTGTAAATTACTAGGATAGTTAGTAGTGTTATTAGCTTCCAGAATGCCGCAAACCGCAGCTGCGAAGTCGGGCAATGGCCGTAATAAAGGAACATTCAATAATACCGCCGGCTTGAGTACCCTGATCACTGTTACGGTATTGTCATTGGCTTGGTTGGCCGGTTTTGCATCCCGGCTATTTGCTGTTATAAGATTTGAGAGTATAATTCATGAGTTCGACCCTTGGTAAGTCTAGATAATTTGTAGTGTAAAAAAATTGTGAAAGCATTAGTTCCCTCCATTTATTGCATACGTGTTCCAGGTTCAACTATCGCTCTACGGCTTACATGGTACAGCATGGGTTCTACAACTTTTTGAACTGGTTTGACGAGCGTGCGTGGTACCCACTTGGACGTATCGTGGGCGGGACAGTGTACCCAGGTCTTATGATAACATCAGGGACAATACACTGGATACTACACACCCTAAACATTCCTGTGCATATAAGAGACATATGTGTGTTCCTTGCACCAGTTTTTAGGTAATTACTATGCTAATTTGCAATAATTGCTTACAATAAATATTGTTAGTTTAATACCATACTGACATAGTTTTAGTATCTCATAGTGACAGATAATGAGATAAGTATGAGTGTTAACAATGTTTGATTAAATGTACAGTTAGATTGTAACTTAGTTGAGTTCCTGAAAAGGTTAAATTAGTTTGTCTATTACCTGTATCCGATATATTAAAATTGGTTATTATAATATTCTATTTATTTATAGTGGATTAACAGCTATAGCAACATATCTTCTAACATCAGAGTTGTGGTCTCGCGGAGCTGGTCTCTTTGCTGCCTGTTTCATAGCCATTGTACCAGGCTACAGCAGTCGGTCTGTGGCAGGAAGTTATGACAATGAGGGCATAGCTATATTTGCCCTTCAGTTTACATACTACTTGTGGCTAAAAAGTGTAAAAAGTGGATCAGTATTTTGGTCTATTTGTACTGCTCTTTCTTACTTTTATATGGTAAGTTAATGATTTTTATGATCTTAAGTTGGTATTTATAAATTACTGATACTTTAATGGTGTCTCTTATTTTCTTACTAGTCAATTAAAAGCCACATACTGAGAAAGAAATATCATTGTCTACAAATACAAAAGTCGTAATAATAATTTTGCTTCCCTGGTTACTCTTATAGAAAAGTCATTGTTGAAGCCACTTCAACATGGAACTATCAATATACTGATCCTGTATTCAATTTACTCACAATAATACATAAACAATAAAGTAATTCTGCAACTATTCATTTGTGTTAAATTATCAATGTCTCTCTCAGTATTCTATGCATTGACTGATAATAAACATTATAAAGAATTTGTTTTACTTTAAGACATTGAATTTAAAATTCTCCTTACATGTCACATTAAAGTATTTTCAATTTTGCAATTTTTAATGCTATGCAATTGATAAAATTCAATGTAACAATATGACAGTGAAATGTGGCAGGGTACAGCTAGTATTTTTATAGTAAAGAGTACAGAGTACTCCTGATTAATGTTAATGCTTGTGTCAGTCAAGACTGATGCCTTGGCCATTAGGGCACTGTTACATATGGGGTGATGACATATGGTATGATTAAATGTGTCATATGAATTAATTATTTACCAGTAATTGAACTTTAGTGTGACAACATAAGCAGTTATAAATGTGTGTGAAATGCAAGTATATAGTATAAAAGTGTGGATGTATAGGTTTTAGATCTGAAGGCCAATTCTCTTAATAAAAGTTTGGTCACAATTCCGTTCCGATCAACTCTCAATCTCACAACTATTATTTTGTCATTTCGATAGTTTCGGTCGTGATTATAGAGTTCCAAATCCACATATAGAGTTTCAATATCTCTGCTTATTATCATAATTAAGTAGTAAATGCCTATCAACATACTGTAACTTTGTAACTGTTTTAGGTATCAGCATGGGGCGGTTATGTGTTCATCATCAATCTAATACCACTCCATGTCTTCGTGCTGCTCATCATGGGTCGCTTTTCACAGAGGCTGTTTGTCAGCTACTCTGTTTTTTACATTGTGGGATTGTTAATGTCTATGCAGATACCTTTTGTTGGATTCCAACCGATCCGGACTAGTGAGCATATGGCTGCGTCAGGTGAGACTCACTTTTTCTTTACATGTACTAGTATAATGCTAGATAAGAAATGGGTACGAAACGTCAGTTACAATTTTATGAGCATTAGGTAGACTTAATATAGTCCACTTAATGCTCGTAAAATTTAAATTTCCAGAAAAAGTTACTTTAGACCTGTCTATCAAAAGACTGACTTGTATGTTATTTTAAAATATCTCTGAATTCAGGAAAGTTTGAGGCAAAATGTAAAGTGTAAATGACGTATATTGTATTTTCTGAATGAGCCATGAAATTATTCAATATAAATACAATATCGCCTGTGAGGACTAATATGTACAACTGGAAGTACATTTAGTATACCAATGTAATAAAACCATTTTTGATTCACAATTCTTGAGAGATAGTATTTTACATTATCAGATGTTCATATAGGGGTAATCGAGGAAGTAGAATTCTATGTTTTTTAATTATAAATAAAATATATTTATTGCAACGCCATATTGATCAAGCGAAATAGGTAATGAATATTGCATGGCCAATTTTTTATAACAAGCATACTTTAAATAATAATATTTTCAGACATCTCACACACAACGCTATCTAGTTTCAAACTAAGCAGAGCTTGTACTATGAAATCTAGATTGACTGATAGACTACTTACATTCTTTTTTTTGTAAATACATACATATTATACATAGAAAACACCCAAACTGCGAAACAAATATTTGCAGATCATACAAACATTTGGTCACATGCATAAACACATAAATATTCTGTTATTTTGTAAGTTAAAAACTTTATCAACGTAACGTTTAAAATTTAATGAGCTCTCGTATAACTACTGTTATTATGAATTTCAATTTCACACATAATTGATTTTTCTGTTTAACAACCCATAAAAATGCGTAGAATTACCATATCAGTGTATTGCTATGAAACATATTACTTTTGCTTTAAGAGGTGTATGGTTTCAGCTCCTTAAAGTCAGAACTAAAGAACTTGTAACATTAGGGGTCGAAAATGTATTTATGAATTACTTTAAATTCTTCTAGCTTCTTCTTCTAGTCTGTAGATTGTTTGTTATTTACATAATACCTACCTTTATTTCATTAAAACACTGAACTAGCAATAAGTGTTGTGACATTGTAAAAAAAACATGTTTGAGCGCCGCGCGCCCGTTTCCAAAATGGTAGTCTTTTAGCCGAATTCGGGCAAATAAACCAAAGATTCAAGGTCACAATAGAGACTTAAGGCTATACACATTTTAATTTAGATGAGTATAGATAGAGAGATAGACAGATATTATTTTTTTGATGAATACTAGTAAAATATGCCAAACATTGAGAAAAACGTTAAGCAAGTCGCTGGTTTTAGATACATAAAAGCTTCCTCTTCAATGTATATCAAGTAACTCTTAATTGAAACTGTGAGTGTAAACGCAACAATTGAAAATATCTATAAATGTTTTGCCGATACAGTGGTCTGTTTAAATTACACACAAGACAACACAGACTAATTGACATATTTCGCATTTTTTCGTTTTCCTGTTGCACATTTGCGATAATACTCTCAAGGTAAATTGTTGCTTTTAGTTTTACGTTATAAAATACGCGTTTCCGTAAATGTAACGTACGACGTATAAAAAGATTTTTACAATATACTAGCTGACCCGGCAAACGTTGTTTTGCCATATACATTATACATACATATATTTCTAGGAAATATTAAAAAAAAATTAGGGGTGGGTCACCCTTGTCATTTAGGTATATGAAAAATAGATGCTGGCCTATTCTCAGACCTACCCGATGTGCACACAAAATTTCATAAAAATCGGTCAAGCCCTTTCGGAGGAGTATGGTAACTAACATTGTGACACGAGAATTTTATGTATAAGATGTTTTTTTTTTTTCGCCTGGATCAGTTTTATTCTATTTTATTGTTGCTTAGGCAGATAGCCCACGGTTTTTCAATCTTGGGTTTATATCATCATTCTGACGAAGCGAAAGCCACCACCACAGTTTGACCGGCAGCGGATTAGTATTTGCTCTCTACTTGTAGCTACGAAAAAAAAACTTGCGTAACTACTTAAGTTTCAATCACTTCGCGACATTGTGGGCCTATTAAAAATATAAATGTATATTTCTTTAAAAAGTATCGCCAAGCTAGTTTGACCTGTATTTTCTCCTTACCTTACTTGTAACGTATTGGTAATAATCGTCAGGATTTCTATGATAACCTGATCGTCATCATCGACCCATTGATGTAAAAATAAACAGCTTTAAGCCTCTGCAGTTTCTTTTACGATCGATACAAAGGCTATCTAAACAAGATATTGATGACCCCAAATACTACATTTAATAACATCTTATTCTACATGTTGCACCTACTGCTAAGTATGCAATGACAGTATGCATCATCAACAATCTAATAGATATAATAATAATAATAAATTTACCCATCCCGCACAGGGCAGTCTGATCCCAAACTAGGTAGAGCCTGTACTATTGTTACCAGACTGACAAACATATATGTCTAAATACATATTATAGATTATATCCAGACAGAATACGTTCGACGTTCGACAGTTAATGTACCACTTAACCGCGTGTCTATCGTGCCCTAACGCCTACATACTTATTGAATTAGTGAATTTGAATTCTGTACTGATAACATTTATCTTTTAATTAAAAATAAAGAGGTTTTCATACCGAGTACATTTATACATTTACACTATAAACTTTTTGTAACAATTTTACAGCTCTACGGCGATGACTAGCACACTTTCACTATGTAGAACCCTGTCTTCTATTTTCAACATGAAATATTAAATGTAGAACGAACCTCATATAGATGAGATAAAATTGTAAAATCGACAGTGCACGGATGGCGTAGTGTTTTTAAGCGGTCACTTCCTATTGCGCTTAGTGTTGTGGGTTCGATCCCCAAATGGGAAAACACTTTCTGTAATCCACGAATTCTTTTTTCTGAATCTGGGTGTTCTTTGTGTCCGTTTCATGTGTAAGTGTGTGTTTGTAAAGCCCCCCGCAACACAGAACATATTCCTAGTGCGGGAGTTGTCAAAAAACAACTTTCTTGTAGGCTTTGTATAGATATTTAAGTAATTTAAATATTATTTTTTCAATAGGTGTATTCGCGCTGTTAATGGCAATTGGTGCGCTCAAGTACCTCCACAGTTTGAACCCTAAGGGCCAGTGGAAGCAACTTCTCATTCTTGGTGGTTTGGCCGCCGCTGGTGTGGTGTTCTTAGCTGTAGTAGGACTGACGTATATGGGTGTCATTGCACCTTGGAGTGGACGGTTAGTATATTACGAGCTTTTTTATTTCTAATCTTTAGTGAATATTCAAAAATTAAAATATAGTTTGGCTGAAGTACGAACTGTTAGTAAAATAAAAATAATTTCTTTGTTATCTTCTTTAGTTATCTAATTAGTGCTCTACATCTCTATTAATCCTTTTTAAAAAGAGCTAGTTACTAAACATACAAGTACTTCTTAATTTTATAAAAAAAAATCTGTTCGAAATAATATCAATGTTTACGAATCGGTGAAATCTGAATATAACTACTATGTTTGAATCAATTGTGGGAACGTTATTAGTATGATTGTATTTTTATCGCAATAAATCAAAAACGGCGGAACTGATGTTATCATTACACATTGTTGACAAGTCATAGTCCATATACAACATATGTTAGTATATGAACAGAACGTATTTATTTTATATCACTACATCACTTCATATTATCACTAGCTTTTATAAAATCAAGACCTCCTCCGCGTCCTATCTTTGGTCTGTCTGTCTGAAAATGATAAACTCAGAATGAACCGAACTCTTATGATGATTAATGAGGGAAACTTTGACTAAGATATAATTAATATTTTGGATAAATTTGATGTAATATGATGATGATGATCGAGGACCTTTACAATAAAGTTTTATATAAAAACAATATACCTATAACTGCATTACTCTTCTTAAAATTCTAAATATAGCAATGAATAAACATCATTGTTATATTTAGAAAATAGTATTTTCTATTACTATTCTTTATACGAGTATATGTACAATAAAGAATAGTAATAGAAAAGATTCTTAAAATAACTTTAAATTTGGTGTTATTTTTTGATATTTCTAATTAATTAATTAGACTTCTTTTTCTGTATTTTCTCTAAGTAAAACTTTATCTTATCCCAAACAATTCGGATCATTTTTACTGGTGTGTTTTATATACATATCTAACAGACATGCTCAACACAACAGGCTGATCAGATAGTATGATAGAAAAAAATGTAGGCATATTTGCTCAGCTATACGTGCGAAGTCGGGGCGGTACATCAAAATAGGACATTCGATTAAATTGAAAATTGTACAATAATTGCAATCGATTAGCAAGACATTACTTACCCTGACATCGGTGTAATGACTTCAAGACGACGGTTCAATTATTTAGAAGAGAGTGTACTCTTATCAAAATGAGTTCTATAAGACTTGAAAGTGTTACTCCACTTTGAAAGTACATAGTAGAAAAGATTGCAATCCTGCCTTCAGTGCTCTCAACACCCACTTATATCGGCGATTTTTTAAGCTTATGACAAAAGTAGTGCGTCCGGTATGTTTGCGGAGGCGCACACAGCCTACTTTTACGCAATTTTAAGAAAGAGGACCGCATCCTTGGCCGGCCGGTTGCGTACCGCTACTAACAGTGTCCTGAAGGTGTTTACGGATCGGTGGGACTCCCCTCTGTTGCGCCACTGGGCAAAGATCCACACCAGTCACCATTGTGTTTACTAACTTTAGTCCTTAAGTTTCTTTGTTTGTACTAACCCTATGGACTATGTCTGAAATAAACTATTCGAATTTGAATTTGATAAATCATAAGAGAGCCACGAGCGAGAAGGCGAGCGAAACTTCTGTAATTATAAAAAAGAATTTTCTCTTACAACAAGATGTTAAGTAATGATTGTCACTAATTAAGCTATACCTTTTTCAGATTCTATTCGCTCTGGGATACAGCATATGCAAAAATTCACATTCCCATCATAGCATCCGTATCTGAGCATCAACCGACAACATGGTCTTCGTTCTTCTTCGATCTGCACGTACTTGTATGCACGTTCCCAGTAGGGTTATGGTACTGCATCAAGAATGTCAATGATGAGAGAGTCTTTGGTAAGTGTAGTATAGATTATATCTCACACAGATATGATATATGTTTATAGAAAAAATATATTTTCGTATCCATAATTAAGCGTAGTCTTTACAACAGTCTTGCAGTGTATCACAATGCACTGAGTCTATTAATACTGAGGAATCTAGTCTACTGGACTCATCATGGTACTTGTGTATTTTGCAAATATGTATAGTTGGATGCTTGAGTTCGTTTTGTCTCTTCAGTCATTAGAAGTTATAGATATTTAGTTTATCAGAAAAAAATACGTGTAAAAGTTGGTAAAGATCAAAAACTCATTAATTCTCATTAAGTTCAACGCACTATCATAACAAAAGAAAATCTCAAACAAAACAAGTAAATAACAAAATTGTTTCATAAATTTTTGTCAAATCATCACGAACATGCCAGAAAGTATCGATATACGCAGAGCTCTATTTTCACTATGTTGGTAATTTTATTTTCTTCTTGTCCAGTTTCGCTATATGCATTGAGCGCCGTATACTTTGCGGGTGTGATGGTGCGATTGATGTTGACTCTGACGCCCGTGGTGTGCGTGCTGTCCGGCATCGCCTTTTCCATTCTACTGGAGCTGGTGCTCCGAGAGGATGAGCTGCCCGTGCCACCTGTCGAAACTGATGACTCCAAGAACTTATATGATAAGGTAAAACACCCTAATACAGTATATATACACACGTTTGACTGCACGGATGGCGTAGTGGTTTAAGCGGTCACCACGCCGCTTCCTACTGCGTTAAGTGTTGTGGGTTCGAGCCACACATGGGACGACAATTTGTGTGCTCCACAAATTATCGTTCTGAGTCTGGATGTTCTTTGTGTGCGTTTCATACAACTTTCAAACAACAAATTTCAACAGCATAAACGATCTAACAAGAACCTCTTCCTTGCTTTAGACTATTAAAATTTTGAATTCGTTACCAGATTATGAGCAATAACCTCGGATCACCTAAACGGGGTATAATCACCTCAAATTGCTAATTTTGTTCTTTATTATACAAGTTATAAGACTGTGCCCATATATAAATATAGTTGTCATCTCCGGGTGGGACCTGGCTAACCAACTCGATACAGGCTTGTGTCTTTTCAAAATATAAATATTTAAGTTAGTTATTACAAAATACTTTAACGGAAATTACCGTTTGAATAATTAAAATGAATTTACTGCTTACGCGAGGTCACATTTTTCCTAATTTCGTATTGAAGTAGTTTTAAGTAATAAAAAATAAAATATAATTTAATAAAAAATCTCTCTTAGAAGCCTGTGTCCGCCCCGGAAGATTTTGGTTGGCTCACCTATCCAACCTTTCTTCGACGCATAAAAGACCTTTCTTGAAAACATCAATATATAAATGTCCTTTAATAATTGTCAAAAGGCCGGCAAGCTTAAGAAGCGTACATCGGAGACGGTACCTCCAGTTGACGCCGGCCTCGGTATGAACGTGCGGTCCGGCACCCTGATCGCCTTCATGATACTGCTAATGCTGTTCTCGGTGCACTGTACCTGGGCTACGTCCAACGCCTACTCTAGTCCTAGTATCGTACTGGCAAGCTATGGAAATGACGGGTAAGTTACAACACTAATGAAACTTACACTTTTTAGGCTGCAGCGGTCTGCCTAAACGGCCACATTTTGTGGTCTATAAGTTTAGTCCCGCTTACGTAGTGGGTAGCAAGCCACTCAAGTAGCTAGTCAACTAGCAAGTCAATGGGGTACATATTTTCCTAGATAAATACTCGCTATAGGTAAATTACACTTAGACACCGAACAATGCTCTCTCATAATATAATTGTTGGTTGTTTTGGTTTACCTGGTTGGGAATCAAACCTCTGGTTTAGCATTTAGGATCACTAACCACTAGATTAATAGGTCAGTCATGTAGGTATATATATTAAAACTTAAGCTGCTCTGTCATACTAGATGTAACAACCTTGATTAAACGCATCGACCCCTTCTTGGTTCGAGTAGCCAGTCTGAATTAAACTGCCTTCGTCCATGTATTTCGATTTGCGCAAGATGGCTTGCAGAATCTGGATGCGAGGAGCCGATGATCTAACCAAGTGGCGTGCAATTGGAGAGGCCTATGTCCAGCAGTGGACTGCGATAGGCTGAGGATGATGTCTATTTATAATCCTGCAAAATTTAGGACGCGCTTATCCAAGTATTTGAACCTACTTGATGATTAGGTTTCTCATGGATAGGTATGTCTGATCATCGTCTGCATCATCACTTCTTGTGAGATGAGTTGGAAGAGAAACACCAATTCCATTATTGAAAAATAAAACAAAGATACATGTGTAAGACGCAGCCAATTCAAAGTGAATTCTATGATATTTTACAGATCTCGTAAAATCCTGGACGACTTCAGGGAGGCCTATGGCTGGTTATCACAGAATACTGCCGAGGATGCCAGAGTTATGTCTTGGTGGGACTATGGATATCAGGTAATTCACATACGCCATTTCAATATTAAGGAATTTTAATACAAAGTAAAATCTATCAGAAATATAGTTTACTGAGGAGATATTCATCATAAAGAGGTTTGAAGTCCTTTTTTAGAATTTTTATGAATAAAATAATTGCTTTATCAATTACTAATATGGATTTCCCCAGCATATAAAAGCATTACAGAGTAGAAATTCAAGTTTTTTAACCCTCTTAAATCTTAAATTTCTTGGACTACTTCTAAATGCTTCTAGAGTAAATAGTAATAAATGGAATTCTATTTCTAGATTGCTGGAATGGGCAACCGCACAACTCTAGTGGACAACAACACGTGGAACAACTCCCATATTGCCCTAGTGGGCAAGGCTATGGCCAGTAACGAGAGCGCGGCCTACGAGATCATGACAATGCTGGACGTTGACTACGTGCTGGTTATATTCGGTGGAGCTATCGGTTATTCTGGAGATGATATCAATAAGTTTATTTGGATGGTCAGAATCGCGGAGGGAGAGCATCCTAAAGATATTCACGTAAGTTTCTTGAGATCGAGAACATATTTATTTACTGTATGGCGTAAATACCGCGGTAACAATAACTTTTTCTAAATTGTGATCTACTCTTGGCCAGTAGATTGTAATATGCTTAGCTGTGACACGATTCACGTGTAATAAAATGGAAATTGTTCAAATAAAACCCTACCATCACCATAATAAATGCTGCTTTATTAGAAACATCTATGTTTTTGTACTTACGATTTTTTTTCAATACTTTTGCAATTAGAGGAAAAGATTAAAATCCAATGTAACAGAAAATTATATATATTACATAGTTTTCGTTCGTTCGAATAATTCGCGAAAAACATTTTACTAGCACCAGCTGAAATATGTTAGTGTAACATATTGCAAAGAAATATGTATGTATTTTCAAGAGAATGTGTTTTGATCTATTTTGCAGTACTCTAAATTATAAGACAGTGGTGCTGGGTTTCATTTGGTTTAAGTTTAATTTTATGCATTTTTTTTTATATTTACTAAAAATATTAATTCGTTTGTACTTATTGTTTACAGGAAGCAGACTATTTCACAGAGAGAGGCGAATATCGGGTTGATAATGAAGCCTCAAAAACTATGTTAAATTGTTTAATGTATAAACTGTCGTATTATAGGTAAGGAATCGTCTTATAATCCTGTGAATAATTTAATTTAAATCAAAATATAACTTATATAGGTATACTAGCTATCTGCCCCGGCTTCACACGGATTCAATGTAGATACTACTAATGCGGTGTTAGTGTGGAGTAATTAATTGTACTATTATTATGATAAGACTATACTACAGGACATCTTTAAATGCAATATTTATAGGCCCGCTCTGTTCCTGCCGGCCGCTGCCAGCCGCATTTTAAACCTCTAATATCTTCTAAAATATTCATGTAAATTTTGTATATCTTTTAAGATGTACAATTCTCTAGTACATTATTTAGATCTATCTCGTAAGGTTTAGCCAGCGTTTGCAATATAACCGCACAAAAACATATTTTTACGACAAATATTTGAAATTCTCGGATTTCCTCTACTATATGTATATCTTATACATATAAACCTTCCTTTGGAATCACTCTCTCTATTGGTGAAAACCACATTAAAATCCGTTGCTGAGTTTAAAAGATCTAAGTGTACAACACAAAAAAGCGACTTCATTTTATACTATGTAAAGATTTAGTCTTCGTTAAAAAAACACTTTTAATTTTATTAATCTTCGATATGAGAAGGCCAATATAATAACATATTTATTTTACATAATAGATATTTTCACAAAAGTTTATAATTTTATCTGTAGCACGATGGCTAAGGTATCGGACTTGGGATCGAGTGGTTGTGAGTAGAACTCCACAAAGTACCGCGTGAATCCACTTCTAACAGAACATTTATCATCGCTGGAGGTGCTAACAAGAATACTAGTCATGTTTACTTCTGTCACACAACGCCATCTACTTTTGTACTAAGCAGAGCTTGTGCTATGAAAACTAGATTGATTGGTAGAATACTTATATACTTTAATAATAATGTATGAATGTTGTTGTTACAGATACGACAGTGGCGGCAGTCCGCCCGGCTACGACAGGACACGCGGCGCGCTACCCGGAAACCGCGGATTCAAACTCACCTACCTCGAGGAGGCCTACACCACCGAGCATTGGCTCGTCAGAATATACAGGTAACACCTAACATTGTACAATATGATGATGGTAGCTGACTGTAGCCTCATTCCTCTTTATCTATACTACGAGTAATATACTTTGACTGCACGGATGGCGACTACGCCACCCCTGAAACCACTAGGATTAAGCGTTGGCCACGCCGTTTCCTTATACGCCGAGTGTCGACACTTTGTGTTATCCATAAATTGTTGTTCTAAGTCTGGGTGTTCTTTGTGTCCATTTCATATATATTTGTAAAGTCCCCCGCGACACAGGATATATTTCTAATGCGGGAGTTGTCTTTTTAATGAGATAAAGAGAAAGAAAAATAATATAAAGCTGAAGAGTTTGTTAGGTTGGAACTACTATCTCAGGAACTATTGGTTCGAAGTGATAATTTCTTTAGTGTTGGTTAGCCTATTTATTGACGAAAGCTATCGGCTATATAACATCACGCTACGGTCAATAGAAGCCGAGCATCAATAAAAAATGTTACAGAAGGGCAAATTTATTTGAGAAAAGCAGTAGAAGTTGGTCGGGTCAGCTGGGTAAATATAAAAATCATACATTCTGTTAGCATGTAATAATGAGTTATGACGTTATATAGAAGAAATATTCTAAATATTTTATTTCATATCATTAGTTCAATATGTATTCTGTCGTGACGTTTATACCACAGCGTTGCATATGTAAGATTTTTAAATGAAAATAATTTACATCGTAATCATGCATCAACAGCCTTTAAAAGTCACCTTCTGGATATAGGCCTCCCTTTACCCAAGGGAAATTATAAATACTTAGAGTTCAGCGCTCTTATTAGATATGGTCAAACAATTCTCATCTTCATTATCATCATCAGCCTTTAATAGTCCACTGCTGGACATAGGCCTCTCCTTAGAAAGGAGGTTTTGCCCTACTATACCAGATTGGCCAGACGGGTTGGTATAGGGTTTGTGTCAAGTTTTCCTTGACTTTGTAGTGCTGTTGTTCTGCTCAGTTTGCTCCCTAAGTCCCGTATCCTTATTCCGTCACCATACATAATTATAAACCATTTTAATCATTATGGACAATGAATAATAAAAATATACACTTATATACAATCAAAAATACATACATCAATACATTAAACAATATACAACTATTTTATGTGTACTTATTTTCATATTTTAGGGTGAAAAAACCAGACGAGTTCAATCGCCCTCGATTGCCGCTTGCAAAACGTACCGTCCCTACAAGCAACACTATTTCTAAAAAGGTAACTGATATAAATTATCACTACAGATGTCATGATCTCTGATTTCATACTTAAAGTTCATATATTATTGTCCTTTATTTGTATGCTACTTGTGATAATATAGCTATTAAATAAATTTTAGTATTAAATCAATATTCAGTGTCTGTCTGGCGTCACTGCGATTTAATTTTATGATTGATTCATTATTTAAAGTCACAGTACACACAGTAAACAGAGGGCCGAGTGCAAGTTTATTTCACACTGACTCGCTCTCTACGTCGAGCGCGTTTAGCCTTGCGATTGGTAGAGATTTCAGCGCGGGCCAATCACAACGCCGAACACCGACACCGTGAAGATCGAGAAGTGAACTCGCACTTGGCCCTCTGTATCAAATGAGGTCAGCAGAGATGCCGAAGGAAAAGCTACTAATAATTTTAACTTCTTACAGCTGGACTTAGGGGGAGATTCGATGGTATAGTAACCACGTTCAATTCTATTTGTGTATGTTGTATGACGTCGGCTTTTATTATGTACATTTATGTTCTTTCGTTCATTTTTTAAATGTATATCCAACACTGTAAAATGTACTTTTGATCTTACAAATGTACATTTAATAGTGTCGATAGAGATCAATGATCAACAAAGTGGCAAATCGTTCCGTTATAAATATGTCAAAAGTTTCGACCTGATTAAAGTAATTAAACTTTAAAGTAAGCGTCACCGATTTTAATGCTCTTTGTAATAAACTTTATATTATTTGTTTCCTAATTTTCCACCTTTATTAGTCACCGGTATTTTCTCTTCAAATTTGTATGAGATCAAACAGGAAGTATATCATTTAACCAAATCGGATCAAAAATTGAATTGGATCACCAAATATTAATTAGTTGTTTGTCCTACCCTAAATCCAATGCTGGTTATGCTATTGTACGAAAGTATACCCTAATATACATTATAATATATATACATATATCTCTCAAACACAATTGACATTGTATATATGCATAGCTGTAGATGTTTCACGTTCTTGTTGCGTTTTAGAGTTTGGCATGGGTATTTCTTTAAACATTCATTAAGTTTGAAAAAAAATCCGTTTGTCATTTATATATTTTTTATCTTTGTGTATTTGCATTATTATTGCATTTAAGATCAACGTATCTCGTAACTTTGAAATATATGATTTCTTTTTATTATTTTGACAGACATCTAAAAGGAGAAAAGGCATGCTGAAGAACAAGCCGAACATCGTGAAAGGCAAGAAGGCGGTCCGGCTGGAGTGACGCAGCCGCCGCGCTCGCCGGCGCCCGCTGCGCACCTCGCGCCCCTAGGGAGGAGGGGGGGAGGAGGGGGGGGGGGGGCAGGACCACGACCACGTGATCGTATGAAAGCGCCCACTACACCTAATCGTCGTTCAATCTTTATATAAACGCTTTACTCTTTTTGACACGAGTTTTTAATGAACTGACATATCATCTTTATCCATATGTCTCCGTGTTAGCGTCGATTAGTTATGTAACTAACATGTCCACCGTATCATACGATGACGATGGCCTAATATTCATTTTAATTTATATGTTGTTGTTGTTCCCAATCTTTTATACAATGAGCGTTTTCATACGATTATGTTTAATCTATGTGAGTCCGTGTGTAGTTTTATAGTGCGCGAGGCACGCAGCTACCGCCGAAAGCTCACAAACTGATCGACTGACACCAATATATATGTATTTAGTCCATTAGATAAAGTTCTAAAACTAATTTAGTTGATTGACTCGAACACCGGGTAGGCCGGTGGTAGTATAAGTGGTGAGTCTGATCTCTCGGACGCTCTATTGCAATAACTAAACAACATATTGTTAGTACAGAATAATATATTCCTTTGTGCACTTTGAATAACACCAGTTCAGTTAATAAATGCTGCATTTAATTTGTATATGGAATTATTTTCTTATAAGGCTATTGTTGTACTGACAGTTATATTTAATAATAGCAATAATCAAAGTTGGATTATATATGTTTGTTTATAAGCTTATTAATATAAATCGTGGTCGTTGAGGAAGAACTTGAATTATTACCCACATCATCATCCAGAGCCTTTAACAGTACTGCTGGACATAAGCCTCTCCTTAGAAAGGAGGTTTTGGCCTACTATACCACGATGGCCAGACGGGTTGGTATAGGGTTTGTATCATGTTTTCCTTCTCTCTGCAGTGCTTTTGTTCTGCGTACTTTTCTCCCCTAATCGGCTCTTACGACACCCACGGGATGAATAGAGGTGGTGTCATTCTGTATTCTTAATCTGTCACCACACGACCTGTTACTCATATAAGGTAAAAATTCAAGTTACATTGGGATACTTTTAATTCTTGCCTGTTGACACTCAGTAGCTTACAATGTATGTAAGCAATCAAGCCATTGTACTTCTTATGTAAAAATTATTATGTCTAATCATTAGTAACATCAAACTAATATTAAAAACAACAGAATCTTTACACATGCATTCAGAGCGAAACACATATGGTGTTTACCAATGTATACGTTACCGTCGACCCTATTTGGAAGGTATTAGAGAGGTAAGATTGAGGTATTTACCTTAATTATTTTTTTAACTAATTTCTTCCTCTGCGACGTAACGAGATTTGATGTGCAATGTTGGTACAGTTAGGAAAACAACATCCATAGCAAAATAATTGCCGATAATTTACTTGTAAATTTTGGCCATATTTTTATGCGGCTTATGTGTAATTGTTTGTCTACTTTATCTACTTTTTCCTTACAAAGTTAAATAATTATTATTGTAATTGCTACGTCCATTTGTATAATAATTAATATTTATATTTAGCGCTATTCCTCCTAATCCATATAAGTTCAAGTAATATGTGCCTCGTTTGAAATTCAGTACTTACCACAAGTGAATGTAACACACTGCATAATTGTGAGATATCTGAAAGAATGCAATAATGTCCTGTGTCTTGTTATATGTGTCGTAATATTAAAACCAAAGTAAAATCATATTTTGATAAGTCTCTAATAGTGGAACAGTTATTGTGAAATTTGGTTTTAAGCTAATGACTTTTAGGCGTGTTTCCTTAGAACTGGCTTATTTATAGCAAATCACTCATTTATTTGTGCCTATGTTAGGTAAATATCAAATATAATCAACCGTCAATGGCCTTGAATTGGGTACAAATTAAAAATAGTATGATTTTGGAAGAGGAAAGCTCTTGTTCTCATAGTAGATATCTGACTGCATTTTGATTATCTATAAAATGATTGTACATGCAAATAGATTTCAATGTTAATAAAATACGCAATAATATTTTAAAAGGAACTTCGCGTAGAGTTGTGAACTTAAATAAATAAAATAATTTACGCATATAAATGTTGGTGTAATTCAGTGGGTGTTATTGTGTTACTAATTTTTATTTTATTGTTGTCCATCAATTATTGTTTTTCATATGTAACAGAGTTTTATCGATCTGTAGAAAAGATCCATTGTGTTAAACAATGTTCTTAATAAACGGATGGAGACGATTTTCTTGTTTTTATTTACCTTGTACCCATCATCTTGCTCTTCTGTCTATTCTATTTGAGGTTCAGAAGGTTAAAAATTCAGAATGAATGGTTAACTCTGGGTGAATTTTGAATCCCACCAGCTTTTAAATGGCGCACACTTTTATTCGATTGGTCACCTGCCTTATTGCCGCCTTTCAATTAACTCTCCCCGATCAAAGCAACCTAGAAATGTTGGGAATAGCTACAGAAAAGGCTTTTACGATATGCAGTGAGGAAATAGGTATAGCCAGGCACTTTCTGATAGGTGGTAAGGCGCTATTAGACCGGGATCATTATTCATGTCACCACGATAGTCATACGCGAAGCTATAAGTTTATCATCTATAACAGTGAGTTTGTAAAGAAAGGTGTATCAAAACAGATATCACAAAAGCTGTACTCAATCATAAATACCGCCAGTTATTAGACATTATTAGTGGACACGTACGAAAATCATCACAGAATACCGGAGGATATCTGTGCCTCGGCGTCTAGACCAGACATACTTCTTTATGCTATATCAATTAAGCGTGTAGTACTTACTAGTACGGTCAACTCAAGGTGCCGTGAGAAACGAACATCCCTAAAGACCACGCTTTAAAAAGAAACAATTACTTTGACTTAACCAACGAAATAACCGAAAATTGCTATTTTGTTGCGTTGTATGCCGTGGAGGTGTGTGCGAGGGGTATACCAGCTAAATCCCACTATACCTTGGATTGCCAAAAGCTTCGGTAAGCTCTTTTCTTGAACGAATATTCAAAGCGGCATCGCCAGGCTCGTATCCAATATGGTTAGGTAGAGGGGGTAACACAGCAGACAGTGGAGGTGAGCGCTAAAGCGTCGCAAGGAGTGGGTACTCTCTAAACCTACTCCTCGGTCGCAATTCCCAGGCGTTGTCTAAGTCGTATGTGTTGTCCCCATCTATCATGTGATGGACCCAGCACCCACACGGTGAATCTATAGAATGCTAAGAAAAAAGGCTACATATATGGGGTCTACCAAAAAGAACGTCCTGGTTTAAAAATTGAATAAAACACACATTTTTTTATGAAAGATGCATCCGATTGATTTATTTGATAGATAATTTTATGCAATTTATGTTTTAAATAATATATCGACCAAATGACCGCCGCGGCTCTTTCACCCGCTCACGCCAATTTTCGATGACGCGTTGCACCATTTCGGCCAGTATGTCGGCTATGGCTCGTCGAATGTTGGTTTTTAGTCACGAATTGTAGCTGGATTATTGCTGTACACTTTAGATTTAACGTACCCCAAAGAAAATAGTCTAAAGGTGTTAAATCACACGATCTTGGTGGCCAACTGATCGGTCCATTTCTCGAAATCAACGACTCACCAAACTTTCCACGCAATAATTCCATGTTCACTCGAGTAATGTGAGGTGGTGCACCGTCTTGTTGAAAATAAAGATCGTCTGCATCAATATCATCAAATTCCGGAAAGAAATATTCGGTTAACATCGAGTTATAGCGCTCGCCATTCACAGTAACAGGGTTTCCTTCGTCACTTTCAAAGAAATTTTGGACAATTTCCAAGCGTTGGTTTAAAGTGAAACGTGACATGATAAAATGGCAAACCTTACTGAACACAAATGTCAAGAGACGTCAAAGATCCATCATCAAACATGGCCGCTATGAGTTGTCAAAACCAGGTCATCCCTATTGGTAGACCCAGTATACTTGCTGAGTTACATACATACAAATGATGAAGCTGTTAGTATCTAGAATTCAAGCTCGGACTTTCGTCTTAAATGAGAGGCAGCTGGGAAAAGGTATTCTGATTTCGAAAGGTAGAGGCAGATTAGATTAGGAACGAAGAGTGGACACATGCGGAAGTATGAGTGGAGCATAACAGACGTGAATTGTTCGAGGAACGGAGTTTTCTGTTATAATTGGAACATAGAAATGCGAATAGAATATACTAGGATGCCTATAACTTCTTCTAAGTTCCCAAAGACGAAGAGTAATATGGTTGCAATAACATTTGTTACTTCCTAAAACCCTCATTGTTGTCAGTATGCGGGCCGTACAATACCTAGACGACAGCTTCAATTAGAGCAATCCAAATTATAGGCACTTGTTGGAACCCTCTACTTTAACAATTAAAATGCACCCTCTATTTCGAGTATCGAAACAACCCTTCAGTCAGCACAATAGAAATGATTTATCTAAATACCACGGATATCGGAGTGTGTATGATTGTTAGTCAATTTAATTGGCGTTCGAGTGTTTTTATATCATTATTAAGCATTGGGTTTTTGCTAGTGACCGTAAAAGGGTTACATTTCAACCACTTTTGTCTAAAATATCCTGTTTCGGATTCGGTCAAAAATCAGCGGAAACTGAACCTCGAAATTTGATTAAGCTATATTGATAATGAATTTTTTGTTAATGCTCTGTACTAATGATTCCTCCATCATGTTCAGTTTTTATGTTCGGCTGTAAGTCCTGTTCCCGTAGGACTTTTACACTTAAGATTTATAACTTATCATTCATTGCCCAACTAGCCTTTCTACCTGATAAAAAACTGATACCATCAGTAGTTAATATATGTTTTTTAAGTACTTACCTGGAACTTTAGCTTTGAACTTTTGAAGTGAAAACTTCTTTAGCGGCGTTGTACACTTTTTTTGTAATGTGTAAAAAATGTTAAACTCGCGTCAGGACACGTGACCTGATCGAAAATTCGTAAGACGGATGGAGAGT